TTGTATGAATATCTACCCTACAGTACGTAGGTACATACTTACTATACATACATACTAGTCCTCCGTGGTTGGCAAAGTTCCATGGGCGACGGCTTTACGTTACTACAAACACATTCACTTAGTCTGCACAAATTTTCTTTGAATTTCCTCTGACCTGTGACTCGGTGACAGTATTCAACTAGAGACATATTGAACCTGGTGCATAGCTCTGTAATAGGTAAGTACCTATTTACTTGGAAACATTAGGTAATTTATATAAATAAAAATGAATTTCCGTTCGTTAGTCTCACTAAAACTCGAGAACGGCTGAACCGATTTGGCTAATTTTGGTTTATTTATGTTCGTGGAAGTCTAGTGAAGGTTTAAAAGGTGAGAAAATTTTAGGCGGTACGAGTCTGCCGCGTCAGCTAGCAACAAATAATATTATTAGTTCATGCTTGATTTAAAAAAGGTTTAGCTAACCCCCTTTCAGGTGTCGCGGAGAACCTAACGGGTAACCGGGGCTCCGGCTCGACGTGCAGGAGAAGCAATGGGGTAGTTTTTAGTCAGTAAGAGTCTGACACTCCCTCCCGCCTCACCGGAAGCAGTCATCCGATGCTTTTCCCCCCTTAAAAAAACCCCAAATACTATTTCAGGTATATTTTAAGTATATGAACTCATAACATTAGTAAAAAGCAGGATTACACAAAAAATTGTTAAATATGAGTATCGAACGCGTGACACGTTGCATAGCAGCCATCGCTCAGCCACTACACCACCAGTGAAGAAATCAAATTAGTAAATGCATTTCCAACGCAAGGGTAATTCTACTGTTACTGAATGTCCATAGATGTAGATGCAGCAGTACGTCATGACTATGGCATTCACACTCTAAATATTCACTCGGATTTTCTCCTTTGTGTGTCAAATTACGATTTCTAAACGCTGTCAATCATACCTAATAATACATTACAAATTAGATATAGGTATATCACACGCAGATCCGAAATAATTGGTGAATCATACAAAGAATTTTTTAAAAGTATTAATCCATGCGGGACGCGTTATGCAACAATATTCATGAATATTTTTTAAATGTTCGTCTGTTAGATTAATTTCAAGATTTAAAATTTAAACTAATTCGCTGGCCTGGGGTCTCGGGTTCGATACCCGGGTCAGGCAAAGTACTACGAGGTTTTTAAAAAAATTGTAATCAGCACGGTGTCTGTAATTGTGCCCGATATATGGCTCACCCTAGTACATGGGATTCATAACATAAATAGTGAAAAGTGGGTGTTACATCCACTGTACAGCGGCATTAAGGTGCCGTAGGTAATATGCACCTCTGCCTACCGCTTCGAGGGTAAAAAGGCGTAACTCGTATTTTTTTTCTTACGAAATTATAAATAAGACAATTTGAAACATCATGACATGATTTAGGTACTTACTACATTTTATAACGAGCAGTGTAATCACGACCATATCTACTGTTTGTCACTTTTTATGTAACTTGAATTATAAAATATCATATCCATCGACACGTTAGATCATACCATTTAATCCCCGGATGTGTAAGCAGTAAGTAAGATACACACCTAAGCCCCATCCCTCGACACTTACTCACACTTCCTCACAGCAGACCGACGTAAAACAACGTTGCGTTGTGTTTCGTCGTGTGAGTGAGGTTACCGGAGGCCCAATTACCCCCCCCCCCTCCCTTTCCCAATCCCTGAAATTCCAACAATCCTCAAATTCCTAATCTATAAGGCCGGTAATGCACTTGTAACGCCTCTGGTGTTCCTGGTGTCCATGGGCGACGCCGATTGCTTACCATCAGGTGATCCGTCTGCTCGTTTACCGGCTTATCCCATAAAAAAAAACTTAGAACACGTAGCAAGGAATATCTAGCAATAAAAGGGCAAATTGAATTAAAACAAACACATATTTTTTTACTATTTATTGTACATTGTTTTTGTAACACGATACATAATAAGCATTCCCTATAACAGCACGCATAGAACACTGGCGTGCAACTAAACTGACGCACCTAACACATAAAATACATAGAAAAATCACATTCATTACTGTACATTAATAAATGTAATATTTAAAACAATACTTTATTGAATAAAGAACACATAACTATTAATTGGAATTATTTTTATTTTAAAATTGTATATTTATAGTCACCAGTTTTGTTGCACGCCAGTTCACATGAACAATTTCGAAACATATGTACCAACTTTAGTATATTAACTATGAATTCAATATTTTGCCTTTCATTCGTAACATCTAATGTAGAGGGATTATCCACAAAATAATATGAAAAACACATACCAAATAAACTACATTTAAACTGTCAAACACCGCGAGGACACCGGTGACTGCAACCTATGGTTCTTTAATTGTGTCTATAATGACGGCACTCAAAGGGTTAAATTTATCAGACGCTTATATAAGAGTGGTGACTGGATCTTGAAATCCTGGATTTTAATGACTTGGACATTGAGGTAGCATAGTTTAGCCGTATGAAACGGAAGACTTGGTCAGGCCTCCTACTAGGTGGACTGACGATATAATCAGTCGCGGTTACCTATTGGTTGCAAATATGGGAGTTATAGTGTGACCAGCTTAACTCGTCGAGTACCGGTTTTATAGACACAATTAAAGAACAATAGGTCGCGGTCACCGGTGACCGCTTGGTGTTTGATAGTTTAAAGGACTTTAGCAGCTGATGACAATGATAATGGTCTTAGCTACTGTTTTAAAACAAGCAGCTAAAATCGACTAAATGTAGTGTGTTTGGTACATGTTTAGTGGTAGGTCATATCAACAATTAGGCACATATCAAAAGAGAATATTCTACTTTTTATACGCCTAGATAATGTGTAGTCTCAATTATATATTATTTATGGAATGGATGATTTTCATTGCACATTTTGTATATTTCTGTTATACATATATTTGTATATAATCCCTCGATCTAATTCTAACATTTAATACTATAGATTGATAGCCTAACATTACGTAACCTTTTATATTATAGTGATATTCTAAGTGTAGAATATATATTATTGTATTATATTTACTAAATATACATATATTATATGTTCGATCGAAAGCCTGTCGAGGAATGGTTAAGTAAATATATTTGTGTGGAAAAGAATTTTATATAGACATAAAATGATGTTTGTGTTTTTAAACAGTCCAGCTATTTAATAAATCATAATGATTTTTTTCTTATGAGTAAACGCTCGTACGAATCAATACTAAGTGATTATGTCCGCTTATAGACACCCGCAATACCAGAGTGCTTAATACCGAGTTTGTTTTACGTAAACGAGAACGCGTTCGGCGCTCGGAGGCCTTACTACGAGTTTAATTTACGTTTAAAGTATTCGAAACGAGTAAGCGTTCGGCGCACTGATTGGCGGGCGCCAATAAACCAACCAATCAGAGCGCCGGACGAGGTTTCGTTTCGATTACTTTACTTTAAACTTATAATAAAACTCGTACTCACCTCTGCTCTTAATCACAGCGCCGAACGCAGTCTCGTTTCTCGAAAAGAAATTCGTACTTCAGAGGGCCAAGCACGAATAACTATCGCATTCGTAACGTAATAGTATCGAACGCGTTCGGCGCTCTGATTGGCCGGCTCAAGTGAACCAACCAATCAGAACGCTTGCTGCTTGGCCCTCAGTTCTCAGGAGTTACAAGTGTGTTGCCGGCGTTTTGACCTTAAGTGAATATTTCTTATACATTTTAGATAAATTCTTCCCCACACAAATGGTCTGTAAGGGCGAATATTACAAGCGAATAACCAATGATACGAGTATGAGATTCTACGATAGAAATATAATGTACAAACATAAAAATGTAAAAATGCACCCCATTTAAAACATTCAACTTTGATATAATTATAATTAATTGATATTATAATAATTTTTATTGTTTATAGGAGATATTAGACAGAAGTATTATTACAAATTATATTTGAGTCATACTATACTTTGATTGACGATTGATCAATCTTCATAAGCTATTGAGTATAATATTGCACTGGTACTGATCAATACTCAAGAAATAGTTGATTTTTTATCGCTTTCAAGAGATTTCGGTATGTACAGTAATTCACAATAAACTTTAAACCTTCTGTCTAACACCATTAAAATCGAAAATTAAATGATTAAAATATGTCTTTTACCACAATTTTCAAATTAAATTGTATTACATAAAATTACGATTAATGATACCGTATACGCATACATATTAGAGTGAAAATAAAAAAATAGAACTCATTGAAGGAATCTCTCGATGCATGTGAAATTATATACAAAAAAAATATATTATGTAACACGCCATTACTGTGTCCGTTCAACCACTTAGCTCGTGCATTTCCTGAAAAAAAATATACTTTTAAATAAAACTCAATATTTAGTTTTTAGTGTGAGAGCCATGCTTCGGCCCGAATGGGCCGGCTCGACTGGAGTGATACCACGGTCTCACAGAAAACCGACGTGAAGCAACGCTTGCGTTGTGTTTCGTCGTGTGAGTGAGGTTACTGGGGGCCCAATTACCCTCCCCTTCCCCAATCTCCCCAATCCCTGAATCCCAACGATCCTCAAACTACTAATCCCCTAAAGGCCGGTAACACACCTGTAACGCCTCTGGTGTTCCAGTGATGACATCGTCAACATGTCAGGTAGTGCTGTTTAATAACACAGATTATACTAGTGACATCCTTTTCTTTTCTTTCTTTGTTGTGCTTGAAATATACTACACATTTGAGACGATAGGGAACTACATATTTAATATTCAGAAGAGCAGATTTCTCCGATAATCCTGTTCCCTTTAAAAATTCGATCCTCAACCTGATCGCCAAGCGAGGAGATTATTCCCACCCCTCTTTTATAAAGGAGGGCCACTTTTGTATTAGTTCACGCTGTCAGTGCTATCAATTTTATGTTCATAAATTACTGACATAAAATAATATACATACATACATTGTAACCAGTATTCGTTTAGCATCTTGTCTCGTAGAGTCCTGAGCGTCCGATGTAGCGCACCCATTTAATCACATCGTGGTCGGAGTAGTTCAGCTTGGGCTCGAACACTTTCAGGTAACGGACCTGGAAGGAACAAGAAAAATTACATTGAATCACGTTTTTTATTAACCAATGAGATTGGGCCACATTTTGTCTGTTATGTCATTAGGTCCTGGTCGACAGTAGTAACGTGACTTGACCGAAATGGCCTTTTAAAAATATACATTTTATCTTACCATTTAATGTTGCTGCCATCATAGAATTAGGCAAAATCTTGTATAAAATGTGCGAATGGTTACGGGACCTTTGTGGTCACCGGTGTCCTCGCGGTGTTTGACAGTTTAACCAATAGCACAGGCTAGTTGACGTTATTACAACCGAATTAGCAGTTAGTAGGGAATAGGCACTAATAGGCGTTACTGTAATCTAAACTATAATATTAGTATTACATAGTTTTTAATATTCTCCATATTTACCTTGAATCCAGAAGGTGCGAATGGCACCTCGAATCCCATAGAGATGGGTGGTCTGGTCCATTTCTTCTTAGTGTCCGTTTCAAGTAGCTCAATCTCAGCAGACAGCTGCGTCTCCTTCATACCAGCCATGCGCTTTATCCTAGAACATAATAAAATCATTAATTGTGAAATAACTGAATAATTTTAGAAAATACTCTATGCCAAGGGTGGTTATAAGGGTACAGTCTGTTTAAATATTAATTATTATCAAATTGCAATCAACTTACTGAATAATATAAATGGCAAAGTAAAAATATATTGAGTTGTTTATAGGAGACTAAGACCAACAAAAAAGAGGGGAAGAATATGTTTTGTCTTCTGAGGTTGTACAAAAAATTCCAGAGAGATTTGAAATTTCGGTGAATCAGTTGTTGGTATTTACATTATAATAAATAACCTTTATTTTGTGCCAATACCTGGAATGATCACTAACAAAAGCAACTAATTGCCCCACACTAGGATTTTCTCCTGTGTTTCGGTGCGTTCACAAACATACAAGTTCACATACACATGACGCCCAGACCCGAAACAACAATTTGTGGATCATACTAAGTGTTGTTCCGTGCGGGAATCGAACCTACGCCACGCTGCACGGCAGCCGGTTGCCCAGCCAACGCACCAACCGTGCAGTCAAGTATTATTATTAACTGACAAAAGATAAACTAAGAATAACTCACTTCCAAACAATAGCATTTTCCGAAGCCTTATACTTGGCTTTCCCCTTCAAACAGATGAGCTGGACGCCGCTAGTGTTCAGCGGAGTTGGAATCTTGACCTCAATCTTCTGGCCAAGCAATGACGGCTTGAAGTTGCTCTTCAGCACCACTTTTACTTCCATCTTAGTGCGTCCCACTTCACGGACCAATGGAATCACCCGGAACGGCAGGGATATGTCCTTGGTTGTGCGGTATCTGTAAGTAATTATTAAAAGAATATATTACATAAGTAAACTAATTATTTGTAAGTCTAGTAAGGAAATATAAAAAAAACTCAAAAGCAGAGATTAAACCATAATTTCGTATATTTTTAAACATCAACAAATATAAAATAAATAATAGTCCGTCAGTCTGACTGTCCGTCAGTGCAGCTAGGCGCTCGTTCTAATATGTAGATTCGAGTGGAGAAGAACGAGCAAGAAACTCCATTCGTTACATTTTTAAGTGAATTCCTTTTCCCTTATGAGCAGTTTAATTCACATTAATATAAGTGTGGGAGAGCCATGCTTCGGCACGAATGGGCCGACTCGACTGGATGACCTCACAGAAAACCGACGTGAAGCAACGCTTGCGTTGAGTTTCGTCGTATGAGTGAGGTTACCGTAGACCCAATTACCCTCCCCTTCCCCAATCTCCCCAATTCCTGAATCCCCAACGATCCTTAAACTCCTAATCCCCAAAATGCGGGTAACACACTGGTGTTCCAGGTGTCCAAGGGCGACACCGATTGCTTACCATCAGGTGATTCGTCTGCTCGTTTACCGGCTTATACCATAAAAAAAAAACATCAAGGACAATAAAGCTATCAAAATATTAGATACTGGAATATACTGGGTTTATTAAAAAATTCTCAGCAGTTGCACAGAGTCTAAAATTTTGCCTGGTATATGGCAATAGGCTCACCCCTATTACATGGGACTCATAACATAAATAGTGAAAAATGGGTGTTACATTGTACAGCATTAAGCGCCGTAATGTGCACATCTCCCTACCTCTTCAGGGATAAAAAGGCGTGATGTTATGTTATGTGGAATATACTTAATCTACTCAAACCTCTCTCTAATCCCCATCTCTAATATTAAAATTCCTATCCATATAAATCCATACAAAAATAAAATTCATATCCAATCCAGACAAGTCATATCCAATCTGATGTTGCGGGTGTTTTTAGACATAACTGAATGCTTATCATCAAGTGATTCGTTTACTTATTTGCACCCACATCTCATGAAAAATGAAAACATACCTCATAAGCTCAAACTCGCCATCAGGAGGTATGAAAGAGATGGAATGTTCCGTCTCAAACTTGCTGAGCTTCACACACTGGTGGAACTGGCAGTCGTCGATCACGACCACTGGCTTCCCGGAGCGAGCTGGGTCACTGTCTGTGTTGCCGGAGATGCCACCTTGTGAGAGAAATATAAGTTGTTTAAATATTCTTGAGGGCACAATGAATAAGATCGCAAAATAAATAAATTTTTTTTAAGGGGGGAAAATCATCGAATGACTTCTCCCGCCTGGGCGAGGAGGGAGTGTCAGACTCTTACTGACTAAAAACCACCCCGTTCATTCTCCTGCACGTCGAGCCGGAGCCCCGGTTACCCGTTAGGTTCTCCGCGACACATATAGTTGAGATAAATAAGTTGTTTAAATATTCTTAAGGGCACTGTTATATATTAAATAACATTAATAAGAATATAATAATAAACAGCTGACGCTGCAACACGTGTATTCCACTGCATTACGTGTACTTATTTTACATATTTCCATTGACTCAGCATTTTGCAATAACTTAGAAATTATACCTTAGTACATCAGTGTGGATTTGAACGTCGTCGCGGATAATAGGCTTTTTGTAAACCTTTTTATTAATTAAATATTTTTCCAGTTCTATTAAAAGTATTTTTTTTTAAAAAGCCTACTGAGACCCACCCCGTAACAGCACCATGAATAAGATCGGAAAATAAATATGTGAGTGGGACTTGATTGTTTATTTTATTGATTTGAGATATAAAATACTGACACTCATTCTAAGATCTAACATTGCAATATTTTATTTAGGCATTAACTATGCAAGAGAAATATTACATAATATGAACCCTTTTTATAGACATATAGAGATAGCAAATATCAGTATTACACAAGAAACTGACAAGGTAACATATATCAGAAACTCAATACTGAAGAGACAGTAAAAACAATAATAAAATAAGAGATGCCTAATCATAAACTCACCATTGCCTTTGCCCTTGGCTTCCATGACGATCTTGTCATTAATACCAAACTTGCACTCTGGCATGCCGGAGAGGTAAGACTTCATTACCACCTTGCCAGCTACATGAGCTGACAGTACTTGACCTGGAAATAAAGGCAACTGGTTACATAATAACCACATAAATAGTAACTGATTATTGTAAAGAATATCAATAGCATGCAGTACAGAAAATAAATACTAGGTGTAACAACCATTTACCATAATAATAAACACATGCACTTGCGACATCTATACGGCCTACCGCGCGCTAACATAAACAGTAGTTCCGATATTCACTGATAGATGGAACTGTAGCGTGACGTCAAAAAATTAGATGGCGGTGTTAAGATTCTCCGTGAGTTAATGACCCTCCGGCGTGTTCATCGATTAATGTACGACTGACCTAAAGTTGCATTTTGGAATCACGTCCTACTTGGAATGATTACCAGAAACCTCTTTAGTTAAGTTCATCAAACAACGACTTCGGTTATTTTTTTTTTTACTAAAATAGGTCCGCCCTTCGTCCTCTCGGGAAAAGGTGTCTACGGACCTGTCATACTGTATCTATATATATACAATAAAAAACTGTCGTAAACAGTGTTTGTTTACTTTGTCGGCCGGAAAAAGTAAACCCCAACTTCCTACTCTACAAGCTGGCGCCCAACGTGGGGCCCGACCACAAGTACGCAAACACCACGCGTTCAAGGAGATTAGCGACAGCAGCTTTAAAGAAATTACCTGACGAAATGTCGATAAATCTATCCGAAACCCAATTCAAGACCTTGTTGGAAAAAATTTCTCCATCCAGACAAGGATCCTTTACCTCCTGTACTTCATACTACGACGGGACCAAGGACACAGAACTTCTGGAAGCATTCTTGGCTGCAGTTACTATTTTCAAACGCATTGAAAACATCGGTGATGAAGAGGCCCTTACTAGTATCCCGCTACTACTAAAAGGGGAAGCAGCCATATGGTGGCAAGGCGTGAAGAAGCACGTTTCTACATGGGAGTCGTTTAAGGATCGCCTGCGCCATAACTTTGCACCCAAGAAACCAGCGTTTGTACTTTATCAAGAGATAGTTGGCGTAAAACAAACAAATAATACATCCACAGAAAATTTTGTGGCATACAAGAGAATGCTAATCTCTCAGCTTCCAGCACCTGAACCTCCAGAATCTCATCAGCTGGACATGATTTATGGATCACTGAGGACCAAAATACAGGATAAGATTCCCCGAAATTCCTTCACCACCTTTGACGAACTATTAAACATTTCACGAGCCATTGAACAACTATGGAATGAACATACTAAAGAAGCTAAACTTCTTACGCAACAGCCAACAAAACCATTCCAGCCAAAAAAGAAATGTGGTTTCTGTCATTTCAGTGGGCACAGCACTGATGAGTGCAGGAAGCTTAAGAAGAAGCAAGAGGAATATGGTATCAAGGTTGAAGCCCCTGAAGCTCCTGTACGTTCCAAGCTGGAGAAATCCAGGGCAACACAAATGCCATCGCCTTCTTCTTCAATACATTGTTACGGATGCGGCGCACCAGGCGTAGTTCGAAGCAGTTGTACCACGTGTGCTGGTATAAAGCAAAAGGCACCACCAGCGGACATAAACTTTTGCTCCTTCAACTTCAAATCGGATGTGAGAGCCAGACCAATGGTGTATGTGGACATTGAAGGCATAAAAGGAGTCGCGTATATAGACACTTGCGCCAAAACAAGTGTGGCCTCATATATACTATATAAAAAACTTGAGGCAAAGGGACAGAGGTTTATAAGCGAGAAAGCCCGTATCACCCTAGCAGATGGAATGCCGAGGGAACAAAAGGTACTAAAAACTGTGGTACCAGTGAAACTAGAAGGGAAGACAATTCCAACTACATTTATAGTTTTGCCTGAGTCCAGAGACAACCGCACACTACTGGGAGTAGGATTCATCCAGGATGCGAGGATGGTGCTGGATCTGGCTCAATATACATGGAATTTCCTGGGCAGTCATCAGATATACGAGCTGTACCAGGAGGATTTTGTATCCTTTGACCACACCAACACATTGGAAAATGTGGGATATCTGCATGAACATTCCTCCCGACCTCTGGGGTCTATGCAAAGGGTAGTAGTACCAAAACAAAGGGACGCCCAGGTCTACAAGCTTACGCCCCTGGATTTGGCCTCAACAACAAAACCCACTACGATTTTCGATGGATACTCGCCTCAATTCGCGGACTTCATCATGAACGATGCAGAGCGTAACGTCCGAGAAGCGGAAATCACCCTTACAGAAGAAGAGAGAGCTCTTTTTCCTAGTCCAGAAAAACATGATATGAGCTTGGACACTTCGCTCGAATTCCTTGATCTGTGTAGCTTAGACATTGTTAATCAACATAACATTAAACTTAATAAATTACTAACAGAGTACGAGGATGTTTTCATAGATAACGGCAAACCCTCATTGCTCGGAGAGCATTGTATTGTAACCAGCATTGATATCCCTATATCGGTGCCCCCTTACAGACTGTCTCAAACAAAAACAGACATTCTCAAAGCCGAAGTGGATAAAATGATAAAGAATGGGATTATTGTACCATGTACCTCACCATGGGCTTCACCTGTAGTAATGGTGCCAAAACCTAATGGAGATGTGCGAGTTTGTGTTGATTATCGCCGTTTGAATGCAATAACGGTGCCAGATACTTACCCCATCCCTCGAATAGATGATCTGCTGCATTCAGCTAAGCCAACCCCATACATGACGTCTCTGGATCTCAAAGCAGGCTATTGGCAAATTAAACTTCGAGAGGAAGATGAAGAGAAAACAGCCTTCATTACGCCTTTCGGCGTTTACAAATTCAAGAGGATGCCATTTGGATTGCGAAACGCACCTGCTACATTTCAACGCATAGTGGATAGATTTCGAGTTACCCTGGGTGATGTGAAATTGCTGGCTTATTTGGATGATATTATCGTATTTTCTACCACTTTTGATGATCACATTTCTGATTTGAGAAGAATTACAGAAAATGAGAGAATGTAACTTAACAGCGAACAAAGAAAAATGCAAGTTCCTGCGTTCTTCAATAAAATATTTAGGGCATATCATAACGCCCGACGGTTTGAAAACGGATCCAGATAAAACCAAGGCTATCCTGGATAGGCCAACCCCTAAAAACCTTAAACAACTAATATCATTTCTGCAAATGTGTTCCTGGTATCGCCGATTTATCGAAAACTTTTCATCGATAGCTCAACCGCTTACTAAGCTTACGAAAAAGGGTGCCACCTGGGTATGGGGTACCGAACAAGAACTTGCTTACAACAAGTTGAAGCAACGTTTGACAACTGCACCTGTACTTAGACAAGCTGATGGAACCGAGCCATACATTTTAAAAACAAATGCCAGTGCATACGCTCTCGGAGCAGTTCTCGTCCAGGGGGAGAAGGAAAATGAACATCCTGTAGAATACGCGAGTAGATTACTTACCGCAGCTGAGAGGAATTATTCCACAATCGTCCCTGAACCAGTACATCCACTACGTGGAAGAGGACGACCTGCTAAGAAGGTGGCTATTCAATCCACTCCACCTACTAAGAAAAGAGGACGTGGTCGTCCTAAGAAGACATAGAACTCCAGTTCCAATCGCCGAGACGTCTTCAGGAACTGAGGGGGAGATTGTAACAACCATTTACCATAATAATAAACACATGCACTTGCGACATCTATACGGCCTACCGCGCGCTAACATAAACAGTAGTTCCGATATTCACTGATAGATGGAACTGTAGCGTGACGTCAAAAAATTAGATGGCGGTGTTAAGATTCTCCGTGAGTTAATGACCCTCCGGCGTGTTCATCGATTAATGTACGACTGACCTAAAGTTGCATTTTGGAATCACGTCCTACTTGGAATGATTACCAGAAACCTCTTTAGTTAAGTTCATCAAACAACGACTTCGGTTATTTTTTTTTTTTACTAAAATAGGTCCGCCCTTCGTCCTCTCGGGAAAAGGTGTCTACGGACCTGTCATACTGTATCTATATATATACAATAAAAAACTGTCGTAAACAGTGTTTGTTTACTTTGTCGGCCGGAAAAAGTAAACCCCAACTTCCTACTCTACATAGGTAGATTTAATATTTTTTTATTTTAACAGTCCATTTATCCTTGAGGATAATGTTCCATGCATTATTATGATTATTATCTAATCATTACATACATTGCCTCGATGGTCGAGTGGTCGCAAGTGCGACTGCCGGGCAAGGGGTCTCGGGTTCGATTCCCGGGTCGGGCAAAGTATTACTGAGTTTAAAAAAATCTCAGTGGTAGCACGGAGACTGGAATTGTGTCCGGTATATGGCAATAGCTCACCCCTTATTACATGAAACTCATATCATAAAATAGTGATAAGTGGGTGGTACATGGTACAGTGACGTTAGGTGCCACGATGTGCACCTCTGCCTACCCCATCGGGGAACAAAGGCGTGATGTTATGCATTACATACATTCTAGTTCCTAAAATAACATTTTAATATTACAGTACAAACTACAACATTTAGTAATGAAGGTTTCAGCTATATAATACCTTGAGGAGACATGAGGAGGTTGACATACTCCAGCACATCCAGGAACAGCTCGTTGCGTCTGTATTTGATGCCCTCGCGACGCCATCCAATTTGGCCAGTCACCTGCACAAAATAACAATGTTATGGTACTTTTAATGATTCACCTACTCATTGTTGTGACTTCATCATTTAGATATTTTCGTCAGTTCTGAGGGCTTTGGACGAGTTTGTTTTACGTTTCAGAGAGATGAGACTGCATTCATTGCTCTTATTGGCCAGTCGCAATGAACCAAGCAATCAGAGCGCCGAACGCGGTCTCATTTAGATTACTTAAAACATACTAAGTCTTCTGATAAAATAGGTACAACATAAACCAATAAAGTATTCCTACCTGTGAAGTGATTTGAGCCTGTTCTTCTTTGGATGCAGATTTGATACCCTGCTGGGTAATGAATGTCTTCAGGACTCCTGTGTCTGAGTTCTGAGGGTAACCAAAGTCCAAGATTTCTGTAAATATAAGCAATTTTACATAACTTGGCAAGTTAGAATTTTAGAGGAGATTTTAACAAAAAAGAATAATGTTGATATTAAAACAGTTACGTGAGTAAGCCGAAAACATAATAGTTAAAAAGAATAATTACAGTAATAAATAAAAAATAAATGGATAACCATATGGTTACCATAGATATTATACAATGGAAAGGAGTTAAGTTGGTTCCAAATTAGGATAAACCAATTGGGAATCAGTGTCTAAAAGATAGATCCAAGGTGAACTATATTCAGGCTAAACTTTACTGTACCAATCATTTAAAGGATACAAACAAAGAGACAACAGAATATGAAGGAATTTGCTGAGTATACCTAAACACATTCTTATAAGAATCAATACCAATTGAAGCCATAATTTATATCAACACATCCATATTAACCTTAATGTTTAGCAGACAAATGTCTAAGATATTTCAATTGGAATCTCAGTACATTTCTACTTGAAAAAAGAATTATTTTAACTTATTTGATTGTTAACATCCTATAAGACACTTACCGTCCAACAACTCATAGATAAGCACGAAGTTGTTCTTGATGTTCTCCTCGGAGATCTTGCCGAAGTATGATTGCATCACATCTATGATCTTCAGAAGGAATTCAAACACCATAGCAGCATTCACATTCTGCTTGGTCACAGCTGCCAGCCAGATATTGGCTCTCTGTGGAAAAGTATTGTGATTAAACACTTATCAGTGCTTTTGTCATTTTAATTTGAACTTTGTGAAACCGCCCCCTTTTGGACTATTTCATTGATGAATAAACCAGCTTTCAATCATTTATGTAAGGTGTTCTTTAGATAGTCCACATTTCAAAATGATACTTGTAAGGTCTAAGTCAGACTTACCATACAGGCTTTTCACTCAAACATCTAGACTTATACTTGAACAGCTTACCTTAATATGAAAGAAGGAAGTCCTAGCGATGTTAGTCACGGGCGAGCGCACTTGCTGCCTCGCATGGATCACGTTCACTCTGAACGCGTCCACGGCATTCCGCCCAATATCATCACGGTACACCCGTGAGATCAGGACTTCGCCCTTGTGGTTGTACACGAACAGGCCCCCAATCATCTTGTTAGAAACCTACAAACACATACAGAATTTCAGTTACTCAGTTCCTATTCACATTTCTAAGACATGGATTCCTCTCGTTCGCCGACGTAATGATTTTTCGGTCTGGTGGTTTGCCAAAAGCTACCCGCTTGTTACTCATGTAACAAATACATAAATGTTACACGTCAAATCTCATCTATAAAAAAGCAAAGACAGTACGCGGAACTACTTGAAGAAATTGGGTTGATTATGAATCAATAGGACAGGATACGGCCAATAAAACACCCGATGTAATACTGATATAAGACAAATAGAAACATTCTCTACACTCACCTACGGTACTGTAGACACTAACATTAGTTTAATGAAATAATTTAATTTACTCGAATTAACACTAAATGCTAAATTATCTCATTTTTCCTAAATTTTGCTAGAACAGTAAAGTAGCGATACCCGCCCCCAAAATGAAACGTCGAATCGAAATCGAAACGTCAATATTAGATGTTCGCAGATAATAAATATTTTTGCTGGTAGCAATAATAATCAAATAAATAGTGTTGTACACAGAAAACCGGTAAAATCACAAGAATTTACACGTAATCACACGTAGCCAACAAGGACGTTGAAAAAAACCAAAAAGAAAGTGGACTGGAAAAGCAGAATATTATGTTAATATCTATTCATTTTCATATTCTGTACCTAAAAATAAAAAAGGATCTAAAAATATAATAATTCTTTTATAAACTTAGTTTAAAAAAACCGACTCCAACCCCCTCTTTTTTGAAGTTGGTTGATTAATATGTATACTTTCTACGTCTTTCCTTTTCCTAAGTGTAAACAAACATTATTCTGAAAACCGCGTCAAAATCAGTTCAGTATTCGTGCACACACATCATACAGGTCAATTAGAGGACCTCCTTTTTTTAAGATAGTTAAAAAGTAGTATAGTTCACCTGTAACCAGAGAAATCCAGGTTTAGGGTAGGCTAGGGCCCCAGAAAGAGGAATTTGTAGAGAATACGGGCCGTGTCCAGAAATACTGTTTCTGCATCAGGCCATTGACCCAACTATCTAACGCTAGCCTATTCAGGTGTTGATCGAGGCTTTTGCATACAAGCCTATTGGCAGAAACAACTATCAGCCCAATGATTGCTGAATCTACACCCCACATGTCAAATCAAGATATTTACTTGCTCAATATTTTGTTAGTTTATACATGTAGGATATTACATATATCAAATTATCATTGTGTGATGGCTTGATCCATCTATCATCACAATGTCAGGTTTGTTAGCATCATGTCCTATCTGTAATGATAGCTCGATCCCAATACAGTGTGACATCTTCATTTTCAAGAACTGGGTCAGGCAGATACTTACTTATAATACGGCACTTCAGATTCAACAAGTTTGTATTTCGAAGCATGTTGCTGATACATGCAACCCTAGAAGTTAACTCCACTGCCTATACTTATATTGTAGGTTCAAACCATCCCGATTTCTTAGCACAGATGTTGAATTTATTTTTGAAGAATATGGTCCATAATATTTATATTTTCCTTTTTACAGGTAAATGTATAGTGGGCATACATAATAGTTAGTATATGAACACAAACAATACCAACGCGACGAATTATTTTAAATGATAATAGAAAGCCACAAATGTAGGTTTGTGGCTTATAATGGATTAACGTTGTGGAATAATAAAGGAACTTTTTTATACCACGCCAGTGCCAAGAAAAGCACACGGCCCACCTAATAGTAAGTGGTTACTGTGGCCTATAAACGCCTGAAACATTTGGGGCAATACATGCGCCTTCCCGACCCTTTATAAATCTATACTTAAGGACTTGTAGTATTTCACGTAACAGGTGGTATTAATTAGGTATATACATAGTTAATGGTAAAATTTTAACAGCGTGATTAGTGTGGTAACTGGGTAACCAGCCGGCAGCTGGTTAACCAGCTACCGGCTGATCGTCGTGTTGATGTGGGTGTGTTGTGATGTGTATGTGGACAACGTTTCCTTTTTTCAATAACAAATTAGAAGTGGCATAGCCGTTTTTTAATCATCACACTTGGTGTGATTCAAGTGTGACGACAAATGGACGATTCTCTTACAAAACACTAAACCAAACCGTGATGATTCAAAACCAGTTGTAAATTGTAATTGTCTTATCAACACTGACCATATTGTCTATATAATGATGAAAATACAAATGAGGAAACAGTTCGTAAAGTACTGCGTACGGAGCAGCATTATTTCTATTTTGCCTCAAAAATGTTACGGCATATAATATTGTTATTCGCTGTTTTTGTTTATATAACTGAAAGTTTGAGTATCGTTACTCCTGGACCTACATACCCACCAACGAAGGGATCAGTATGGCCAAAGCCACATCAGCAAACGCAAACACATTCATATTATAAATTAAATCCATCTACTTTTGTAATTACGGTAAGTTTAAATATTAAGTACTTACACTAAAAGCAATTTATTAGGAGACGTGAGAAATCAGAACGTTTTAGTTCCTAAGAGTGTAAAAAATTATGTAATATGGATTAGTTCCAGTTAACTGTTATCAGCTTAATCGAAGTGTGAATTTATATATATGTATTAGGATTAATCTTATTAAAACAACAACAAAATATAAGGCTAAATATAAAACTGTGCTAACTAAATGATATACTGGTATTGAATCGTTTACCTTTGAGTTATCACTTCAAGGAAAAACGGGAATCAAGTTATTTTTGTTTTTCATTGTGCCTAATTTGATGCTTGACAGAAAGGACAGTATTCAATTAGTGTAGTGTTAAGGTAATCTAAGTTTTAACTATATTTACATTGTTTGCAAGATTACAAGAAGATTGGTATGGTAGATAAACCGTGAAGACAAACAATGACAAATTACTTTCGCTTTTATTAGCTGGGATAATATTACAATTTAGAAAATCTCTTTAAGCAATGACTACTGTAGAGTTTAGCTGTATTATGTTATTTAATCTAACATCGAATAAAGAAAGACACCACACTCTGACCAGAAATATAATATTATGTGGATCAGACAAAGAGTTACTCCGTGCGGAATTCAAACCCACATTGCACATTCAACATTTTCCTATCCACCGTACCAACACCAACCCTGCAGTCAGAATAGCAAAATCCTACCGGTACAAAACGCCGGTACAGTCGCCGCAACCTATACCATCACCTGCAACACCAAAGATATCACAACTTCATAATAAGCAAGGATTTTTATTTGCACCATCATTTTCGGGGAGCTCCCGGCTCCTAAAATTATGGCTCAATTATATAGATTTAGCAACCGGAATTCGCAGTAACCATAAAAAACATACAAACATTACATCACTACTTCACACTGATGTCTAAGAGGGTAGTGATTCCCCGGTCAAGCTAGCTATTAGGTTGCGTAAAGCAGTTAAAATTTTACCAATAATTAAACAAATTATCAGTAATAAATTTTAACAGCAATATATAGACTTAGTAATTTATACATTTATTCTAAGTATCTATTTTATTGGAATATCTTTCAGAATTGTCAAAGCATTCTTAATGTGAATTGCGATAAAGCCTCAATAACTCATCGTGATAAAGACTAATTACAAAGGTAAATGACTTAACAATGTATCTACTAATACTGATTGCAGGAAAAAGGAAAAACATGCGATATATTAAAAGATGCAATCGATCGGTATATGAATGTATTGCGGAATACGTACTTGATTGTGGAGAAATATTCAAGAAAATTATCAAAACATGAAAGTGAAGTCGAAAATTTGGATGACAACTTTAAAGGAACATTGCAGGAACTACAAATTAACCTGACTGCACCATGTGAGACTTATCCACACTTGGACATGGATGAGAAATGTAAGTTTGACCTGTCATCTCAACAAGTCATATACCTTATTGCAAAAGGATTAGATAGTTGGTAGGGCTGAGTCAGACACTAGAAAGGCTATGCAAGGTACATAACATAACATCACGCATTTAATCCCCGAAAGGGTAGGCAGAGGTGTACATTATGCCACTGTACAATGTAACACCCACTTTTCACTATTTATGTTATGAGTCCCATGTAATAGGGGGTGAGCCTATTGCCATATACCGGGCACAATTCCAGACTCCGTGCTACTACTGAGAATTTTTTAAATCCTAGTAATACTTTGCCCGACCCGGGAATCGAACCCGAGACCCCTTGCCCGGCAGTCGCACTTGCGACCACTCGGCCAACGAGGCATCAATATTGCAATTTTCACATAAGGAAAATGAATTAAATCTAATTGTGAGCACAAGTGAAGTGCTAATGACTTGAAGATGTTTACTTTGCTATAAAAAATACTATAGGACATAAAAAGTCATCTGACTCAATAGCATTATCTGTTTTTTTCCTAATCAGATAGTTAAACAAATAACGTTTATTTTTATTTTTATCTTGAGGACCGTTCGATGATACCTAATGATGAAATTGTAAACATCGTCGTAGAAAAGTCATTATCTATTAACTGTGATCTCAAATCTCCTCAGGTATAGAAACCCAAAAATCCAGCAATAGATTGTCACTGGCTATCGACGACTTACGCCTGTATACTGAAAGACTACTCAATATTTTAAGTACTAAAATATCGTGCCATTACTGTCATTTACAAAGAATTAACTCCTATATTTTACAAACTCCTTTTAGAATTTAAATCGACACTGTAAATTCTGCCTGCACTGCAAAATCCACAAATGGATAACGAGAATAAATAAATAAGTACATAAATCCAGTTGTACCTATGCTAAGCAAGAGATCGTTGTTTGTTATTGATAAGAAATGGCATCGTGACCCTAAGATTAGTTTCACTCTCAACATCGACGTTTGCGCAATACACTCTATATTGAAATGTTCTCGTAAACAAAGGCGGGAACTTTTTATCTTAATGGTTCTGGGTTTTTGACATTTTATTTATAAGAAATTAAAATACAATTTATTGAAACTGTTCAGCAAAAATATTAATTATTTATCTACTTATAAGTAGATATGTTTTCCATCTAACATTATGTACAGCTGAAATGATCAATACACCGATGCGTATTAAAATCTCAGTGATATCTATGATAATAAGTTAGTAAAAATTAGATTACTGAACAAAACCCCTTTACTAATGATTTCAGACAGCCTTGATGTTGCCAAAGTATCGATCCTCAACAGTGATTCCATATGGGGCGTACTCAGAGGACTTGAGTCCTTCGTGCAATTGTTTTACATGGCAGATGGATACAAAGTAAGATTTTGAATCCTACTTATGTATTTAAGAGAATAAAAGATCTATTACTTACAAAAAATTTCTTTCAAATCTTCCAGAATGTGTTTATCAACGCAACTCAAATCCAAGATTTTCCGAAGTACACCCACCGAGGCCTTCTCGTCGATACATCAAGGCATTACATAACTGTACCAACTTTGCTAAAAACATTAGATGCCATGGAAATAAACAAGATGAACGTTTTGCATTGGCACATAGTGGACGACCAGAGCTTCCCTTATAAAAGCGATATGTTCCCTCAATTAAGGTAAATATATTGTTGCTGCTAGACCTTGGATACTATTTTATACACTTATTACGATATCATCACATTTTTCTATTATTTTAGTGATGCAGCGTACGATCCTACAATGGTATACACTGCAGTTGATATCAATCACATTGTATCCTATGCAAGACGTAGAGGTATACGAGTGCTACCAGAGTTCGATGTGCCAGGTAACTTCAAAGCTTACAATTTTATACTCTCCGCCATGTGAACATTGTATTGTGCTAAAATTACCTAGATTTCCATTTACCCTTTACACAGGCCATACCAGCTCTTGGGGCGTTGCTTATCCAAATATCCTAACAAAATGCTACAGTCTCGGGCACGAATTGGGTTTAGGACCAATGGATCCAACAAAGAACACCACCTATAAACTGATTGGTGACTTATTCCGTGAGGTCCAAGAACGGTTCCCCGATAAGTATTTTCATGTTGGTGGAGATGAAGTCGAACTGGACTGTTGGTGAGTGTCCACTGATATTTAGTAGCTCGTTAACAGAGGAGTGTACTAAAATAATTAATTGATCAAAGACGTGAATTAAAATAATAATTTTTCTTTTCAGGATATCAAATTCTGAAATCCGTGACTTTATGAAAGAACACAACATGACAGATGCTAGTGAACTACATTCCTACTTCATGGCAAATGTAATTCCATTGCTGGGAGATAGGTCTAAACCAATTGTGTGGCAAGTAAGTGATGATTTATAATTCGGCCTGACTCAGATTGCTTGTTTTCTCTATATATTTGTATTAGTATAGTTTATTACATAAATGATTAATAACGCTTCATAATAATTTGCAGGAAGTCTTCGATGAGGGTGTAAGTCTACCCAACGGCACAATCGTCCAAGTATGGAAGAACACAGAAGCTAGAGAAATGCAAAATGTTAGTTTACATTATTTTTGATATGGTTTGGTTTCAATTTTGGGTGGGTTAATGTCAAAATAATTAAAGCATTAAAAACTAATTACATTTATTTTGTTTGCAGATCCTAAATGCTGGTTACAAAGTAATTTATTCATCATCATGGTATCTGGATCATATTAATGGCGGTGGAGACTGGTCCAAGTACTATGGAGTTGATCCTCGTGAAATAGTTAAAGGAAGTGTCCCTGAATATAAAGAAATCGATGTTCTCGGAGGGGAAGCCTGTATGTGGAGCGAAGTGGTAGATGACACGAATATAATTAGCAGGTACGTACATTGAAATAGTAAAAGTTGATAAAGACCACTAGTAGTCTCTTCGTTTTTTTAAAAAGCAAACAAAACCGAGTTAGGTCGGCTGGTCTCGATTTAAGTTACGAAATAAATGAGTAGGTAAGTACTTATAATTTTTGGCATTTTCAGAGTATGGCCTCGTGCTAGTGCTGCTGCTGAAGCTCTGTGGAGTGGTCACAAATACGAAACAATGCCATATTTAAGACATTGGTATCAATTCAGAGAAGACTCATCACATCTAGTAAGCAGACGTCTTGAAGAACATGCATGTCGCATGAATCGTCGTGGTATAGACGCTCAGCCACCAAACGGCCCCGGATTTTGTGTTACAGGAAATTAAATTCAAAATAAAAGATTTGTAATAAACAATTAAATATAGTCAATAAAAAGTTGTAGGAATTGTTTTAGTTTTGCCAATTTTCATTACGACTTGCGTCCGCAAAACTCTTTGCTAAACATGAAGATTGCATGGTAGGTGCAGTGGCACAACGTGTCGTAGGTTCGATTCCTGCACGGAACAAATTACCTGTGTAATCCACAGTTTGAGTTTGAGAGATGTTTACGTGAATTTGTGCGTTCGTAAGTATATCAACCACACGAGGTAATCCAAGAATGAGGTCACGCTTTTAATATAAAAAGGATAAGGTTTCGATACCCACATCACGCTAAATAGTGGTTGAGATCTTAACTTCTTAAATGATTGAGTTTTGAGAACTGCCCACATCGAATCAGTCTTTTCTTAACAAACATATTCATCTGATTTAAGACAGTAATATTATTATTTTTTGTGGGAAAAAATATAATTATCTATACACATATTTATAGACTACACAATTAAGTAAGTGCTTCTAAAATCACAGTCATAATAAAATTATTATTAATTATTTCAATTACAAACCAAAAAAATAATAACCTTTTTTACCGTAAATATCGGTAAAGTTCTGAATGCCACTTCACTAGTTAGCATAGACAAATTTGAAAGGAAAAGTCTGTTTAGTTTATGGCTTGCGAATTGGGTCGATTATGTCATGGCGGGTTAGATGTTTTCGGCAGTTGATTTTATTGAATTTGTTTTGAATTACGCCGTCAATGATCTCGTTTGAAACGCTGTCGTTTAAAAATAAGCTTATTTGTATATTAGTGACCTTTTTATAAACTATTCAAATGCTGAAACGGTTGCAAATGGGCCTTCGCGCGTTCATGCTGCTCGCATCAAAAGTATGGAGTTGTTTTTGTTATATGTTTAAGAAGCAATATCGAGCGGTAAATATAAATAAAAATGTGTGCCTTATTGTGTAATATTATGATTTTACGCAGGAGCATAAAAATCTCACGTGGCATTTGGTTTTCAGTTGGCTCAATATCAATCCGTCAAATATGAGATGTATCCGCTTTCGCCCGTATCTAGACACAGGCTGAGTGAGTATTTACTATCTTTTTTATCGCTTTATATTAAAACGATATATCGTATGATTTGCGACCATTGTAGTTATCATAAATATGTAAATATTATCATTAATTTCCCGTCCTGTCCAAGTTAGTATATTATTATAATAGAAAATGTAAACAAGACTACTTTTTTATTCATATGTATAAGTTTAATGTCCACAATAGATATCATGTACAATGTCTAATTAATCCTTCCATTCTAGTACACTATCTTTAAATTTTACAATTTTTATCTTTTAGAAACTTTATTATAAGCAATAAATATCTCCAAACTAATCATAATTCAAAAAATTAGTCTCTAGTCGATAGCTTACAATGAAGTGTGAAGTTAATACAACCTTCATGTAGTTAATACCTTCACAGTCTGTCTGTATGTTGTCATAAAAAGTAATATATATCATTTATTATAAAATTTTGGGATGTGGCACATCTCAACTGTGATTTTCTAAATTTTGCAAGCAAGTTCATTTTCATTTACTGAACCCGCTCTGCTTGGCTCTTATTGATCACAGTGATTTTTTGTAGCCTTCCTCAATAAATAATGTATACAATTTTTTTCTGTGTGTGCAATAAAATAAATAAAAAAAAAAACAAATAGAATTTTTCATATTGGACCAATAGCTCCTGAGGTTCATTCAAACAAACTAACTCTTGAACATTATAATGTATAAGATATTTGTTCATAAGTTAAGTGATATATTTTGACGAATCAAAATAGCTCTAAGAAAATTGACAAACAAATCAATCGGGTATTTTAAATATCTTTCTTATTAATTTTGTAGTCTAAACTCTTTTATACAAATCTAAAATTATCATATATCTACTTTCTCTTTACAAGATCTTATTTGTTTACAATATGGAGTTTCTTGCTCGTTCTTCTCCATTCGAAACTACACTTTGCAATGAGTGCCTAGCTTCACTGACAGACAGCCGAACAGACAATAAAATTTTTGATGTTTCAAAAGTGCCTAATTAATTGAAATAAATGCTTTGATTTTGTTATAGTATAAAAATGTTGGTTTGTCAACCTACTTCAATAATAGGAGGAGGTTCTCAATTCGACCATATGTTTTTTTTATTAATATAGCCAAACTACTTCATTGTTATTAAAAATTTACAATGGTTAGACCAGTGGCATTAGCCTCTCTGCAACTTTAAACTGTCAAACACCGCGAGAACACCGGTGGTCGCAATCTATTGTTCTTTAATTGTGTATAAAATGACAGTACTCAAAGGGTTTATTTTTTTATAATTTGGACAACCAGTACAGCTACAGCTACATTAGGTCTTATATCTAAGCACTTACATTGTAATAAATTTTAAATGCACAACATTTTAAGGTGTCACAACATGCACAGTAGCCTAAGGATGACACTTTTATCAGTATTTGTGATGATTAGAAACTAAAATAAAATATGGTCACTCAACAATCTCACTACAGCCTTTTTAAAATTCGGTAGCGTGTCACCAAAATGTTTTATTGGTACATGGAATAAAATATAATATTATCTATTTTTCATAGAAACTTATAAACAAGCAGTATAATTTTAAAGACACATAAAAGCAAATAACATATAGGGTGTCTTCAAGGCCCGAGTGAATAGCTTGCTTATAGGACGACATGCTCCGCATCATCTTTTACCACCAAGCGAGATAGAGGCCAAACATCGGCCATCAAACAATTATTGTAACTGGATTCATGAATGTGATGAAAGCTAAAAAAGTATGTAAGGATTGTAAAATATCTCTATAAATTGACAATATCATAAGGGTTAAAATATTAATTTTTATCTCTGTCTATCCCGTTTGAGGCGGAGATTTCTATGTATTACTTTATGTATGTATGTATAAAACATTCAGTAAGTTTGTACTTTAATCCTTGATTCTACAATAGTAACAAGTCAAGCACAGTTGACAAAAAAAAAGATGAGTCATTCTGAACAAGCTGATTAAGTTTTTTAACACATTCTGTGCGATACAAGTAATATTATTATTATAAGATAGTAGTTGCCTTGCCATCATATAATTTAAATATTTTTTTATCTATGACATAGGTGTCACAGCTGTTTTTTTTCAAGATGTAATTTTATACAACACATGGTTTTCATTGGACAACCAACCATTAAACTTTTTACTTTGTTGTTTTAAAATTTCGTTATTGAATAGTTCTGGTAATGATAAATTTTAGATTGTAGTTTTTGTTTATATTTAGTAACTAGCTATTGCCCACGACTTCGTCCGTGTAGAATATGAGTTTTAGAACATATCTCTTTTAGTTTTAATTTTCCAAAATAAAAATAGCTTATTTTACCCCTTAGTACATCACCTACCTGCCAGTAAAAGTCCCGTCAAAATCGGTCCAGGCATTTTAGAGATTAGCAAGTGCAAACAGACAGACAGACAAAAAAAATTTTGATATAGGTATTGTATGTAAATTCATATGCGAGTAGTAAAAAGTCGTTATTTCAATATTACAAACAGACACTCCAATTTTATTTATCTGTATAGATGTATGATTTCCCTATTATTCATGTTGTGTTCACATGAAGTAAAATATAATCTTAATACGTTGAAAATTGTTGAAAATCATCCCCTAAAATTCTTCATACAAATGTAGTCTCTAAACATTGTGAATAAGGTCTATAATGTAGTTAGTGGAGAGCGGTCACCGGTGACCGCTTGCTGATATAGGAGTTAATTAAGTTTAGAACGGTATTTTATGTGTATGTTAGATTTTATTCAGTTTTATGAAACACATTAAAAACATAGTATTGATATAGGAAATATAGTAAACACAAATTCATGCAAATTGGGGGAAACCAATTTATTTATTTGCGTATATTAAAATTTTTGGATGATTTAAAATTGTCAGTGTGGTAGGTTATGTTAAACAACTTTCATATCACTATCAGTTTATAGATGTCATCATTAGTTGCAAGATTAAAATATTTTTAAATGTTTATTTAAATATTTGCCAAAAGAAGTAATAAGTTGTAAAGATGTTATTTTGGTGAAGGAAATCTATACTTAGCAATAAAGTGGTATGCATTTGATTTTGAACCGGCAGGAAACAAATAAAAATACAGTTTTGAAATCTATTATACCTACATCTTATATCTTATACTATTATATAAAGCGGAAGTTTGTTTGTTTGAACGTGCTTATCTCCGTAACTACAAGTCTGATTTGAATAATTCTTTTTGTGTTGGATAGTGCAATTATCGAGGATGGCTATAAGCTATAAAACATCACGCTACGACCAATAGGAGCTAAGCAGAGCGTGTGAAACCGCGTGGAAGTAGCTAGTTATTGTATATAATTGTAAATCTTTTATCTCCACAACAATACCTAATAGAAAATGCTAATGGAAATGTTAATAACTGTTTTTAACTAACTATAATAAAATATAATGAGAACGGGTAAAAATATTACCTGTGCATTGTATGTGATATTTTTTTTTGAGTGCAATCAATGTACTACTTTTTGATTTTGCTAACACACTTTTGATGCCACTAATATGCTTAGGTTGCGATGATCATTATATCGAGCGGCCTATAAGCTTTGTTTTTACTGAAATGTAAATTCTATCTGAGTAAGCAGTCGCGGAGAACCTAACGGGTTACCGGGGTTCCGGCTCGACGTGCAGGAGAAGGTACGGGGTGGTTTTTAGTCAGTAAGAGTCTAACACTCTCTCCCGCCTCACCCAGGCGGGAGCAGTCACTTGATGAATTTACCCCCTTAAAAAATCTCAGTAAGCATAAAATGGCCGTTAATGTATCTACAGTCAGAATTTTATGCCATTATCTTACAAGAACAAGAGCAATGTTGTCCGACATTGAATTAGCTATTGCATAATTTTTACACCCAAAATATAAAAACACGTGTTATCTGTGTGTTGTGTGTACACTGCATTTTGTTATGTGTACACAACTTTATCATCTATTGCGTTAAAATCAAACAGTTGTGTTGTTGTACATGCCACTTCATTATCTTTTTGATCTATCAGCTTATTTTATCTGTCTAGAGACAACAGAACAACATACTATTTAAAGTCTCGCGTTCAAAATAATGGCATTAGCCAAATAAACTGCGGTTTTGATAGCGTAAGGACATCTCTAGTTAGTTTTTTTAAAAAGGGAAAATCATGGTTTATTCCACTTTGTTCACCTGGGTGATTTCACCTAGGTGAACAAAGTAGACTTTTTGGAGTCCTCAATTCACCTGGGAATTATTTCACCCAGGTGATATCACCTAGGTGAATTGAGTTGACTCAAGTAGTCTCCTTTGTTCACTTGTCAATTTAATTCACCCAGGTGCACAAAGGCGACTTTTTACTTTTACGTTGTGGACTTATATCACCTACATACCTTACATCAAGTCAATAAAAACTTTCAATTTAACATACATTTTAATATGTTCAAATATCAGATTAATGTTGGTCTATTACACATTATACAAAAACATCACAATTTCTAAAACTACGCTAGGAGTTCCATGTAATAGAGGTGAGCTTATTGCTGTACACTAAGTATAATTCCTAACTTCATAGTGTTTCATGCACCTTAACTACCTACATATACTACCTATATACATTCAGTAATTACGTAGTTGTTACTTCTAATGTTTTCTCAGAGTTTTAAAAATTGGCTATTTTGTAGATTTTGATGTGATCTTTCCGATTATCATTTTGCCAACCACTTCGATTGCGCGCCGCTCCTGCTTTCGTATCTTGGAAAAATGGTGGTAAAGAACAGTTATTTATAATATCTCTAAAATTTTACTGTATGCATTTTTGGCATTACTTAGTAGCAATCACCCCCTGATAATTATTTTGGAAATATATTTCGTGTACAGAATTGACTTCTCTACAGATTTATTACAAGTATAGATAAATAGTTTTGGCGGCACCGCAAAGTAGGTACACTTCAATGAACATTTAGGCGGATTTTCAGACCACATGTGGAAATAAAATTTCGTTCGTAATTATACCCAGTGTACAGCTATAAGCTGGAACTCCTAGCGTAGTGTTAGAAATTGAGATATATTTTTGCATGTGTCAAGACCAACATTAATCTGATATTTGAACATATTAAAATGTATGTTAAATTGAAAGTTTTTATTGACTTGATGTAAGGTATGTAGGTGATATAAGTCCACAACGTAAAAGTAAAAAGTCGCCTTTGTGCACCTGGGTGAATTAAATTGACAAGTGAACAAAGGAGACTACTTGAGTCAACTCAATTCACCTAGGTGATGTCACCTGGGTGAAATAATTCCCAGGTGAATTGAGGACTCCAAAAAGTCTACTTTGTTCACCTAGGTGAAATCACCCAGGTGAACAAAGTGGAATAAACCAAAATCATCGAATGACTTCTCCCGCCTGGGTGAGACAGAAGGGAATTACTCTTACTGACTCAAAACCACCCCGTTCCTACTCCTGCACTTCGAGCCGGAGCCCTGGTAACATGTTACGTATCGGCATCAACTCTTTTGAGCCCTATCCGTGGTGGTCTGATGGATCTTTGAGGCGCGCGTGGAACGCGACGCGCCGTACCTTCGCATCTGGTTCTGGCCGGGCGGCGACGGCGAGCTACCCGTGCTTGCCGTCTGCAGGCCCGTGCTTTGGTTGTCGGAGATCGTCTCGCGATCCCCGTCGCCCGGAGTGTCATTCGCGCCGGCTAGGTTGTGAGGAGGTTGCTAGTCTCAGCACATCTCGATTTGTGTGTAAAGTACTTACAAGTTAGGTTTTTCAAGTTAAAAAGTCTCATGTCAGTCCTTATAACATTAACTACACACTTACCGTCTCGAAGAATAACTTTAAATGTAATAATTTTAAATAACCCTTCTTTTAGCAGTCGGGAAAAACAGCAAACAACGTAAACGTTCGGGACTACTTTTCCTTATGGAAAAGGCATCTCATCAAAACCACGACCCTTTTCCAGCCCCAGGCCGCCCTTAAATAATTTAATCTGGGTCCAACTGTCCCTTGATGCCCTCCCCCAACGACGCGACGTCTTAAGATTTTTGTAACATAAGGGGCGCTCTCAGAGCGATTTTGCTGAACTCGCAAAAAATATTATAAGTGCTTCAGTCTGAAGCCTTAAATAATAATAACTTATTTTCTTTTTACCTTTCAAACTCCAGTCCTATGTTCCAGCGTTTGTTTGCGTTCTATTTTACTTGAATAGAAAGTTGTCCGTAAATCTCTAAGTGCAATATGCCATTTCTCATTTGCCGTAGGCCAAAACTGATGATAATCTTTAGAACAAGAGATCGAATTCGGTGCTAATCTTCCGTTACGGGTTACTGGGGCTCCGGCTCGACGTGCAGGAGAAGGAACGGGGTGGTTTTTAGTCAGTAAGAGTGTGACACTCCCTCCCGCCTCACCCATGCGGGAGCAGTCATTCGCTGATTTTCCCCCTTAAATAAAAAAAAAATCTTCCGCTACGACCTGCCATCACCATTCATTGCTTACTTAGAATACAAACTAGGATACATTTCTTGAAAAAAAAAACAACAAACATACTCCTTCATCGTTTATTCCTTTCTTTACTAATTTATCCAAAATGAACCGTTTAAATAAAGCTACAATCATACTTGTAAGGCTTCCTGTTTACTTACGTCATGTAAACGAATTTTACACACAAACACGGAGATCCGACACTTACTAGTAAGCCATACAAATATATGTTGCGTGTTTGAGTTGGGCATTGGGAGGCAAAGGCCCGAGGAGAATTTTGTCCGACATGGTGACTGCCACGGACCTTTGAATTGAATTTATGGCGCGCTATTATTTTTATACAATCCGCATAACCTAAGTCTTGAATTGTATAGTATAGATTTTATTGAATTGTATAGTATAGATTTATTACTTAATTTGAAAAGATAACCGTTGATTAATCATCAGTCCATTTCCGTCTGCTACTATACATAATAATGGTCTGTTTAGCACATCACTTTTTTAGGGAGAGTTTTATTTAATTAGGTACTTCTCCCGCCTTGGGTGAGACTATTACTGACTAAAACCACCCCGTTCCTACTCCTGCTTATAGCCGGAGCCCCGTTAACCCTAGGCTAGGTCTTCCCCAGCTCCGGTTCTTAACACACCACTGAGTTCGATCTTCAGCTGTTCATATCCAGAATCTTCGCTTACCACTAGTCTAAAACCTAATTCAATTTTTCCAGGTCTAGTAAAAAGAAAAATGCTGGTACTAGATTTAGATGAGACGCTGATCCATTCACATCACGACGCGATGCTGCGGCCGACTGTGAAACCTGGCACGCCACCAGACTTCGTGCTCAAAGTTACGATAGACAAGCATCCTGTGCGGTTCTTCGTGCATAAAAGGCCGCATGTCGATTACTTTTTGGATATAGTAAGTACATTTTTATTTATAAACTAGCTTCTTCCCGCGACTTCGAACGCGTAATCCCATTTTTTCCCGTCCCCGTTCGTGATTTTCGATAAAAAGTAAAAAATAAAATTGGTTTAAAAGTATTCTATGTCGGTCTCCTGGCTCTAAGCTACCTCCCTACCAATTTTCAGCCAAATCTATTCTGCCATTCTTGAGTTATAAGTGGTGTAACTAACACGACTTTTATAATTAATATATAGATATAGATAGACTAGCCTCTGCTCGCTTTCTTCTTCTTTCTTCTGTTCCTGTGGTAAAAAAAACCCCTGTTCAAAATTTCATCTAGATCCCTTCAGATGTTTTTACGTTGTCAAGTAACAAACATACACATAAATTTTTGCATTAATAATATTGTTGAGATGCTAAGATGTTGAATTCTATTAGGGATTTGAAAAACGTGTCAGTAAGCAAACACAAAAGGATTGACGTAGTATTTTCTTTTAGAACAAAATTATTGGTATACTGGACCATACACTGTCATGGTAAAAACAAAAACTACCTATTTCGTGCCTATCTACTCTTATACATTTTTAAATGTAACTAGGTACATACATAACATTACGCCTTTTTATACCCGATGGGGTAGGCAGAGGTGCACGTTACGGCACTTAATGCCACTGTACAATGTAACACACACTTTTCACTATTTATGTTATGAGTCCCACGTAATAGGGGGTGAGCCTATTGCCATATAAAGGGCACAATTCCGGACTTGCTACTACTGAATTTTTTTTTAAACCCAGTAATATTTTGCCCGACCCGGAAATAGAACCCGAGACCCCTTGCCCGGCAGTCGCACTTTCGACCAATATTATGATATTAAATATGTAACTAGGTACTTATTTAAACTGTCAAACACCAAGCGGTCACCGGTGACCGCAACCTATTGTTGTTTAATTGTGTCTATAAATACGGTACTCGACGAGTTAATATCATAATATTGTCCTTGTAACTCACGACACTTGTAATAAGTAGTCAACCAAACATGATGACGAAAGTTAACATATAATAGTGCAATAAACTTTGAAATCAAATCAGTGAGTCACAAATGCATTTGTATCTCCATACATTGTTCGCACTCCAAGTTTCCTTTGTATTAAGGAAGGAACATAAATATATGCACCTGTATATATATTAGTTATGTATTATAAACAAACCCATCCAATACTAACCACATGTGACGCATGGTAACCACATGTTTCTCTCTAGTTTGTCCTGTGACTATGCTTGTTTTATTCCTTCATTTTGTCGTCAACCGATATTTTATCAATATTATAAATGCTACTGGTTTGTGTGTATGTTACTCAATTACTACTAACTTTTATAATACCTATCGTGACATATACTAAATTAACTAAAATCGCGTGTTACTCAAGTGAATATACTGAGAAAAGCTCTACTAGTTTCGAACCACAGGGGGTTCTTCCTCATGAGCATGAGCAGCGTGTGCGGTCGCGGCGATGTCACATGATGATATGTGTGGTTACTGTGGTTCGAAACTAGTAGAGGTTTTCTCAGTATATTCAAGTCAGTAACCCGCGATTTATAGTCAACTCTTTGAGTATCGTCATTATAGACACAATCAAAGAACAATAGGTTGCGGTCACCGGTGTCCTCGCAGTGTTTGACAGTTTAACTTAACAAATTACAATTTTTACCGGTGAAGTCGCTGGCAGAAGCTAGTTATTGATATTTTTACTCGTCATTAAGGAAGGTCGTGGAAAGGGATTAAATAGAACGCCTTGAATGAGCCAGTTTGTACATGCGTACATGCGGAAATTGATTGTGCAGACTCAGCTTTTGTACAAATTGTTGAGTCGCTAATTGATCAGGTTCTTTTCAAGGTCTTGAAGTGAAAAGAACCATCAGCTGATTACTTGTAAGCCCTGCGAAATAATATATCGTTGACTGGACTTCACCTTGGTGCGGAAATCAAATGACTTCGTTGATGTTGCGAATTTTTTCTTTATACCAGTCATAAACTGTGTTTAGTGAAAGAAAGAATAGGGGTTATTTAGTGCTTACTTCTATCACAATTATGCGCTTAAATACCACAATAATAGTAGTGCATACTTTTTTATCTTTATTTATTTAGGAACTTTTAACAATATGTTACGCCAGTTCAATTGTAACTTGCGACCTCTATCGACATGGTTTGGCTAAGATACTATTAAATACTCCTACATCTGACTTATTAATATTCAATAAATTAATCAAAACCTTTCTCTCAGGATCGTTCCCGACACACTCCATTAGACGATGGTAGACATCCTCTATTTTATTACAACAAACTGAACAAAACGGAGAATCTACCTTTCTCATAAGGGTAGCGCATACTTGTCTAACAAATTATGTATTTAATTTCTTTAAATTCTACTAAATTCTTTCGAAAACTGATAGTATATCTCCTACTTCATCTCAAAACATTATGCCACTCACAAGACTTTATTTCTCCTACTCAAATGTAGGAAGGTTACTATGTATATTTCTGCTAAACATTCATCCACACATTTCCTTAGAAGATGACACCAAACGATGTCATTACACGAATAATATCTAGCTGATGTATCTTGAATCTTCATTGCTAACTTCCTGATTGTATCCTTCAGATATAATTATGCAATAAACTTGATTCTTCAAACTGGTTCAGCACGTGAATTCTTCATATAAAATTTCGCAAATTATTGCGTATATTAATATAAATTATTTTAATGCGAAGATTTAAAGATATTGTGTTATCGTACGTTATCTTAAGATTACCCCTGCGTAAGCCAGTTTTAGCGTTATATGAAGGACGAATTTATCAATAACACTGCTCATATAAAATTATCAATTCAAGATATTTACTGTTTTTTTGTTAAATAAGGAGCTATTTATAAAATGTGTCAATTTGTCGTTTCCAGGTGTCATAACATTATTGATAGCGTGCGATGACTTAATATTTTATTAATAGAACTTTACCTACGTAGAATTTTGAACTACATATATGTATGAAAATTAGGTTTAATTTATACTCTACTTAAAGAACATAGTCTCTCGTGTGTATAGGGGGAAAAATCATCCAATGACTTCTCCCCCCCGGGTGAGGCGAGAGGGATTGTCAGACTGACTAAAACCACCCCGTTCTTTCTCCTGCACTTCGAGCCGGAGCCCCGGTAATCCGTTAAGTCCTCCGCGGCTCCGTATCAGCCCTAGTGAGACGCACGCGAAACGCCGGAGGATCTTGAACAGATCCTAGATTCATTTCTGAAATCGGCCCAAATGAGTTCTTAATTTCTAGTTTCACAGCATATCAATAATCATAGAAATGTGTCCACTATATGGAAAATTAACAGGTTCGCATCTTATAACATTATAGTTTCTTCTTTTCTACAGTTTGAAGGTTCCTATAGAAAAATAATACACATTATTTGAACACCTCTACTAAACTATTAATTTCAATCTTCAGGTATCACAATGGTACGAGCTGGTGGTGTTCACAGCGTCGATGGAGATCTACGGAGCCGCTGTCGCTGACAAACTCGACAACGGGAGAGGAATACTGCGGCGGCGGTTCTACAGGTATATTCCTCTTCTTTATGAAAGGATGAAAAGTCTCCTTCCGCCCTAGGTGGGGCGAGACTTGGTTTAACCCGTCGAGCGTCCGCATTCCTTATGATCCAACGGGTGCACACGTGACATTTGGAGAAAGAAAGAAAATGCATTTATTTGCCCATTGGCACACGAAAACAAGAATCATTACAATAAAAATAAAAAATACAGTCAAAATAAAAACAAAAAATTAATAATAGATTTTATAAAAGAGAAAGCATGGAGCATTTTTTTCTTATGATCCACCGGGTGCTCATAAGGACGCTCGAGGGGTTAAGACTCTTACGCCCGAATACTCTCAGTATACTACTAACATTTTTCAGTATACTATAAAATTGTGTAGTCTTTCAGTATTGGGGCGTTACTGAGTAAAAACCTCCCCAATCCTACTCTTGCTAATTATCTGCTGTGTAAGATGTAAAGGAAATAATTTATTTTAATTGTTTTACTTGATTGTTCCACAGACAGCACTGCACAGCAGAAAACGGTTCCTACACAAAGAATTTGTCGTCCATATGTGACGACCTCAACAGGGTGTTTATATTGGACAACTCACCGGGCGCGTACCGGGATTTTCCAGGTAACACTATAACACTAAATGATTATTCTTAATAGTTAAGCATTGTCTGCACGGTTAGCGCGGTGGTTGGCTGACTGCCGCTCAACGTGTAGCTAGTTCGATTTTCGCAAGGAACAACTCTTTGTGTGATCCACAGATTGTTATTCCGGGTTTGGGTGTCATGTGTATGTGAACTTGTATGTTTATAATCGCACCCACAATACAGGAGAAAATCCTAGTGTGGTGCAACGTTTTTTTAAAGAAAATTGTATCCCATTGTATCTACTTGAAACAGCTATATCGCTGATGTAACGATGACTTTATTTGATGACTTTAAAAATAATGTGGAAGTCACCTAATGTTATATTTTGGGAAATGTTATGTTTCGGGATAAATGTAATCCAACTTCACGTGTGAGAGTGACTGGGACCCGACAAATTATATAATATTGAGTGAAATCATCACAATTTGGTACAGCATTGAACATATGTGTATCATTCATAGCACAGAATTCATTATTTTTATTCAAATTATGCCATCTGTCTGTATACTACCACAGATCTAAGAAATGCAATTTAAAATCCACAGACAACGCAATCCCAATAAAGTCGTGGTTCTCGGACCCGCTAGACGTGGCACTGCTGAACTTGCTGCCAGTGCTGGACGCGCTCCGCTTCACGCACGACGTGCGCTCCGTGCTCTCGCGCAACCTACATCTGCACCGCCTCTGGTAGTGCACTGTTCTGTGAGTGTTTTGTATGTCTTTGTCCGTGTCTGTTACATAAAATTGCTAGGTTAATTTTGATTAAATTCTGTCTATTTTGGTTTGAAGATTCGTAAAAACTATGTAGTATTGATTTGATCGCAGATGATTAATTAATTTCTATGAGAAATACAATTATTTAGCTTCAAATATTACACAGTGTATGTGTCAAGTGGAAATTATTGTTTTTTTTCGTCTCCTCAAATAATATCTTCGGGTTTATTTTGTTACGGGATCTAAGACAGTTATTCATGTCCCTGGGACGCGCCGGACTTCAGTGTTCCGGTGTTTTCATGGTTGTATCCACTGTAAATCCTGGCTTACATAAGTTAATAAAAAACTGTGTCTGTCAGAAATCTTTTTTTCTGAACCATTTTTGAACTTGAATATTTTTGTTTTATTTTATACATGTGTACTAAAACAATCTTTTCTTTCAATTATTTTCAGATAAAATACCGGCTTTTGTACAAATAATGGACGCCACAGGCCTCCTGAACTTATTTATTATTTTGTCACTCGTTAGGCGGTTCAGCTTCTATTCATATAGATTTAATATAGTTGAATATTTTTTTTTAAGTTTTGTTTTTACGTAAATAAAAGTGATTATCCGGTGCAATGTACACAAAAAATGTGTATGTTGGTAAGTTGCCTACATAAGTAGGGCGGAAGCGTTTTTAAAACGCTTTTTGTGTTATTATGAACATGTAAGTGCAAGAATGAGGGTGGGGTCTCACTGCGAGCGGTAGGAAATGTTTAGATGTTCCTAAATTGAGCTTCAGTAGTGATTTACCGTTGCTACAAAGTCATTTTACAATTATTTTAGCTGCAAATAATGAATTCTATTGTAGAAATACTTAAACGCCACTCAAGTTTAAGTCGCGCTTATCCCGTGATATGCCAAACGCAGATCTAAACGAGGCACAACGTGATTTCTATTGTGTCTGATATATCGGTAAGAGGTTAAGTATAGTTCTGTCTCTCTTTGTAAAACGACGGAGATTGCACGATATATGTACTTAAGTACAACTTAAATTTGAGTAGTCTTTCAGTATTCGAGCGTATAATCTTCGTATTAATGAGTCCCATTGAGTTTTTCCATGACATTTATTTATTTTGAAACATGAATTGACTCGAGTCTCTCTTAGGTTCCAAATATATTATTAAACAATTGGTACCTAATCTTGATGTGTTCATTGTATCCGCCTTTGATGACACGAATTAAAACTGTTGCCCTTAAAGAACGTGTAGCTTGAAATACTTGAGAAATGCAATATTTCGCGTGTAATATGATTTAATACTTGCCTTATACATCTGATTGCCTTCAAAATTGTTATCATGAGTCAGCGATACGTAGAAGTAATATTATTACGCTTCTGTTTACAGTGAGGCCACACTTTCTAGCGTTGTAATCTGTCTCTTTTGCTCGTATAGCAGAATGCGAGCCGGATGAACGTTAAGGCTTCATTGTTGCACTTCCAAGGGCTGTCTCGAAATCTTGACCAGATTTAAAAAAAAGCGAAATTACGTTAAATTAAATGTTCGTATGAAGGAGTATACTTAAATTGCATGACTGCTGTTATAATAAGAATTGTGTTGTGAATTTTGATAAGATTTTCTGTTGATTTATAATGAAATTGTTCAATAACATTTACTCGTGTTGGCTGTCATGTTTTTAGTCAGTTGTCTAGAACCGTGACTTTGTAAAATGTAGGGTTTAACATTTAGATCAAATATTTTAGTAAAATAAACAGCACTGATATGTAATATCTTCCAAAATCTATATTCATCCATATTTCTTGACAGCCCTGAAATAAAATCATATCTTTCTTTAGATTTATTAGAAGGTTTTAAAAGATATGGCCATAATTTGGTACCGGAGATCTTTAAACCGAATTTAGTAACCATTATTATGGTAGTTCTTATTTGAAGGAAAATCAACCTTATAAACAACTAATTAGTGTACATATTCAAGATCGCACATAATATATCAATTACGGTCATATCTCTTAATTCTATGAAACGTATTGCCCACCAAAATCAAAGCTTGCGATTGTGAACCATTTTTCTTTTCTTTTTCCCCTCGTTTTTGTAAATATCAAAGTAAAAATTACTTCAAAACATCATATGACTGGACCGCAAAATCGGATGTTGCCAGATTAAAAAATAAAGAAGTATACTTTTACTTGGCAACAAAAGCGAGGTGATTTGCTCAAACAGTAACCTTTCTAAGTTATTTGTACCAATGTTTTATTCGTTTATGAAATATTGTGGGTCAATACAAATAGAAAAACATAAAATATCAAAAGAATTCTTTAAGATTGTACATGTTTTGTTCTGAGGCCTTATAACCAGTTTGTTTTATGTTAAAAGTAATCGAAACGAGACTGCATGCGGCGCTCTGATTGGTTGGTTCATTAGAGCCGGCCAATGAGAGCGCCGAACTCTTACTCGTTTCGATTATGTACTTTTAACGTAAAAAACTCGTACTAAGAAGCCCTCTAAAATTGATCCTTTGTATTACGATAAAATTGGTACAAATAATTTTAATAATCTTCCAGTGAAATAACAAATGTATGTAAATATAATTTTTAATGGACAGTTTTGCGTGATTTGCCTATTTTTGAACGCGCAACGTTGATCTCCTAGTTTTAGTTTTATCTTTACGTAAACTCTTTTACGACCGCCGAGGTTCAACTTTCAACTTTAACTCCATTGATTTTGATGTTTATTTTCAAATGACCTATCATTGGCAATATCTACAGAGAATAATAATAATTAATACATTGTTTTAAAGCAAAAATGTCGTCGAACTACGCTTTACGTGCATTAAATATCACTTACATTTTTATATGGAAGATGTTTAGCTGTATAATACTTTTAAATATGTTCATATAACCCGCAGTTTAACGCCATCTCATTCAGCTACGCAAAATGTCAAAAGTCTTCAAAAATTTCAAACTTTATTACAAAACAATAAGGTTCACATTTTAAGGTATTTGACAGATAAAGGTAACTTGGTGGCGTCTCTGCAAGAGTAAAGCGTAGTTTAAAACAGAAATAAATATTTTCCGAAACATTAAATAATTTAAAAATCGGCAAATCACTAAAGGTGCGGTTACACGGACATCGAACTCGGTGCAGTGTGACGCGCCCTAAGTCTTTGTAAGTCACACGTGCTGTGAACCTCTTAATGACAATAGGATAGTGGTACATATACTATCAGGTACAAATGTATGCCGAATCATTTACGATTGATATTTTTTCGGTTTTTCTATAAAACGCTTCATAAAGTACTCTAAATTTCATTTTACTGAGAGCCTTATGTAAGTATTTTTACGTTAACGTTACTGCGTTCAGGCCTCTTGATTGGTCGGTTTATTGGAGCTGGCCAATCATAGAGCTGAACGTCATAAACATGTCGGTCGCGTCAACGTATAACAAATTCGCTCTAGGCTCTTTGGTCTTCTTGTATCATACTTCTGGTGACTGATTATTCCAAATTTTTGTTTCGTATCTTAGATTAGCTTTTTCTAGTGACTTTGTGAAGCGAATTAAGAAAGCGAATGTTTCAGTCTTGTTCGTGAATAATTTGAAACTGTTGGTGGCTATACAACGTGTTAGCTTATTCTTTGAAAAATAATTTGAGAAGATGCCAAAACCTTCTATAGCCATAATGGGTTCATCAATTGTTTATGAATAAGATTATTAGAGTTTTAAAACATGTTATATCTACGTCGAGACTCGGCAAGTCTTAGTTTATATCCCATTAAATCGTGTATAATGATTAGTTTGTATCGAATTGTTTCTATATAGAATAAACTTCTTTTTAAACCAAATAGTTGAGATAAAATAGTTTTTAGTCATTAAACAAATTATGAAAATCTGTTAGGACTCATTTAAAGGTGGTGTTTTGCAAAAACTTGTTTGTAACAGTAAAAATTAGTAAAGGATTTTTCACTTTTATTAAAAAAAATACTGTAAAATATTCAAATGGTTCACGCCTAAGTATACGCAAGGTAAACAACTTCAGATGAGACGATAAATTGAAAAAAATAAAATGTATTTGACTTTTTTTGTTTGTTTTTGCAAAAATCACAGTAGCCCTGTACGGACTGTTTACTAAATTGTCATACTTTGTCTAGAATCGTGATGCGTTGGAACGGTATATTGGTTGATCAGCTATACCTTATTTTAGTTTATAAGGTTGATTATTCAATGATTGTGTAATATTAGAACGGGTGTTATCAAGTTTTAAAAGGTATCGCCGCGCCGGCAACTTTTGTATGAGGGAGACGCGTCAGTGCCGAGTTATAACCACTGTCATAATATTTTAAACATTTTGCCTTTAAAGATACTATAACAGAAAAACAACCATAATTCTACCTAGGCAACTAATCCTTAGAATATTCTGACATAGTTGTAACTGGCAACAAAATAATGAATGTGGACGTAAAGTCATAACCACGTGTTCATAGACCATGTGACTCCCTAACATACATCTCGGCCTCAAAAATTACTTAATCTTATCAAGATATTGTTAATTAAGTTTGATATATCTAGTGTGCCCGAAACAGGGCCATTTAATGCAATTTTTTTCATGTACATAATATACTTTTATGTGTAGCATATCATAGATCCATTTTAAAATCCACAGGGTGATTCGTTTTACAGTGAGATTAAAGTAATTTTCTGTTGACAGAAAAAACCCAGTGAGAGATGATTCAAATGTTTTGTATGAAATATAAGGTACAACAATGAATTTGAGATTAAGTTACCATTTATGGAAAAGTAATTATAAAGCACTTGCACTCATGTAATCCACAGCATTAATACAAACTACTGAATATTAAAATTTATGCTTATTTCAATAGTAATCACACAGACACGCTCATGCACCGATGAAGAATTTAATGACAGTAAAAGAATACATACAAAACATTTGAAATATTGAAGCTACCTGAGTTATTGTATTCACAAACACATAGCACAATTTATAACAATCGAATACAATCCAAAATTAAGTGTTATTTTTTCTAAAAATATTCCCAATCATCCTTTATTTGTAAATACCGAAATGGCGAAGGCGCAAGGACACGATACAACCAATCGTAGGAATTTCCATGTAAAATTGTAACGGAACATAAGAATTAAAAGTCGTTTTTAAATATTTTAAACTATTGTGCCATTATAACGAACAGTATTTCAGAAGTATTTTTCACAATTTAGAATTTAATGTGGTGTCAAATTGTTATAGCAAAAGTAGTCATTTTTATATGAAATGCTTGTAATAGAATTTCCATTATAAAGTTACATATGTGTGTATATTCAATCATTCAAAAGCGAAGTACTTAATACTTCTAAATGGCGATATGGGTAAAATATTTAAATACGGCAGTGAAATTTGATAAAACGTGTACTGTCTGTATGACACATAAACATAAACATGGACACGCCAGTATTGGCGAAAAAAAAAAATTAAACCATATAATATTGCGGTCTCAACTGGTTGTTCAAAGTTCAAAAGCGATTTGTAATATAGAAATATTAAATCGATTTCAACAAAGATTTACTGTTTTATTTTCTCCTTGTTTTATTTCTTAACCTACTACAAGTTGTCCAAGATAGGATTATTAGCTATCACAGGTAACATGGACAGCAGTCTAGTCTAGTTTCAAGCCAGTATAATAGCGATTATAAATTGAATGATGGAACCACATCTTTAAAAAATCATAAATCAACAAGTCTTAAAAAATGGGTGGCTGCTGCAAGGAAAAATAAAAGAAAAGTTTGCTTCGATGAACCCTTTAATTTGAGACTATTTTTTATGATAACATTTCTAACTGAAAAAATGTCAAAAACTTACCGCCTGGACTACGGTTGTTTACAAAACGAAACAATAGTAGGAGCATTTATAAAATCAAACTAATTATTTGTATAGGATCAAAGTTATATAGGCCAAAATCAAATTAAGATCAACGGTATAGGATCAACAGTATGTAGGCCAAAATAAGTTATCGTCAAAACATTCTGCTCCTTACAGTAATGAGAATTAATAAAAAATATCTTCCTATCATAACAGTCGCAGCTGTCTCAAATTGTCTTACACAACAGATTATAACATCATCATTATAGCATTAGATGTACAAGCACAGAGATGGTTTCAAATTTTATAGATGTTTCCTAAAGTTACAACATTTTTTTGTCTTATCATTTTTTAAGATTATAAACACATGGTCGGCGATTTAATTCGACCATAAACATTTTAAGGTGATTTTATAGTTTGGCAAAGTACAAAACATCTCACAATTGAAATGTAGACTTAAAGGGGTGGCTAGGTGGCAGGTCCCCTTGGAAGCTTTCCAAAAGCTCCATTGTTGGTAATTGAACTTATATATCTCTCAGTGTGTTTGGTACAACACACCTTCCTTAGAAAGTTGATTCTTAGGAGAAATATAACTTATTAAATTATTTTTTCCCCTAAACAAATGACTAAATTTTACATGTTTAAAGAAAATATTTTTAACCAATTTTATCATTTGATTTCCCCTGTATCTAATGTATAGTAAAGTCTTCTGTTTTGTATATCATTCAATACATATACTAAAATTTTACTGAAAAAATAGATATAAAAGAATAGAGACAGATCTTACTAGTAGCTACTGACAAAATTTTACAGGAAATAAAAACATTCAACATACAATAAAACCTAAAAAATCTGATGCCTATGCTGTTAACAGGTAAGAATAATTCTTGTAAAGATATAGCAAATTCTTGCAGTCCTTAACATTAAAAGAAGATATTTTTCTTTCAAAATTATGGAAGTATCAATGCAGCATATCAAGTCAATAAAAATATCTCTTAGAAAAGCGTATTTGTCAAAGTACTCATAGTATTGTCTTTCAAAAATGTACATATTTTAATATTGCAAAGAACTCATAGTCATTAAAACTAACAAAGAAGGTATTGTTCAGATGTATTAAAAGATTTAGAATAACCTTAAGCTGGAGCCAATTTAAATATCACAAATAGCGGCTTAAGGGACCTTCTCAACCTCTGTCCAAACTAACAGATTAGTCACTAAAATTCATTCTCTGTACAGGTTACAGTCAAAGGTTTAAAACTTATTTAAAAATACTCCAAACAATGAGTCACTACAAAACTAGAGGGTCTACACAACATTTTTAAGAAGATTCAGTTTATACTGTTTCAGTTTATATTCAAGTTACGGCTGTACATTTTATATTTGAAGTGCATGCACACAGGTGGTGCCAGCCACTGTCAAAGAATGAATTTTATGACACAGAGAATGCCTTTTCTGAAAAAGATTTTACATAAGCCTCATGCAATTTGTTCACAAAATCAGCATCATGTTTCAGCAGATAATTGAAAGCTTGAAGGAGCTGGTTCCTAGTGAGTGGCTCAGGCGAGGGCTGGACATCTCCACCAGTGCTTGCAGTGAACATCGTAGGTGGCATCAACGCCGGTTTCTGCTGAGTTGACACAGAGTCAATCATAGGATACATTCCAATCTCTTCCAATTTGCTACCATTAAAAGAGCTTACCGTGTGGCTGATGTCCTGTGATTGATTCAGGTAGGTAGCTAGCGGAGATGTAGGCTTGGGTGAAGATATATGCATCAAATTCAACTCGCTCTCCAGTGGTATAATTCCATTGGTGTCAGTTGAATCCATCTGTCCTTTCTTCATACCTGATATCCTTTGCTGATTTGGTTTCTCGATGGGAGTCGATTTTAATGGGAACCCACAATTTTGTCTTATCGATGAATCCATGCTCATGTTGCCATTAGAACTTTGGGCCTCCTGAGGTGTCACAGAGCGTTGCTGCTTCTCTATATGTTCCACTGAGTGTGCCGGATTACTCATGAGCCTCTGCAGCAGTTGGGGTACCTCCCGCGCGTCGGTCGGACGCGGCCCGAAAATACCCGGCGAAGGTAACGACGACACCGCCGGCATCTGTGCAGCAGCAGCACCACTTCCAGCCTTCGCAAAGAAATCCATAACACTTTGCGATGTCATATCAGGCGCACGAGATGGTGTTGAATCACATTTGTTAGCTGCTAGACCTTTATTCGAATTAAAATCATCCTGGGCCTTACTCAACATGCTGAATATGTCAACCGGGGCAGCTGCAGGCGTTGATGTACCATAAACTGGATTCTGTGGCATATTTTCGCCAGGTACTGGTTTCAGCGACTCTTTTATCAAAGAATTTAGTTTAGTCGCAACTCTAACGCACTCGTCTTTATCGTAAAACCATATGCCGTAAATACGACACTTGGCATTGCGATACAAAAGGAACGGTTCCTTCAATTGTAATTCTATTCCTTTCGACACTGGTTCGATTAGGTTATTCGTACTCAATCTGTTCATAATCACTAAACTATGGTATGGTTCACCATTTCTACTATACACAAACAAAGCACCCTCGATGTTAGTTTTCTCCCATTCGTTCTCTTCGAATGTATAAAGCGCAACGTGGGTAGCACTGTCGATTATTTCTCTAGCGTAAGGATCTGCCCTCTTTAAGGCAGCGAAATTCATACGCAGTCCGGTGTCAGCCATTTTATAGCAACAAAATACAAGTTTTTATACAGCGAGCAAGCATCACAGCAAAATGACAAGAACGAATAAATTCCAAATCGCCATTTTCTAACCGTTCCGTTCACTCGGTCAATTTAATTTATTTTCTTCTACCCACTAGATTATAAATGGAATAAAAATAAAAATTACTATAAATTACATATGAATAATACAAAATTCATTGAATTGTTAATTTTAATAAGTTATCAAAGTTATTTTCATAACAAGTTAAATTAATATAATTTGTATAATTCTGAGTGTAAAGGAACGTAGTGTCGTCCCTCTAAAAATAATTTCAACGTCCTTGGTCGGTAAAAAAATAGAAAACAACGTTGCAGTTTGCAGTAGTTTTTTTAATTATAATTTTCATTTATCTATATTATTTATTTTGAATAATTGATACAACTTAAATAAATATATTGTATAACAATTTTGAGTAAAACTATAATAATTAAAATAACTTTTAGCGTATCGTAACATGAGTAATTTCTTTCAGAGTAGGTAATCTAAAAAGTTAAGATAATATTAGTAAATTAAAATAATTATTTTTGACCAATAATCGTGTTGTTGAGATTATTCGTCATTAATTACAATAATTCAGATTATGGAAAAGTAATAATTACTATAAAATTATGAATATAAGTTCATAGACTAGGTATACTTCAATACGTATAAAGATTCAATTTTATAAAATATAAGCTAGGTACCAAAACTATTTTACAATGCAGACTAATCTATTTAGTTGATAACATTTAACAGTACCGGGTCAGGCATTAAGTTGGTGGAAGGCAAACTCGCTGTAACGACCCTAATATATTTCAGCTTATGTTCATATTTTAGCTCAATGATGTAATTTTATCACAGAAAAGTTCGACCTCTGTCGTTTTGCACTTGTTTGAGTTGAGATATTGATAAATGTATCGAATAAAACACATTTGTAATTTTGTATCAAACAGCAAATACCTACCTAAGAGCACGGAGACTGACGTAACATTAGTGATGAGTGAAATGAAAATCATCGTGGATGATTAAATATTTTTTGGAGATCTTTAAATATTTTATACATTATACAATTGTATCCTTATCGATTGATCAAGTACATTTTGGCAAAAAAAGAGTTTGGAATAATTTAAGCCACCAGCATCGTGCTGTGGCAACCCTGTACGATAGAACTAATTTTGGTATTTGTTATTTTATTGACTTTAAAAAGAAGAGGTACGATGTTTTTGTTTGGATGATTGTTTATTCATGGGATCAAACGTTCAAAAAAGGGGAATGCAGTGTCACTAAGAAATGATTGAGGACCCTAAGTGACAAAGGTTTATTTATGTGTGCGTGTATAATGCGTTACCAGGTTACCCGTTATGTAAGGATATTACCCAAATTCTTAATATAACTTGAATTTGTGATGTTGTTCGACTTTTATTTTTTATGTGCTACGTTAATTCAACTTATTCGGACCTCATTCATGAGAAGTGAGCGTCATAAACGGGCCACCACGATATTTTAAGTAAAGAAATAAAATTATTTCATAATATTATTTAAAGTCGATATCGATAATCTATTTCCAACACTAGTAGTCATCTCCCTCTGGCGTCGACTCTCGAGACAACTAAACGGAATGTCAACAACGTGAACAACGTCATTGTCATTCATTTAAAAGTTTGCGCGTGTCGAAGACGGTGGTTCATAAATAAAATAAATGCTATACGTTAATTAAACATAACTGCGTCTTGGTTTTATTTAGTTAAATCGCAGTCTAGCTTTAACTAGTAAATGTTAGCTAGAAGTTGCATAAATAGTTAGTAATTTGGACACGTGACATATAGGCTAAGTTTTAATAAACAAGGTAGAATAATGTCTGGTGGTAAAGTTCTGGTGATCGGGAGCGGCGGTCGGGAGCATGCGTTGTGCTGGAAGCTGGCGGACTCACCGTTTGTGCAGCAAGTATACTGTGCACCCGGCAGTGTGGGCATCGCGACAACAAACAAAGTTGAGTGCGTCGAACTCGACATCAAGGACTATCCCGTAAGTTTTTTTCTCTTATTAGAATACTATAACTATAAGAAAATGGTCTTACGTTGTGCCTTAAGTCAGCAACTACAGCATACAAGGTTGGAGAAATGACACCTATTAAAAAGTTTCAGTTATTTTTTTGAAAAATAAAGTAAAATAACTATTTGAAATCATTAAATATTCGAATCAATACTGATTTTTCTATTAATACTACAGAAATAGAAATTTATACTTTTTAAACAGTCTGAATTATGTACTAATATTACTTTTTTTTTTATTGTTTATCACTAACTTCAAAAATTTTAAAAATAATAAGGTATAGAAAAAAATATATTCAAAAACATCCTTATAAAACATTTTGAAAGATGTCATTAATCTTTTGTAGCCATGAATTAAGATAATCTATTCTAAATTAGTCAACAATGTAAAATGTTCATAATTAAGTTTTAATTGGAGCATGTATAAATTTATTAATGATTTGTTACAATAAATAGTTTATTCTTAGAGGTTTTATCAGCGACTTACATAATATTCTTAACAGCTTGATAAATGAGTACATATTATTATTTTAAGGGCCTGTGTATGATTGCCGAGTGAGTTTCTGTAAACTTATTCAAATTCTAATACAATTAATTTTATTGTGGCGTCAATAGACTTAGCCTTGATTATTAAACATTGTATAGAAATGAAAAGAAATTATCAATTTTTTTTTTTTTATTGGACATTTTATTTGGCTGTAGAAAGGGTACTGTTTTTTTTTAAATAAGTCTAAAATAAATTGAGCCCGGTGTATGGCAAATGACAATAGACTCACCCTTTATTTTGAACAGACTCATAATTACTAAACTAGTCAGAATTGAGTGCTACATTATTACGTTGATATATTGTACTGAAAATCCCCAAAATTTGTATATATGATATTTTTTAATTCGACAGAACTAGATTTCCAATATTTCTAAACAGCTGCCTTTTAATCTAAAATTATTCGACACTAATCAGAGTTTAACGGAACGCTACAAAAACACTGACAAAAAGAAATTGTTTCTACGGTTTTAATTGTTTTGGTTTTCGTATTTTTTCATGCGACATTAGCCTTGAGCAGGTGATTACAACTATTATTACATAATAGAATTTGTTACTTTTTAGAAAGTAAAATTTGTTTTTTTCCTATTGACGTTTTTCGGGACCGTTCCATTTACACACTATATTACGTTTTGCAATAATTTATTTATTAAAAAACTTTAGACTCATTAGTCGTAAAAAGTGGCTCTGATATTTTATCTGAACTTAAATGACATTTGGTGCTTTCACTAACATTTAAGTCACACTTGTTATAAACGGACACATTTTTATCTTATCCATGACCCCTTACAGAACTTACACACTTATACATATTTTTACTCACATAGTTTTGCATAATAAAAAAAGGTAATATTATGACTATCATAAACTTAATGTAAATAAAATACATTAAATGAATGCAGACTAAAATATTTATAAAATTAAAAATGTAAAATTAAGAACTGTGTAGAGATATGTAGAAAAATAGAAATAATGTTTTTTTGTTCCTGGTAAATCGGTAATTAACCCTTTGAGTACCGTCATTATAGACACAATTAAAGAAGAATAAGTTGCGGTCACTGGTGTCCTCGCGGTGTTTGACAGTTTAATAACCATAATATAAACTATAATTTTACGAGTTTTCTTAGTGCTTAAAATGTCAGCTATTAACTGTTATGAAGAATTTCAATTAAAGAAGTCAAAACCTTGAAACACGAAATACAGAAAAGTTCAGAAATCCAACAGATTTGCTTGATTTTTTTTCTTTCTTTTGCATATACAAACAAAACGTGTGTATCGTTCGTCTGCGATAGTTATAATTACATACTTCAATTCTCTATAATAAAAAAACGAATTTATTCATTTAAAATATCGTAGCAACGGCTGCCTCCACGGCGTTTATCTCCGTTTTAAAATTCGTCAAAATCCATTTAGCTATTTACGATAGAATACGTACCTAATAAACACGTTCGCGATCGCATATTTAAACCACCTAAATTCATTTAGTAAAGTGTGAAAGCTACATTAAAAGACGTAAAAAATATATTAAAAGAAGTGTCATTATGCTCCTTAACCTTCTGCGTTTATCTGCTCTGTAGATATGAAGTCGATGACCTTAGATTACTGTCACACACCGTAGAAATGTACTTATTATTGTCTACTATCAGCCGGTTGCTATTCCGTTTGCTTGGTTACCGGAATAGGTACCTACTATGATAAAAAATTCGGAAGATTTACCTAAAAAGGTTTTGTTGAGATAAGTTATTTCCGAATTCTGATCTTGTAATCAATTTATTTATAGACTTATTTGCTGTTGCCCGGTGTAGAATAATGATTCTCGTTTTGTCCCATGGGAGCATTTAATCGGGATAAAAACCCCCTTATCACCTAAGTCAGCCCATACCCTGCCTGTATACTAAATTTCATCAAAATCCGTTCAGTAGTTTCAGCGTGATTGACGGACAAACATCCAAACAAAGAAACTTTCACATTTATAATATTAGTGTGACGATTCCTTTTGGAAATTTTAATTCTTCGTCTCGATTGATCTTCGATTACGATCTTTTATTAACTAGTTGTAGTGACTTAAAACCCGAAACAACAGATTACTAGATCATTATCATTCATTATAAATATAAAATCATAATTTTTACGTATGCTAATCGAAACTACTTTGAACTGAATCTTCTGAAGATACAGTTAATATAATAAGAGCGGTAAAGCAATCGTAACCCCTTAAATTATGTATTGTTACCCGTTAAGTGATCTGTCTGGTCGTTGGCGTCTGTCCTTCAATCCAATAAATAAAAAATATTTTAAATCCAAGACATGAAAGATGTTTAATAAAGAAGAATTAGTTTGATATGTCTGGCAATTAGCATTAGAACGTCGTTTTATTTTTGGGCACTTTCTAAATGATATCGTAATTTGTAACGTAACTATTCCGACTTCATTATATTATTTATAGACCTAAGACAAAGTATTTTGTTATACGACGGTGGCAAGAAAAACACACGGCCCACCTAATGGTAAGCGGTTACCGTAGCCTATGTACGCTTCCAACACTTAGGGCATTACATGCTCCGACCTTTAAAAAACCTATTCACTCCTTTCTTGAAGACCAACTTGGGGGTTGTAGCCCACTGGGTCTAATTAGGTCCCACAAAGTTCTCAAAACACGAACTTGTTAGTTTGAATAGAATTTATTATGTTATTGTTAACTCTCGCTACCAATTTGGGTCACTGATGCGACCAATGCCCTTCTCAATGGCAGTTGTTTCGTCACTAAGAAATATGGATTGTTCAGCTTAATGAACTTCAGAGTCTTGTCTAATCTTCCTCATTACTTGAGCCTTTATTCACAATCAGTCATCAGTCATCACTATCACCAGTCCTCTGAACACTGGGTCGTCTCTACATAAGCCTAGTTATTACTAACAAACCCTAGTTTGTCATAATGTCCACGCTTGCCAGACGGATTGAAGGTCGCAGTATAAAAGGTTCATCAGGTCAGGTCTATTTATGCAATAGGCTCATCCCCTATTACATGGAACTCATAACATAAATAATGAAAAATAGGTGTTACATCGTGTTAAGTGCTGAAATGCCTCTGCCTACCCCTTCAGGGATAAAAGGCTGATATTTTTGATATCTGTTCTCTTAAGTTTCATAAGCCAATATTATATTGACGATGTTACTGATGTAAGATGGTGACTGACCCTGTAACTCTGATCTCGACCACATAAATAATAACGACATATACAACAAACACAAAATCACTCTTGCTTGCTTCTACAATGTTTGTTGTACCCCTTGCTCCCTTTCTAGTTCTCTGTGAAGTTAAAATACAGTGTGATAATGGGTTAGGAAAGTAATTTTTCTATGCAAAATTCACGTAAGAGAGGCCTATGTACGAGTGTTCTTGTCCTACATTAGTCTATATTGGACTTGTAGGAGAATAATGCTTATGATTTTGTCTCTTATTAAAATAGACGACACAAACACGAATCTTACGTAAAAACTAGAGTTGAGTATTATCTCATAATTATGAACATGCAATGTTCGCTGGGGCGCTGGCTGTAAGTTATCCTAAGAGCAGTTACGTCTTTATGTAAGTAACTTAAGGAACGAGTGTCGTGACCTGATAAAATACTACGTTATATTTTTCTTTACTTATCAATGTTATAGACAAAATTATTGTTACACGTGATCTTGTAAGACAAATACGTTTAAATAACACGTTTTTTATAACATAACATAACATAACATCACGCCTTTTTATCCCCGAAAGGGTAGGCAGAGGTTCACATTTTGGCACTTAATGCCACTGTACAATGTAACACCCACTTTTCACTATTTATGTTATGAGTTCCATGTAATAGGGGGTGAGCCTATTGCCATATACCGGGCACATTTCCAGACTCCGTGCTACCACTGAGATTTTTAAAAACCCAGTAATACTTTGCCCGACCCGGGAATCAAACCCGAGACCCCTTGCCCGGCAGTCGCACTTGCGACCACTCGGCCAACGTTTTTTATGTCATACATAAAACAATTAAACAACGGCTTTTTTCAGAACTTATATCCGCATTCACTTCTAATTTGTAAAAAGTTGGTAACTAACTGAAACCAAATCTGATGTCCTTTGGAAAATGTATCAAAATTAAAATGCCCTTATAGTGGTAAATAGAAGGTAGGCTCTTGCAAACTCTAGAGTCTTCGAGACGAATTCGTCCACAATGATTGGTCAAATCAAATGGTCACACACGACGCACATACCTTGCGATCAATAACAACTGTTTATAGATTGAATAGACGCTCGTGTATCGTTGATAACCCCGTACCTTTCATATCATGAAGTTCAGTACTCATCGGGCAAGTTCACTCGCCACTCCAAATGCTTCGTTCAGTAAACATGGCGTGATATCTGTTACTATTCTTTAGGGCTTAGGGTAAGCAGTCTTCTTTAAAAGTCGAAAGAGATGCGTATGTTTTGTGTCAATTTTGGGCAGTTATGTTATGAGCAACAGCAGCAAATCCAATCTGAAACCTTGACTAAATTGCTAACGTAAAAGTCAAGTTTATCCACCAACGTATAAAACATATTTTCCTTTGCAGGCAATAGCGCAATGGTGCAAAGAACACGAGATCGACATTGTGGTGGTTGGTCCAGAGGATCCTCTTGCCAATGGCATTGTGGACAATCTGACTCCTTTGGGAATCAAGTGCTTTGGGCCTACAAAGGCTGGAGCTCGCATCGAAGCTGATAAAGACTGGTCAAAGAGCTTCATGAACAAGTATCAGATACCGACAGCGAGGCATAAGTCGTTCACTGATGCTGCGGCGGCCAAGGAGTTTATTAATACGTAAGTAACATAATAACAAGGTTTTCTAAATTTATTCTCCTTAAGATCACTTTTCTCTTGCAAATATTAGGGCCTAGTTTCCAACACCAGGCAAAAATGGACGATTGTGCTGTTTAATTATACTCTCATTCAGTGCTCACAGGGTCAAGGCTGCTAGAATTAATTCTCAAGGACATATAGATAGAGACGTCACAATATTCCTTGTGTCTAGACTTTCATATCGACAAGTTCTTCCACTTATTCCATTCTACGTTTAAGTACAAATGCCCTTAGTTTAGTACCTTATTTATTTCTGGATACGTCTAGACTAGTCCTTCCCAGAAATCGTAACTTACATTGTCCTTTGGACGCACTTTGCATCTCAAGAGACTGATAACAGCCTGATTTATTTACCTATTAATCACTTAGAGTTAATAGTCGAGGTCAGTAGTGAAAATATATTATACGATATTTTAATGTAGCGTTTGTGGAAGGAATTAAATATATTGTGTAGTGAATGTTTTGAAGTCCATTCACGACTTATATGATGTTCAGTCAAAGAAACTGAAACAATCTTCTCAACGATGTAGAAACTATTAAAACCCCTTATTTATAAAATTAAAATTAATTGCAATCGATGTAGATAGATTTCTTGCGTGAATAGTTTGACTGTAGACTTGAGTATCCGTTTCCCTACTTTCTGGGCTGTGCTCAGTCAGTTCAATCATTGCATCCGTATTGCGTGGATATTGAATGAACTAAATGGTATTGAGTTTGGCTTTTTATTCCGTACTCTGAATGCTATTTCAACAGCTACGAAAGGGGTTGTATAGTTTTGACATTGAATAATTATTGAGATTTTATTGGATTGAAATTGTTTTGGCATTGAGATTGGTTTCAAGAGTGAGCACCCTGGTGTGGGCTTGGCAATCACTTGGTGTGCGCAATCAGCTTATATTTACGTTTTTTTTTGGTAGCAGCGACTGGTTGTCTAAGAGAAAGAATTTTCTTTAGTGGTGGACGTTTACCGAATAACAATCAAAATTATATTAGCAACAAAATCAGTTACTAATCATTTTCTATAACCACCCGGAACAATACGTCAGTTGTTTATGAAACTGCACGAGTCCTATCGTAAACACTAGATTATTCTAACATGTGTAATTATCGATTACTTTCTTATATTCATTATGTAATTATACTTAACCTGTATAGTCCAGTTACTAGTACAAAGATCTCGGAATATCTAATGTTTATAATACGAGTGCGTTGGGTGATAAGTAGGTGAAAGAGTGAAGGTACATAGGTGGACGGTTGTAGCTGGTTTGATCTGGATTTTGGTACAGGATGTAGTCTAATTGGTCATGTAGGTAGACGGAGTATGAATACAGTATTGTGCATTGCAATTGGTCGATATGAGACACGTTGGGTTTCTCCAAATTGTATCTATTAGTTCACTGTCGGAACTTTTCATATCTTGAGTGTTGGAAATTACAAATGAATACTGTTATGCATAATTATCAAAGTAATGAATTCTTCTATAGAGAAGTAATGAGCATTACAATAATTTCTGGTCTGAAATTTTGCTAAGATTGTGTTAGAAAGGAGTTTTTGTCTAGGTTAGGTAACCTTGAAATTAAGCCTTTGACTGCTGGTAGAAAAATATTGAAGGCAAATCCTCCGCTATGTGCCGGTCACCAGTGAGGCAGTGATTAAGTTTCTGTTAAGGTAACTGAAGATATGGAGCCGCGGAAGGACTTACGGGTTGCCGGGGCTCCGGCTCAAAAAGCAGGAGTAGTAACGGTGTGGTTTTTAGTCAGTAAGAGTCTGACACTCCCTCGAAGTCATTAGATGATTTTCCCCCTCAAAAAAATGAGTAACTGAAGAATAATGTGTCATGCAATATGTATGTTATCAGTTACTTTGTAAGTTTTTACGCCTTCATTACAATAAGTTGTTCGTAATTTCATAATGAAGATATCGTTAATTAAGTCAAAGGACACTATCACAAGGATGTTAATTAAGTGCACTATAAATTATTATAAACAATATAAAAATAACACTTGTACTTGGCCCACTTTGTGCAATTATAGCAAGAATTGTGCAAATTGATAACCTTTTAATTCTTTAAACAGATTTTAAGGGGACCCCTGTTTAAATGGGAGACTTCTTATTTGTGATTTATAGCCTTTTTCTGATTCATAATTGTGTATGTATATAATTTATGACCTTTATCATACATCCATACTGTGCACCACACCAAGCACCTATATAACGTATGACACACAGGCACTTATGATGTACGTGATCCATATGGACGCCAATCTGTAGCTTGTTATACGAGGGAATTGAAATCTTCTGAAGATACTAATCCATTAGCTAAATATATGGACGTTACAATATAGCACTTTATCAATTGAAAGTTAAGGTCGACATTGCTTTCCAAGAGTATTCTTTTCAAAGCTTATTTATATCTGTATTCTCTTCTTTCTAGCGCTCCCTACCCAGCGCTGGTGGTAAAAGCCTCAGGGCTTGCTGCCGGCAAGGGTGTAGTGGTTGCAGCAAACAAGGAAGAGGCTTGCCAAGCAGTGGACGAGATCCTCACAGACGCCAAGTATGGGGCAGCTGGACAGGTCGTCGTGGTTGAAGAGCTACTGGAAGGAGATGAGGTTTCTGTAAGTATTCTGGCTTCTGTAATTTATTTTACTAGTAAAGGTATTACAGTGAAACCTGGTTAAGTGAGACATCAAGGGACCTGCAATGTCGTTTCACTTATAGAGGTATTCCACTTACCCAGTGTCTCAGATATACAGGTATAAATAAATATCTGTCTCATTTACAGAGGGTTCCATTAATAGAGGTGGACTTGGAATTACGTGTGGAATTTGTGGGTAGAATAAGAATGAGTAAACAAACAATGTTATCTCAGTTACAGAGGTTTATGCATATAAAATTTACTCGCTGTCTCAGTTATAGAGGTAACTATGATGGTAAATCGAAAGAACAAATCCCAGATATAGAGGTTAACCTCGTCCCACTAACAGAGGTTATTCAGTGCCAAAGTGTTGGGACCTCAGTATGAGTTCCAGTTATGGAGGTTTCTCATTTATCCAGGTCCCACTTAACCAAGTTTCACTGTATTTAATATGCAGTAGATTTCACTGCATATTGTACAGAAAACACCTTAAGTAGAGCCCTACTCAGTAAAGGAACAACACATAAAAAAACATAACATCACGCCTTTTATCCCCGAAGGGCTAGGCAGAGGTGCACATTATGCCAGTGTACAATGTAACACCCACTTTTTCACTATTTATGTTATGAGTCCCATGTAATAGGGGTGAGCCTATTGCCATATACCGGGCACAATTCCAGACTCCGTGCTACTACTGAGAATTTTTTTAAAAACCCAGTAATACTTTGCACGACCCGGGAATCGAACCCAAGACCCCTTGCCCGGCAGTCGCACTTGCGATCACTCGGCCAACGAGGCAGACTGGATACCTTGGCCTTTAACCAAACGCCACTTTAGCGCTTTTCTACAGAGAGAGCAGAAAACTAAATGTATGGGGATGTCACTGACAAGTGTCAAAATTTAAGTCAAATCCATATAATTTGGTTTTCTATTCTACATGTAGACAAGCGCTAAATAGCATTTGGCTACAGCTGCTTGTCGCAAAAACGTAATTCAGTTGTTTATCTCCTATATTAAATTATTAAGCGTATCTCATACACTGATAGTGGAGGTCAATTCTTCAAATATTTTTACCCACCCATTGGGGTTCTGATAACGGAATGATTTAAGTAGCTATTGTAATTAGTCCGTTTTTTATTGATAAATCTATAAAAAAGAAAAACATAGTTGTTTGTCATTCGGTGTTTTAGAGGTCACTATTATTGAGATGTTTGGGACATATAGAACACATGATTTTTGTTGATGATTATGTAAGTTGTAGATAAATGGATATCTCGGAGATTTTGCGCCCGTCACGTGCTTAGGGATGTTTGCATAGAATTTGACAAATAAATAAATGTTTTATAATTTTATGCATTGGTTGATGAGAAGGATTTGCGCATTTTTATTGCTTTATTTATGCTTTTATACCCGAAGGGGTAGGCAGAGGTGCTCATTGCGGCACTTAATGTAACACTGTACAATGTAACACCTATTTTTCACTATTTATATTATGAGTCCCATGCAATAGGGGGGTGAGCTTATTGCCATATACCGAAAACAATTTCAGACTCCGTAATACTTTGCCCGACCCAGAAATCGAACCCGAGATCCCTTTCCTGTCAGTCACACTTGCGACAATTTTTATATTTAAATGATTTAATTAACATAATAATACTGGAGTTATCAAGAATTTTATTTGTTTTGATTCGTTTTGTAATGATGGATTAAGTCAATAGAACAAATATTTGTTTTGTCTTCTGATATTTCACCTTATACATACAATATTACGAATAAATCATATATAAAGATAACTCCCACGTAAACTATCGTATGTGAAAATCAGTAATTTCATCGCGTCGAATCTTCTATGTGCGTGGTTAAATACTAATAGGCACCTCAAATTTACAGCTACCGTGCCTTGTAGCGGCACGGCAAAAATTGGGTAGTGTCCAGGGTATCAAAATTCAAAATCTAATTAGTCCATCAGTTAGATAATGAAAAAATATTAGACACGTATTTTTTTATTTTCTCGTATTAATCTGTCAAACACCAAGCGGTCACCGGTGACCGCGACCTATTGTTCTTTAATTGTGTCTATAAAACCGGTACTCGACGAGTTAAACTGTCAAACACCGAGCGGTCACCGGTGACCGCAACCTATTGTTCTTTAATTGTGTCTATAATGCCGGTACTCGACGAGTTAAGTTGCAATACTTAGATAAAATGGCGCTAAGTTTAGGAGTGGAAGGTTGTTACGTCATAATGTGCTACAAAATGTGGCACGCTGTGACGTCAGACGATATTTCAAATTAATATATCGTCAAAAATATTTAATTTTGTGAGAAAAGAAAAAATACTGTCTAAAGTTTTAAATTAATGTAGCAGACGGACAATAAAATAAAATTGACGAAACTACCCTATTCTTACACATCTTCTTCTTTATTCCAGATCCTAGCCTTCACAGACGGTGAGACAGTCTCCATGATGCCACCAGCTCAGGACCACAAGCGTGTCGGTGACGGAGACACCGGCCCCAACACTGGTGGCATGGGTGCCTACTGCCCCTGTCCCCTCATCACGCCTGACCAGCTCCTGGATGTAAAGGAACAGGTCCTGCAGAGAGCTGTTGATGGATTGAAAGCCGAGGGGATTAAATATGTCGGTATGTACGATTTGTATAAATTAATTCATATTATATTTTTGACTGATTAAAATGGTTGTTGTTTGAGAATAACAGAAGTTGTTGTTCGATAGTTCATAGTTGCAGTTAATAAGAATCTGTATTGTGCATTTGTCAATGACATTTTAAAACAATAGTAAGGATACCAATTTTTTTTTATACAATAGGAAACTCTTTGCTTTGTCTTTGACAGTTGATACCCAATTTCTATTGTCGATAGTCTGCTTAAAGCCAAGTTATCGACATCAGTATTTATTACTAAGTAACTGGTGGGTATTATAAATACTTAAAAGGTTCATTACTTCAAATATTACTTAGATATTTATTATCATATGTTATGTAGTATGTCTAGGTAGTAGAACATAGTAAGTCTTTAAAAAGCGTGATATCATTTTCAAGATGTAATAACAGCTAAGTTCACACCCCTTTGTGCTTAACTGTACTCGTGTCTACTAGACTAGCATTTCATAATCTAATACATAAACATGACATCAGCATACTTCGCACAGAGACAGCTTACAAACTATTGCACATATAAGAACTATTAAGTCGATATCAGTCCTTTATCTATTAGCTCCTATATTATGTATTGATAAGTAACGGGTTTTTACTGCTTCTGTGCAAATGCACTCTGCCATCTTTTGAATATTATCTGTTTTATAAACTTTGCCGATCACGATGAATTGCACTTTGTTATAATTAATTTATCACACATTAAAAGTCATTAATAACTTGCCTTGTCTTTGTAGCACTCCCATAGGTTGTGACTGACTTAAACAGTACTAAAAACTTATTGACTGAGTAGATATTACTAAGTATTCTGAGCAGACTAAAACAACTACTGTCTTTTTTATGGTATAAGCCAGAAACGAACGTTTAGACGCCTCACCTGATGGTAGCAATCGGCGTCGCCCATGGACACATGGAACACCAGAGGCGTTACGAGCGCGGTACCGGTCTTTTGGGATTAAGAATTTGAGGATGGTTGATGATTCAGGGATTGGGGAAGTGAGGGGGGATAAGTTGAGCCTCCGGTAACCTCACTCACACGACGAAACACAACGCAAGCCTTGTTTCACGTTGGTTTTCTGCGACCGGCCGTGGTATCATTCCGGTCGAGCCGGGCCATTCGTGCCGAAGCATGGCTCTCCCACATTTAGTAGTAGTTTTAGTCTACTCACTCAGAAATAGCTGACTGGCTATATTTATAGTTCAAATATTAAATTTTCAAGTACTTGTTTAAGTACGTACGAAAATGCCAATATAAACGCATTTTACCACTTTATGTTAATAAAATTACGCACACAATTAGGTATATTACAAATAACAGTCACACAATTATTATTATAGGTAATTATAAACTATGACGTCATAATAACTGCCTTATCGATCAAATGAAAAATAATTTTACAAACGAATTTCTTTACTATTGGTCCTTATCGATATTAAGCATGAATAACAAGCGGTGGAAAATTCCTATGTTTTAAACATAAGTCAGTAGGTTATCCACAAGGGCGATAGCAGACTATTTCGGAGCTTAATCCTTTTGCATAGGGTTTTTATTTGCTTGCCATAGTTTAATGTCACCTAGGGTATAGGATAGGGGATAGATAGATAATCTATACATCTATACAGATAAATAAAATTAGAGTGTCTGTTTGTAATATTAAAATAACCGCTTTTTACTACATGCATATGAATATACATACGATACACATACCAAAATAACAATTTTTACAATTTTGTCTGTTTGTGATGATGAACGGTCCAGCCATTCTAGAGATAGCCAATCTCTAGAATGGCTGGACCGTTGCAAGACTTTTATTGGCAGGTAGCTGGATGTACTAAGGAGAAGCATTACCTACTTTTATTTTGGAAAAGGTTTAATGTTTAAAGGCTACCAATTTATTGCAGTCTCCGTGTAGGTAGTTTTTATTTATGTACACACATTCAACACAGAGAACAATACATATATAAAAACAGAGTACATAGGCCCCACATATTCTAACTGGAATTTCTTCCTGTGGGCCTACTGTGGGTTATTGTGGGTATCGATAATGATATGAGAATTTACATAAAGTGTGTGACCGTAGGTTTAAGATGTCTTAAAACTAAAACTTCTTAGTCCTCTTAGTCCTGTCTCTAGATAAACGTAGATCCTGGTTAATCACCATTAGGTGAATAATACTAGGAAATAGGCGTAATCGCCTATTATTATTATATCCGCGGCAAGACTTCAACTTCTAAACATATGAGGCCCAATTACCCTACCCTTCCCCAATCTCCCCAATTCCTGAATCCCCAACGATCCTCAAACTCCTAATCCCCAAAAGGCCGGTAACGCACTTGTAACGCCTCTGGTGTTTCAGGTGTCAATGGGCGACGCCGATTGCTTACCATCAGGTGATCCGTCTGCTCGTTTACCGGCTTATGACATAAAAAAATATATGTGACCCTGAGAAATTTTAGATCGAAGCCCTCCCATATTTTAGTAGAGCTTAACAAACGTTGATAATTACTTATTACAACTTATCGATACTAGGGAGCACGCTGAATAACTACTTGCATCATATACCGGGAACTTGTCTGTTGAAGTAAAGGTCAGGCTCAGTAGATAATGCTATAAATATAGGCGGGACATACAATGCCTTCTTATACATATTGTATTTGCGATATGAAGATCATTCTCACATAGCTTTGTTACCAGTATTCTCTTTAAGACTAGATATGTATACTACTAACTATACATACTATATGTGTCGCGGAGAACCTAACGGGTTACCGGAGCTCCGGCTTGACGTGCAGGAGAAGGAACGGGGTGGTTTTTAGTCAGTAAGAGTCTGACACTCCCTCCCGCCTCACCCAGGCGGGAGCAGTCATTCGAAGATTCTCCCGCCTTAAAAAAATACATACTATATGTACCTACACACACTAATATAAATACTAATTTATACACTAATTGGCTCCAAGGCCGAGTGGTCGCAAGTGCAACTGCCGGGCGAGGAGTCTCGGGTTCGATTCCCGGGTCGGGCAAAGTATTATTGGTTTTTGCTGTGTCCGGTATATGGAAATAAGCTCACCCCCTATTACATGAGACTCATAACATAAATAGTAAAAAGTTAGTGTTACATTGTACAGTGGCTTTTCACTATTTATGTTATTATTACCATGTAATAGAGGTGAGACTATTGCCATATACCGGGCATAATTCCAGGTTCCGTGTTACTACTGAGAATTTTTTAACAAAACCCAGTATGTAATACTTTGCCTGACCCGGCAATCGAACCTGAGAGTACCCAGCAGTCGTACTCGGTATTACCTAATAGTAATCAATATAAAAATCTGTGTTAGACCCTTTACAATTTTTTCATGACTAACCACTGTTGTAAGTATCGATGTTTTTCTCATCCCTAGTATTTGACATTACAAAATGACGCGAAGTCATTACACCATGTGTCATAAACATAATGGGGATGATGACAGGGTATGAAAATTAAAAATATAATTAGTCCATAAGTTAGGTAATGAAAAAATATTAGACACGTATTTTTTTATTTTGTCGTATAATAAAACAATACTTAGATAAAACGAATCAAAGTTTAGGAGTGGGGGCTAAAACGTCATTTCTTAGTATAAAATGTACTGAGAAGTGACGTCACGCGACATTTCCAATCAATATATCTTCGAAACTATTCGTTTCTGTGAGAAAATAAAAAATACGTGTCTAATGTTTTTAAATAATCTATCAGACGGACATTAAAATAAAAATTAGTCGTCTACCCTATTGTCTATTGTCTACAAAATAAATCGTTCCTTGTTCGACTTCGTTCGTTAATGTCTAATGTCACACCTTCTTTGCATCAGAAGCCTTAGATTAACTGTCCAATGACTGATCCATATCATTGACGTAATATAAATCAAGATAATGTAATTTATTGTTAAAAATACATAACGAAATGTTTCGTGAATGTGTCGTCGCTAACACATGTTGCAAACATTCCTTCAAACTGTACAGCTTTACGTCACACCACCGGACCGTATTACGTATGTCAATGGCATTTGACCCACTATTGTTTACACCAACCATCGACGCACAATTACCACTAGATAAATTCTCAATAAATATGATTTCATCTAAATTAACAACATTAAAACAACGATAATACACCCTGTTGTTGTACTGATAAAGTCGCTTTTTAATTGGCTCCAGCAGGAGGGATAGCAATTGTTTTTTAGTATTGCGTTTGTTTGTTTGCGTGTTTTGCAGTTGCCAAGGCGTTCCGTTGTAGATAAAATGTATGAAAGATATTGTTTTTTTGATCGATGTTGTTCGGTTGTGTTATATGACGTAGTTACATCACGAAATGCCGCTTTTAATGTTATAGGTCAAACAGGAATTGTTGATAATATTAATTATACTCTTTTTGTTCGAAAAAAACTCTTAATAAATGTGAAATGAAAATTAATTTTGTAAATGCATTTTTAGTCTTAAAATTATATTATATTGATTATTGTTTGATTACTGCCTCGTTGGCCGAGTGGTTTCAAGTGCCACTGCCGGGCATGGGGTCTCCGGTTAGATTCCCGGGTCGTGCAAAGTCTTACTGGGTTTTTAAAAAAAATCTCAGTAGTAGCACGGAGTCTGGAATTGTGCCCGATATATGGCAATAGGCTCACCCCCTATTACATGGGATGCATAACATAAATAGTGAAAAGTGGGTGTTACATTGTATAGTGGCATAATGTGCACCTCTGCCTGGGGATAAAAGGCGTGCTGTTATGTTATGTTGTTTGATTAGCTATTGGAGAATTAAGCGCATGGTGTTGGTTAAAGATGCCAAATGATTGTTAAGTTCAATCTACCCTTGATGGTTTCAGGACCCTTATTCTATTTTTGGTAGACCCTCGTTTGACCAAGTTGAAGGCACCTCTTAAACTCTCTAGTGACTTCAAAATCCTTACTAATATTATAAATCGAAAAGTGAGTTTGTTTGTTTGTTTGTTCCACTTTCACGCCATAACTACTAAACCGATTGCTTTGAATTTTTGCAGACGTAAATTTAGAAGTCTGGATTAAATAATAGGGTACTTTTTATCCCAGAAAAAATTGATATTCTCGAGGGAAAACGAAATTATTGGTATAGATGGTGTGTACGCTGTGTGTATTGGTATATGTCACAGGCTACTTTTTATCCTTTTGTGACGCGAGCGAAGCCGCGGGTAATATCATATAAATTGTATTTGCTTATAGGTGTCCTATACGCCGGCATGATGGTGACCAAGTCAGGGCCCATGACCCTGGAGTTCAACTGCCGGTTCGGAGACCCAGAGACACAGGTGCTCATGACGTTGTTGGAGACGGACCTTTACAAGATCTTCAAGGTGAGATTCAATATTTGGAGGTTATATAGAATTTTAAAGTGGTAAATATAGAGCTAAGGGATCTACATTTATGTTGCCTATAAGTTATAAAGAATGTATGGACATGAACATGCTATGTAAAATTGACATGTTGGGAAAACACCTCATTCCGAGTAACTAAGTGTAAAAGAGCCGTGATCCCACGGCCTCACAGAAAACCGTGAAACAACGCTTGCGTTGTGTTTCATCGTGTGAGTGAGGTGACCGGACGCCCAATTACCCCTAATCCCTAAATCCCAAATAATCCTCAAATTCCTAATCCCCAAATGGCCGGTTACGCACTTGTCACGCCTTTGGTGTTCTGGGTGTCCATGAACGAGGCCAATTACTAACCACCAGGTGATCCGTCTGCTCGCTAACCGGCTTATCCCATCACAAGAAATAACCTTCAGATCTTCGCAGATAATTTTGTCAATTTGATCCGAAGCGAGAAAAGTGTTTTGTAATTACAATCTATTTAGCAGTGCCGGTCTGTGATAGATAAAGAACTTTACATACATACAGTTGTTAGGTTATATAAATGATAAAACTTAAGACTAAAAACAGGGACTCCGTTCTTACATTCCTCCATTCTTTTATAACAATTTTTAATATCATTATCTTCTGTTGTAGGCCTGTGTGGAAGGTACCTTGCGTCAGATCCAAGTGACGTGGAACACCAAACTGTCTGCCGTCGGCGTCGTCATCGCGTCCAAGGGATACCCTGAGACGTCTACCAAGGGCTGTGTTATTAGCGGTAAGTTTTTGAATAATAATAATATTTTTTTATTAGAATGTTTTGTTTAATGTTCTTTTACTACATTAAACTTGCTACAGATCTATGACTACGAAAGTATTTGTTTCGTTCCGATTTTCATGTTTTCTCATGTGGTCTTTATGTCTTGTATTTTTATTATTGTTATTTTAACGTGTTATAAAAATCCAAATCTCAAACTGTATGTAAAGATAATGTTAGTATGCCCTTTGTGTTTTCTTTCAACTTCATGTATTTTCCAAGATATATTTATGTCTGACTAGCGACCCTCCGGCTTCGCACGGGTGTAATATGCATGTATTATCATGCACATATAAACCTTCCTTAAGAATCAATCTATCTACTAAAAAAACTGCATCAAAATCCGTTGCATAGTCCTAAAGATCTAAGTATACATAGGGACAGACAGGCGGCGGATAGCGACCTTGTTTTATACTATGTAGTGATTTTACATAAGTGGCATTTGTTAACAGGTTTAACCCAGGTCCAATGTACACCAGGACTAGTGGTATTCCACAGCGGGGTAGCTCGTGGCGCGAACGGTTCCCTGGTGTCGTGGGGCGGGCGCGTGGTGCTGGTGTGTGCCCGCGCGGGGTCGCTGCGGGCCGCCGCCGCCGCCGCGACGGCCGCCGCCGGACTGGTCGACTTCCCCGGCGCACATTACAGGAAGGACATCGCTCACCGGGCCTTCTCCAAGTATGTATACTTTTTATTTATCCTTACTAATATTATAAATCTGAAAGTGAGTTTGTTTGTTTGCTTGTTTGTTCCACCTTCACGCCGTAACTACTCAACCGATTGCTTTGAAATTTTGCAGACGTAAAGTTAGAAGTCCGGATTAAATAATAGGGGTTACTTTTTATCCCGGAAAATTTGATATACCTGAGGGAAAACAAAAGTATTGGTATAGATGGCGCTGTGTGTATTGGTATATGTCACATTGGCTTTTTATCCTTTTGTGACGCGAGCGAAGCCGCGGGTAAAAGCTAGTTTATTTATACATTTGGAAAACCAACAACTATACAATTTGATTAAATAGAATGTGATATGCAACAAGAAGCCAATTACTGGTTTCCACGATTAGTAACAGAAAGTACAAACATGCTAACACAGTACTAAAATTACTTATTAAATTCATTAAACCACAGGCAATCTATAAACATCTATTTTGTATGCTTATTCTGGAATTTTATAAATAGGGGTTGTGAATAGACCTGTAATCGTGATAACTTATTTTTTAAACAACATGCCACACTATGTTGCTTTAGCATTTGGCGATTGCAGTTCAATCGCTGCTCGTGAATAGTTCGTGAACATATAACGAACAACTCTTGAGCTGCTCACGCATTCTCCAGATTCCATATTGAAACGTATAGACTTCTTATTGTGTTGTTTCAAAAAATGTCACACCCGTATTTCGAATAACAACTTAAGAAATCATGAACTTAACTTTATTACACAATTTCAAATACGATATACCGTTCATAAATATCAATCAAACATTTATTTTTCTATTTACGTTTTATCATGGGTAGAATCTGTATGTGCTCATTCACAAATATTTTTTAACCCGTAAGTAATTTTACACTTTACTAACTCTTCAATCACATACATTATACATAGTTTACTTACTAAAGCATAAAAACATCGCATGTGTAAAGATGCGCATAAAAATGTAATGTATTTTGTTTCAGCATGTATGCATCCGACAAAGAACGCGTCATTTAATTACATTCCTGATTAATTAATGATTAACTTTGTTAATTAATTGCATTTCTGATTAACTTTTGTCTTGTGATTAATTTCGTTATTAATCAAATCTTGCATTTGTCTTAGCTCGCATTTATATTGGAATGTTTCGGGTAAGGATCATTTTTTACGTCAAACGTATTTTTTTATTGTTTTTATTTACATTTTGTATGTTATTTTCTTTTTGCAATAAACGTGTATCGTTTTAATGTTGCTTGTTTTGTTTTTTCATCCTATTTGCATCGCATGTTTCTTAAACTTTACAAAAGTTTAAAAGTATTGATATGAACAAGAATGTTAGAAAAATGAAGTCATATTTTCCATGAGTATACATTAATATTAACCTATCTATAGGTACAAATGTATTCAATAAATTATCTTACAGAAAGTAAATAATACTGCATGAAGCATGTCAAACTTTTCAATATACACACCTTTTTATGTTGTACGACAGTCCATGTAATTCAGTTCACCACAGTCCATTATTATTAATTTTCTCAATACTATGATTAGACTGATGAGAAGACTCCCTAAATGTAAATGAGCTTATAACGACAAAATCTATCTTTTCGATAAAGCAGACCAGAGCAGAGACGAGTTTGTTATACGTTAAATTTATTCGTAAAGAGTACGCGTTCGGCGCTCTGATTGGTTGGTTTATTGGCGCCGGCCAATCAGAGTGTCGAACGCGTACTCGTTTCGAATACTTTTAACCTCTGTATAACCTCTGTATACTTAACTGGTACACATAGAAAAAAACAAACTCATCTATCAATCTATGACAATAGGTTCACCCAGGTATTGCATGGGACTCATAACCTAACTAATGAAAAGTCGATGTTACATTGAATTTAGGTATCTAGCCGTACCCGTTCAGACTCCAAACTTTGGAGATCTGATCAATCCCCAAGAGGTCACCGGTGACCGCTCTCCACTAATTCAATTGTAAACCTTATTTCCGATGTTTAGAGACTACTTCTGTATTAACCAATTTCGGGATTTTTTATCAAGTGGTTAAAAAACGTGACGTTATATTGTGATTATGAATCAATCATTTACCCGTAAATTTCTCATTGCATTGATACTGAGTACTACAAAACTAAAATAAAGGCTCATATGTGTACTCATAACATTAAACTTTTTGATCAGATTGAGTCAGAGTTGCACATATATACAAAAACTAGCTACTTTCGCGCAGTTTCACCCGCTCTGCTCAGCTTCTATTGATTGCAGCGTGATTTTTTATGGCCCATAGCCGTCCTCGATAAATGCACTATCCAACACAAAAAGAAATATTCAAATCGGACTTGTAGGTCCGGATATTAGCACGTTCAAACAAACAAACAAACAGACAAACATTAATATAATGGTATAACACATACAATGTTATACCCACTTATAAGAGTCCCATGCTACTTTATACGTAGTAAAGCAAAGCCTAACGTCCTAAAACTCCTTACCCAGAATCAACGGGCTCTCCTACCTCCAAAGTGGTGTGGACATAGACGCAGCTGCGACCTTAGTTCGTCAAATAGAGCCTATTGCTACTGCTACCCACCGGCGGGGAGTGCTAGGCAGGCTGGGATGCTATAGCGGCCTGTTCCAACTGTCCGCCATGGATCCTAGCCTCAAGGACCCCGTGCTGGTTCAAGGCACTGATGGTGTTGGGACTAAGCTTAAGGTGAGAAGTGAGCTTTAAGTATCAGGTATTATTTGTGTATGAAATGGTAGTTTAATGCGGGAAGTAGGTAGGCTTACGGTCATTTTCTATTATCTAGAATTTTGACATAATCTTCCAATACAAACTGTGCTAAAATTCTATCTCAGTAAGCAAATGTAAAGATGAAAGGTTATAGAAAATGGCCGTTAGTGGTAAAGGTAGAAAAGATTTGGGAACCAAAATGCGTTATTCTTGAATTTGAACAGTAAATTAAATTTTCCCGTTGTTACTTTCTTGCACCTTACATAAAAGTATAAAATAATAGAGGTTTGATAAGCAAATCGGTGTTTCAGTCAATCAACCTAAGATCTACAAAATATTATAGATATACGTCCAATTGATAAATACGATACATAAGTAACCTTTATCTTTGTAGCAAGTATGTTATGGAGAGAATAAAAAAAAATGCCATTGAAAGTTTTTTTTATATACTTATTACCAAATGAATTGCAGATCGCAGAACTAATGCAGAAATACGACACGTTGGGCCAAGATTTGGTGGCGATGTGTGTGAACGACATCTTGTGCGCGGGCGCGGAGCCGTTCGCGTTCCTGGACTACATGGCGTGCGGCCGCCTGCAGGTCGACGTGGCCACCACCATCGTCAAGGGCATCGCCGACGCTTGCACGCTGTCGGGCTGCGCTCTGTTGGGTAAGCGTAGTTATATGTTAGTTTTAGAAATATTAATGGACTGCCTCGTTGGCCGAGTGGGCGCAAGTGCGACTGCTGGTCAAGAGGTCTCGGGTTCGATTCCCGGGTCGGGCAAGGTATTACTGGGTTTTTTGATAAATTTCTCAGTAGTTGCACGGAATCTGGAATTGTGTCCGGTATATGGCAATAGGCTCACCTCAATAGGCTTACATGGGACTCGTAACATAAATAGTGAAAAGTGGGTGTTACATTGTACAGTAGTGTCTGCACCTCTGCCTACACCTTCAGGGATTAAAGGCGTGATGTTATGTTATATGTATATGTGCATTTCGGCCACTTGACTTTGACTGCACGTTTGACGTAAGATGTTGCACTAGTTGGGTAACCGGCTGATACGTACAGTGTCGTAGATTCGATGCTTAAATAAAACAATCCTTTTTGTGATCCACGAGTTGTTGTTTTGGGTCTGGATGCTATTTAGATACGGAAGTATTAAAACATATCTACGATACAGGAAACATCTTAAAATGGGGAAACATTTTTAATTAATTATAAAAATTATAATTAAACTATGATAATTTTGAAGCTTAATGCTAAATGTGGTTATTGTTTTGTTTTGTTATCAGGCTTAATTTTTTTGTAGGAAAGATCACTTAACTTTCTTTTTTAATTTAGGTGGTGAGACAGCAGAAATGCCTTCAATGTACGAGATAGGTAAGTACGACCTGGCCGGGTTCGCAGTAGGCGTGGTCGACAACCTCAAACAACTCCCGCGCACCAAGGAGATCCGGCCCGGCGACGTCGTGCTCGCACTGCCATCTACCGGCGTACATAGTAACGGATACAGTCTGGTGCAGAAGATCATGATGGAGACTGGACATAGGTGAGGATTCTTTGTTTACTTTCATTGATTTTAGTGAAACATATAAACCTAACGATTTGAAAGTAAAACCTGTTCATAAATTACTTTTGCGGAGCACCTGACGTTAAGCAACTAGCGCTATCCATTGGCTTGCAATAGTAGAAGAATTACGAGGGCGTTACCTAACCTTTTGGTGTGTGGGGTTTAATGAAATCCCTAAAAGGGGGTAAGGGGATATGGGGGAGAGGGGATAATTGGATATCTCTCATACATCATAATCTTTTAAATTTGAAATTGTAAAATACACACAAAGGAATCTCTTACTTATTAATATTTTTTATTCATAATAAGTGAACTGAGAAACCTTCTATGTATAACATGTAATTAATTATTTTACCACTATTACTTTACCTCCTTAGATACAACGAACCAGCAGCCTTCAGCACCACAAACAAGACTTATGGCGAAGAGTTCTTAGTGCCCACTGGTATATACGTGAAGGCCCTATTACCGGCCATTAAGAAGCAGCTCATCAAAGGACTAGCCCATATCACCGGCGGAGGCCTATTGGAGAACATTCCCAGGATCCTACCTCCAGGCATCAAAGTGAAATTGGACGCTACGAAGTTTAATATTAAGCCCGTTTTTGGATGGCTTCAGGCTAAAGGTATGTTGGGATGTGAATCTTAGTGGTAAGGGTTTAGGTTGATTTTAGTTTGTGATTGGAATGTGGATGATTGATTGAGTTAATAGCAGTGTTCTATCGTGAAAATAGCGAATTGGTTTTGAAAATGTATCAACATGTAGAAGCGCATAAACGGGTGTAATTGTTACTTATAGCGGCCTTGCTAATAAAACAATCTTTACTCATTCACATTAGTCCTGATTTAAGTTGTTTTTTCCTGCTAAAATTTGCGCAGTTTTCATCTATCTTTAGCAAAACTTAACTCCACAATGATGTCTTATAAACAAACCCACATTAATCTATATTAAATTTAAAAATCATACCCATTCCAAATTGCACCCCCCACCTTCTAAAACAAAGTCTTCTTCCCCAGGAGTGGTATCAGACTTCGAGATGCTCCGTACATTCAACTGCGGTGTCGGTATGGTGGTGATCGTGGACCCAGTCTGTGTCAAGGAGTTACTGGATTCCGTGGACGAAGAGATCGCAGTCGTAGGCGTCGTGGAAGCCATGGGCAAGGAAGGTATGCGGGATTTTGACACTTCTGTACATATTAATAGGGCTTAAAGTCACATCGTCGAGGTTATGGACAAGGAAGGTATTTGACATTTTGAGATCTATGAGGAAGTAATAAGGTTTAAACGGTTATTATGACGTCACAATTAAGACCTACCATAAATTTTCGCCAGGAGGACACCAAGTAGTCGTAGAAAACTTCAAGGAAGCGATGCACCCCCTCACATCTCCATACGTGGCCGGTGATAGGGCGTCTCCTCAGAAGTCACTCTCCTACAAGGACAGTGGAGTGGACATTGAGGCTGGAGACTCTCTTGTGTCTCTTATCAAGCCTTTGGCAAGGTATGTGTGACTCTCTCATTCTGTTTTGAAGGTATCATATCATTTTCTGAGTATCATTCATCATCAACAATTAGGATGATGACAAGGGTATGAAAATTAAAAGTCTAATTAGTCCGTAAGTTAGGTAATGAAAAATTTTCAGACACGTATTTTTTTGTTTTGTCGTATAATAAAACAATACTTGGTTAAAAAGAATCAAAAATTCAAAATTCAAAATTCAAATTCAAAATTCAAAATTCATTTATTCACATTTAAATAGAGTTATTACATTTGATGGTTTTTATGTTACATACTTTGTTCTTATAGTCTATTTAGCCTGCTTAGGGCATGTGAAGTTAAGTACATTTAATAAAGGAAAGTAATGATAGTACATAATTATATTCAATAATAATCCAATTCAATAACATTCACAATATAATTCAATTAAATTAGAGTCGGAGTCCAATACAAGTATGAAGTCAAATATTTTATTTTGCTAAACAATGTCAATTTTAAACTCTGTCATCAAATACTATTTACAGTTAAATAAAATAAGTTAAAAATTTATCATATTAAACAATGTCCCTTTTAACATACAAGCCAGTAGTCGTTTTTACATTAAAACTATTTTTGAAACCATTCATTTATAGAGTAAATCATTTTCTTAAGAAGTAACTCTTTTAGCACTTTCTTGAACTTTGGTAAAGGAAGATCTTGGATTGTTGTTTGTAACCTATTATATATTTTTACGCACATTGCTGAACAATTTTTTTTAAACATTGCTGTTTTTGGTACAAATTCTAACACTAGTCGTTGACCATGTCTTGAGCTACGTGGATATGTATTGTCACGTGTGTAGATGTCACATGCTTTTATAAATAGGTTAGGATTAGTCTTTACAAACATACAGATTTCGAAGATATACATACTTGGCAAAGGTAGTATGCTGAGCTTCTTGAAATAAGGTCTACAGGACTCATATGGGGGAATACCAGCAATGGCTCTTATGCAACGTTTTTGGGATAGAAATGCCCGTTGTAAGTCTGTTGAGTTTCCCCATAATATCAATCCATATCGTAACACGGAAGCCACATAACCATGGTATGCTAACAATACCGTTTGTTGGGCTGATGTAGTTCTAAGTCTATTTAGCACGTAAACAAAAGAGTTAACTTTCCTACAGACGTCATTAACATGTGCTTTCCAATCCAAATATTTGTCCATTGTGAATCCTAGAAATCTTACATTGGTAGATTCGTTGATATTTGTACCATCATACAAGATTTGCCTTGGAATAGTCGCAGAGCCACGGGTCTGAAATTGCATGAAGGTAGTTTTACTGATATTTACTTGTAGGTTGTTCCTTGCTAACCATCCTACAACTAAATCGATAGTATTATTTATTTCACTGTCAAAATCATTATAAATTAAATTATCATATGTCAATATTATGGAAATGTCGTCTGCAAATAGTATACATTTATCGGATATAATGTCAGGCAAATCGTTAATATAAATAAGAAAAAAGAGTGGTCCCAGGATACTTCCTTGCGGAACACCATAGCTATTTACAAGATACTCAGACTTCACTTGTTTCACCATTGCATTTTCCTCACAAGATATTTCCACACATTGTTCACGACTATCTAAATATTGTTTTATCCATTCTAGTGCTGGCCCTCTTATACCATAATTATCCAATTTCTGTAGAAGCAGATTATGAGAAACAAAATCAAAAGCTTTTGTCATGTCAAAAAATATCACCGTGGTCTGCTTTTTCTTATCAACATTTACTAAAATATTATGCACTAAGTCAAATGCGGCATGTGTGGTTGATTTTCGTTTTTGGAAACCATATTGTTCATTTTTAATGATTTTATACCTATCCAAATACGATGACAATCTTTTGTGCATAGCCTTTTCGAATATTTTAGAAATAATAGGAATTAAAGTTATAGGTCTATAGTTGCTCATTTCTGTTTTGTCTCCTTTTTTATGCAACGGCTTGACTACTGATTTCTTTAACCGACTGGGAAAACTGCCTTGCTCGAAGGATAAATTAATTATGTATCTTAAAACAGGAACAAGACTGACGATGCATTTTTTCAAAATGTGTGTTGTGATACCATCATAACCAACAGAACTAGTATTATTCAGAGATATAATAATATTTGCAACTTCAATGTCTTCTATTGGTGTGAGAAAAATACTATTACTTGTGCGGTTCTTGTTTGTGTTTTGTATGCATCCATTATCGCTGTTAGATAGTTGTATTAGGTACTTATTAAATTTGTTTGCTATGTCATATGGACTGGTTACCATACCATTGTCAGTTTTTATATCTTTTATAAATTCTTGACGAACATTATATTCCATGTCATCGTTTATGACTTTCCACGCTGCTTTACAGACATTGTTTGATTTAGTTATAAAATGGTCATTTGTAATTTTTTGTGACTTTGATATACAGCGCCGCAACAAGTTCGAATACCTGTGATACACAATTTTATTTTCTTTTGTGCGCTTATTATAAAATTTAAATCTTAGTTGACGTTTTGTTTTACAGCTAAGTCGTAATCCTTTAGTGATCCATTTTATATCACGATATTTTGTGGTAATATTTTTTTAATCTTTGGGAAGCATAGTTCAAAAAATAAGCAGAACTCGTCATGAAAGATATCGAAAGCTAAATTAAGATTAGATTCATTATATACCGTATCAAATGTTAGGTTTTCTAAACATTCCTTAAATTTCCGAATGTTATCCTTACAAAAATCTCTTTTTATTATGTGATATTTTGATGAATGAAACATTTTGGTTTTTATCGTCAAGTCTAACATTTGTGCTGTGTCGTGATCGGACAATCCTAATTTTAAGATTTTGCCGGAAGCTTTTTTTACGTTACTAATTATGTGATCTATGCAGGTATTCAGTCTTGTCGGTTCACTAATATGTAATGTCAAATCATAATTCTGTATAATGTCATTAAAGTTTTTTACGTCTTTGCAATCCCTGAGCGTGTTGATATTAAAGTCACCTGAAAGTATAATTTTGTGTCTGCTGTATTTACTGTTAAATAATAATTTGTATAAAAGTGTGTCAAAATACTTTAAGAATAACTCAACACTTGATTGAGGTGTACGATAAATACATATTATTACCATTTTTAAAGTTGGCACCTCAATACCACAGCATTCAAAAACCATTTCCCTGACAAAGTTCTGTATAATATTTAATTCGTTGTATTTTATCCCTTTCATAACGAATATACAAGTACCGCCTCGCTTTTTCTCTCTACAATATGTTGATGCTAGGGAATATCCATCAATTTTAGCGTTTTTTATATCACCTTTTATTAAGAACGTTTCACTAAAACACAGTATATGCGGGATATTTTTATTGATCTGTAAATTAGTTAGAGTAATTTCAAGAATATCTCTTTTGCATAATAACCCTGCTATATTCTGATGTAGGATATAGAAACAAGAAGTAGTGTTTTTATTGGGAACGAAAAAGAAAGCTTTTAGGCTCGGGAAGTGGTACGATTTTAGTACTTTTCACAAAATAATAGGGGATTGTGCCCTTTTTTGGTTTATTTACCAATGGTGCATTTGGAATACTAGCATGTCTATTTGGCTGAGATTGTATTTGAAAATAATAGGGTATTGTACCCTTCTTTGAAATATGTGTTAGAACCTTATTATCGTCGTTTGGGACGGATACCGGCCATGTAGTAAATATATTTTTAGGATTGTTATTATTATATGTCAAATATTTTTGTTTGTAGTCACTATAGTCAATTGCTAAATTAATTTGATTACATAACTGACTGAGGTCCACCTTGTCATGATAATTATATGGCATGATTTTATTACTATTATACCCTTTTCCTATGCTTAGGTCTATAAATTGACAATTTTTAAATTCCTTACAAATAATTTTTAGCATATTATTCAACATTTTTTCGTTTAAATATCTATTACTTATTACGCTTGTTACAAAAACATGTCGATCGGAGAGAAGTTTCAAAGCAGCCGAAGTTTCTGTCATAATATGTGTAGGATTTACGTCGTGTTCTCCTAAAGATAAAATAATTCTATCGTCTTCTTGAATTTGGGAGTAGTTATCTTGGATTCCTTTGAGTATATCTTTAGTTCTAGCCCCAGGTTTTATGAATGCACTAATAGAATATCCTAGGTATTTCTTGTTAAGTCGAGAATTTACGAGCTCACTAGATAGCCCTCGGCATTGTTCTCCTCCAAATATGTGAATTTTGTTTACATTATTATTACTTTTCCGATGAATATTTTCATTATTTTCCCCTGATGTTTGATCTACTGTGGTCTCCTTGATGCTCAACACCGGATCCTCAGTGTCTTGTTTTAAGACCTGGATTTCCTCCGTCTCAGGTTCCGCAAATCTAGAGTTGTCAATCAGCATTCTTCTTGACTTCCTTCGTTTTGATTGTATCTGGTTCTTGACATTTTGTGCAGGGGGTGTAGTGCATATGTTCTTTAAAGAGTTTATTTGTCGTGTTTGAAGATTAACCACATTTTTAAGTTGATTCAATTCCAAGTGAAGGTTTTCTATTTCGTTGTTTGCAATCTGTAACTGTTCAGATAGTAATTGATTTTCAGTCTTTATTTTTTCAAGGAAATCCAAATCTTGGCCAGTAGATAGATCCAAGCTCCTTGTGTGTGCTTCTGTTGCTGATAAATTGAGTGATGAACACATAGATTCTATTGATTTTGCTTTATGTAATCGCTTTGGTCGTATTGTGACATTCATGTTTGTTGTGATAGGTGTTTGATCCATTATTGATATTAAATTTTCCAAACTATATTTTTTCTACTATATTCATTTAAAATAATTTTTCAGGATATGAGAAATAAATATTAAAAACCATTCATGCAAATAAATAAAAAAAAAAATCATAAATGTTCAAAATTTTGCCATCCAGTGGGGCACGAATTCAGGCCTTTACGATTAATGTTAGAAAAAAATCATAAAATGCAGCAAAAAGAAATGCAGTCGTCGGGATCCGAACAGTCACACTGTTTATCGGGAGTCACGGTTCTTTCCGTTATGCTATCTAGACGTCACGTCATGTACTCAAATTAGTTAATCGTATCTTTCATATTGATTATTCTTAACAATCTGTTTTACCGACAATCCTGTGTACATTAATTCCTTTTTGTGAACACAGATGGCACTTATTTTCACTGATTTTAAATTATCTCTTCACAACGGTTTTCTATTTAGTTTTATCACTGTTATCGTTTAATTTGTAGCACTTGGTCGTGTAATATTAGAGTTTCACAATTTGCACTGGTTATTTCTATTACATACTGACACTCATTCGTTTACTTACAATGTTTATAGTCATATACAGGTCACATTTAGTTTTAGGCAGTTAATTTCACAATATTGATTGTAAAGTCAAGATAACATTCGCACATACGTATTCGATAATTAGTCACTGTTTTTACTATATTTCACTTCAATTGTCGCTTTAAAGTATTTTATTTTTGTATTTTTCACTGAGAGTATAACACAGTAGGTGTTTACTTAACAGCGCCACCTGGCGGATCCACCCAGACCAAAGTTTAGGAGTGGGGGCTAAAACGTCATTTCTAGTTTCTACGTATAAGATGTACATAGAAGTGACGTCACGCGACATTTCAAATCAATATATCGTCGAAAGTATTCGTTTCTGTAAGAAAATAAAAAATATGTGTCTAATGATTTAAAATAATCTACCAGATGGTCATTAAAATAAAAATTAGGCATCTACCCTATTCATAACAGCTCACTGCTACATTATGGCCTTCTTTACATCAAGGGTTTGACAAAATATATAATTATTCTAGTCCATCGTAATTACAAGGCATTTATAATAGTAAATATTATTTTTATGCAGGTCTACATCACGTTCAGGAGTGCTCGGTGGACTCGGAGGTTTTGGAGGCTGCTTCCAATTGAAGGCTGTTGAAGAAGAATACAAGGTATTCAAAGTTCTGATGTTCGACAAAACAAGTATTTTAGCAGGCACTGATTCGATGCAATCGACTGATTATGTCTTAAACATACCAGTTGTTTCAAAGCTAATACTAACAAAATCTACAGCCAAAATGTTATGGCGCCTCAAAGAGCCATCAGACTACCACAGATGGGGCCCAATAGGGCCGATACCGATTCGGAGTCGCGGAGAACCTAACGGATTACCGGAGCTCCGGCTCGAAGCGCAGGAGAAGGAACGGGGTGGTTTTTAGTCAGTAAGAGTCTGACACTCCCTCCCGCCTCACCCAGGCGGGAGCAGTAATTCGATGATTTTCCCCCCTTTAAAACTAAATATTAATAATGATTTTCCTCATTAATATTTACCAGAGTTTCTCTTTTCATCCAGGATCCCGTCCTCGTCCTAGCAGCCGACGGAGTAGGCACCAAGCTAAAGATAGCTCAGAAAATAAACCAGCACAGTACTATCGGTATCGACCTGGTCGCCATGTGTGTTAACGACATACTTTGTAACGGGGCGGCGCCACTTACGTTTTTGGACTACTTCGCCTGTGGTTCTTTGGATGTGAATGTAGCCAGGAATGTTGTGTCCGGAGTCGCTGAGGGATGCAGACAATCTTCAGCTGCTTTGATTGGTGAGTTATTGTTAAGCTTTATCTAGTTTTGTACTAATGTTTCGTAGAGTCTCCATTTCTTTTTCTGACTAATCAACTCTTTGCCCCGTAAAAGAAAATAGTTTATAGTTGAACGTCGCTGTTTTTGTATCTCCGACTCAAAATAAGACTGATAAATATTCATAACAATGATTCTTGCATAAACAATGCTCTATATCTATACTTATAATAAATCTGTATAGAGGTCAATTCTGTACATAAAATATATTTAAAAAATAACTATCAAGGGGTGATTAGGGATCGCTACTGATGCCAAAAATGCAATCAGTAAAATTTTTGTCTGTCTGTCTGTCTGTCTGTATGTTCGTTATGGAAACAAAAACTACTCGATGGATTTTAACGAAATTTGGCACAATTATTCTTCATACTCTTGGGCAGGTTATAGTATACTTTTCATTACGCTACCATCAATAGGAGCAGAGCAGTGAAGGGAAATATTGGGAAAACGGGAGAAGTTACTCCATTTTTTAAGCTTCCGTCGCGTGTGCAGGCTTATAGGTTAAAGCTGCATAGAAATTATGTATGACGGAAATATTCTCCTTAAAATTATATAAAAAATATTCCTCGACAGCATATGTCTATCTTTTATAGTTGACTCACAATAACACGTGAAACTCCCGATAGCTTAGCAATTCGGTGATTTCTGATTATATTTGTCTACTCTAACGTTTACAATACTCATTCATAGACTTTACGCTGTATCTGAAAGGCCAATGGTTGAAATTAGCTTGACTCGATATTATAAATGAAATTTCAGATTTTCGAAAAAAACTCAAATGGCTACCTATTCGACTTCGCCGGAATGCTCATATTCTCTCATTACTTTACAATATACTCTTCAATCCTGCTGCCCCTTGTTATCTAAAAGAACGTTTTCAGTTCCTTGGTGACACACATACAAGGTTATTGAGATCATCAGACAATCTTAATTTAAATATTAGTTTGCACTCCACTTCCTTTTTTGGTAATTCCTTCACTATTAAAGCGGCTCGGTTGTGGAATGCCTTGCCGATTAAGGTGAGGCGTGCTCAAACTCTACCTCAGTTTAAAAATCTAGTTAAAGAACATTACCTCTCTCTTTAGTCATTATTTTTAAAAATTCCTGCCTAGCATGGAAACACATAAACACACACACACACACACACACTCACACACACGCGCGCGTGCACACACAGACACATCTACACACACACTCACTTATGTATAGTAGTTATATCTATTTTAATTTTATATATTATTTATTTGGTATGTAGGTATAGATAGTATTATATTGTGTGTATTGTTTTAATTATTGTACACTAGACGACCCCCTTTTTCAAACTCCTGAATACTGGCTCCATCCAAAGGTTGTCTGGAAGAAATCGCATTCTGCGATAAGACCGCCCATTGTGCACATTCTTTTATGTTTGTTTTTTTTATGTATGTTTTTATGGTGTACAATAAAGTGTAAAATAAATATGTGAGTTTATGTGTATGTTTGTTACTCAGTCATATTAAAACGACTGAAGGGACCGGAATGAAATTCGGAACAGAGGTAGATTATGGTCTGAATTGATACATAGGCATTTTACCCCTGGGATCGCGGGCGAAGCCGCTGGCAGAAGCTAGTACTTAATTATAATCCTGTATTCAGGTGGTGAGACAGCTGAAATGCCTGGTATGTACGAGCCAGGAGTGTATGACATCGCCGGCTTCGCGCTCGGAGTCGTTGAGAGATCACACATACTGCCCAAGATCAACGACATCGCGGTAAGTATATTACTTAAATGTCAATTAAATTTTAAAATTTGCTTTGTTGGACTGTTCAGTGTTTAAAAATTGTCTAATTAATGTGTGCTTCGTTATGATGCTAAGTTGCGCAAAATGAATCTCATTTGCGCAACAAAGTTGAAGCGCAAAATTGCGATTTTTTAATAAAATACTTATTTACAAATGGATCTCGTCGTTGCAATCGTTGTTATGGTACCTGAGCATAAAGTTTTCTTATATTTATTCATATATTACCACAAAACTGAAAACTATATAACTGTATAATTATGATAAATTAATTGATTGTGACTAGGTGGGCGACATAATCATCGGTCTGCCATCTAACGGAGTCCACAGCAACGGTTTCAGTTTGATCCACAAGTTAATGAAGAAGTCCGGTCTCACGCTCAATGACAAGGCTCCATTCAGTAAAGAGGGACTTACTCTTGGTAAGTAGTTTGTTATTTAATAATTCGAAGTTGGATTGGAATGGATAATTGGTGTTAAAATATCATTGAAAGATATTTTTGGTTATTTCTTTCGACGTTTAGTGCAAATGCATATTTAATTTTATGTTGTAAATATCAAAGATGAAGTAGTTTTATTTGATTGACTTTATTGTCTGCACAAAATTTCTCTTTTTGTTCTCAAGAAAAGTGTGTACAATTTGGTAATTTTGGTATCGGAGACGAACCACTTTTGTATGGCTATATTTTACACATTTTATTTAAGTCAACATGTTTTCACTGACAAGTGGACTTTTTGGCCTCTGTCTCGAATTTTGCGGGCAGCGGGGCGGCGGTAGGATCTTATGCGTAAAATCAAATGAATTGGTTCTCGAAATAAGCGGCGCGGGGGTGGGCAACGAGCGGTGCACTCCAATCAAGCTGTGCCCGCCGCCGCGCCGCCCCGCTGTCTGTAAAATTCGAGGCAGACGCCTTTAAGTTACCTACAAGTATTATAAGAATATAGTAATAATTTGGTATCGTCCCCTTCAGGCGAGGAGCTGATCAAGCCGACCCGTATCTACGCGCGCAGCGTGCTGGCGGCGCTGCGCGGCGGGCGCGTGAAGGCCGTGGCGCACATCACGGGCGGCGGCCTGCTCGAGAACATCCCGCGCGTCATCCCGCCCGCCGTGCGCGCCAGGCTCAACGCGCACTGGTGGCACGTGCACCCCGTACGTGCACCACTTACATTACTATTACTCCATACTGTATACAAGTGGCATTTGGACCCAATCCTCTGGTGCTGCGGGTGTCCATGGCCGGCGCTGATCGCTTACCATCTGATCCGTCTGCTCCTTTGCTTCGTATTCCATAAAAAAGCCCAGCAACGCCCTTGTTGCTTGTTGCCTCCGGTGTTGCGAGTGTTTTTGAACGACTCATTTACCGACCTATACATTGAAAAAAATTATACGTTTCTAAATAGTATTGTTGAACTCTATTATAACATCCCTGCAGTAAGAGTGACAATATTCACAAAGTGAATGCGAAGACCTAAAAATTAACGTCAGTGGCGTACTGTCCGAGAAGCTTGTATCCAGTAGTGAACGAAAAATAGCTAATGATAATAATAGAATCGACAGTAAATTTTAATCAGACTTCTGACTAATTTTTCTATCAATAAATACTCGAAGTTTACCTGTTATAATTTCATCGTTTCTTCGTGCAGGTGTTCTCATGGATCGCGGACGCTGGTGCGGTACAAGACGAGGAGATGTTGAGGACTTTCAACTGTGGTATCGGAATGGTACTCGTCGTGTCGCCTGAAGATCAAGCTGAGGTGAGTTGCATAGAAACCTTCAAATATCTGAGCTTAACAGCAGCTGTCATTCGCTAATCAAAGTCAAAGTCAAAATCATTTATTTCAATTAGACTAGAAAGACACTTTTGAACGTCGACAATAAAATTAAAAGTGAAGCTATTTGCTCATTCCAAGGTGTAGATTCCTATGGAGAAGAACGAGCAAGAAACTCCATAGGTTACTCTTTTTCAATCAGGTTTACAATACAATTCTCTAGGTACATAGTTTGCTGTTTGGATTGTGCGAGAACAATGTAACACTAAAATCTAGTCAAAGTGAAAAAGAAAATAACCTTAAAGACAATAAATAATTCAGTCTGGAGCTGACCAGTCCCAGTTGACGGCGCCTCTTCGTCTGGCGAGATGATAAAATGTCGAAAAAATATTAAGTACAGTGTTGTAGTTGTGTCAGAAAATTGCATTTTATTGTGCTTATGTGATAATTGTTCTAATTACAATTAAATACTTGAAGATCTTATGTCAGCCATAACATCTGTTATGTCTTCAAAAATGTAAATGCATAATAATGATGTCTAAAAAATCACAGTCAATATTTTCTATAACCTTTTATTTATATTTCAGGTAATGAACACAACTCGTGCATTCGGCGCGATGGTGATTGGAAGCATACAGAAGCGTCCAGCAGATGGCGCCCGTGTTGTTGTAGACAACTTCGCCTCAGCCATGGACTTCACAAGAAGAATGCCGCTCTTACCTAAAAAGAAAGTAAGTTATCATTTCATTTTTAGTTTACGCAAGTAAAAATTAGATTTTTGAAAGCAAAGGATTTCTTTTTCCAATCCCTGAATACCCTAACAATGCTCAAATTCCTAATCCTAAAAGTCCGGTAACGCACTTGTAACGACTTTGGTGTTCCAGGTGTCCATGGGCGACACCGATTGCTTATCATCAGGTGATCCGTCCGGTCGTTTACCGGCTTATACCATAAAAAAAACCTGCTAAAAATCCTTTGAGAATTTAACGTATGTTTGCGCAATTGATTGCGCTAAATTGCGCAACCGTATTTTAAGCTGGTCACTAAATGACATATACTGAACATTACTCTGTTTCATTAGTGACCAATGTAAAGGTGATTATTGACTGATAAATAAAGTATTGATTTTATGATACAAAAACAATACAATTCGTAATAGAAGGTATTTGATATAAACATAAAGTAGGTTAGGTTTAAAATTAGGTAGATTGAAATCAATTTGACTGCACGGTTGGTGCGGTGGCTGGGCAACCGGCTGCCGTGCAACGTGTCGCGGGTTCGATTCCCGCACGGAACAACACTTTGTGTGATCGACAAATTGTTGTTTCGGGTCTGGGTGTCATGTGTATGTGAACTTGTATGTTTGTAAACGCACCCACGACACAGGAGATAATCCTAGTGTGGGGCAACGTATTAAAAAAAAAATTACCCTTTATTTTATACACATCAAATTTTCTTGTATTTTTTCTGGTCTGTTATATACCTGTAAATGTTCCCAGGTGGCAGTCCTAGTATCAGGTAACGGCAGCAACTTGCAAGCGCTGCTGGACACGACGCGCGAGGCGGCGCAGTGCATGTGCGCAGACATTTGTCTCGTAGTCAGCAACAAGAAGGACGCATACGCTCTGCAACGCGCTGAGAAAGCTGGGGTGCCTGCGATGGTAGGCTATTTTTATATACATATACTAACAAACCCGGCGAACTCCGTTTCACCACCAGATGGTATTCCTGAATTTTCTTTGCTATAAACCTCACGGAGCAGAACCTCAGAGACCTTTCCAACGAATGCAAAACCGTGGAAATCGGTTCGTGCGTTCTGAAGTTATAGCGTCAGGAATGAAAACCCGACTTATTTTTATATAGTAGATTCAATATTTAGTATGTAAAACCTTTGGCACTCATGGCTAAACCTGAGAATGGATAAAAGTGTCTTAAAGAAACATGTAGAACCAAAAATATCTGTTACTGTAGTTATAGGTAAAACTGTAATGGAAAATGTATTTAAAAATATGAATAGAGGGTTTAGAATCGGTTAACGGGTTACGTGTTTTAAGATTGAGTGTTTCTTACAATTTTATATGTCCAATAGTTTCAACTGTGTTTATGTGACTTCTTGTCAGGCCATTCTTAATAAAATAACTTGTCTTACGACAAATGACATTTGGTCATCTCTAACGAATCAGTTTTATAAGTATAATTGATTTTATTATTTATTTCCATTAGGTATTCAACCACAAAGACTACGCCTCAAGGGAGGAGTTTGACCGCGCCGTGTCTGAAGCACTCGAGGCACACAAGGTAGACATCGTCTGTCTCGCCGGGTACATGAGGATCCTGTCCAGCGAGTTCGTTAAGAAGTAAGTTGATCGATTTGCAACTTTATTGTGTTGTGATAAACTTTAATATATATTGATGTTAATTAGGAACTTAATTCTATGTTACCACCTAAGTAAAACATTGTGGAACGCAATAAAGAATTTGAATTAATATTTCAAGTGAAAGTGATCAGAATATTTTGTCTTGTATTGTTTCTGGTATGATAAAAGCGTTGTTTGTATATAGATGGCACGGTCGTCTCCTGAACATCCACCCGTCCCTGCTGCCCCGCCACCCCGGCCTCAACGCGCAGAAGCAGTGCCTCGACGCCGGGGACAGGGAGAGTGGCTGCACCGTGCACTTTGTCGATGTAAGTATCTTGTTTGTTTTAAAAATATTGATACAGAAAAAGCAGTACCTAGTAAGTAGTACTACTGTCTTTTCTCGCCTCAAGCTGAGAATGATTTATTTAAAAATAAATAGTCTCTGTAGGTTCCTATTATAAGGTTCCCATTTTCTTCTGGGTTTTGAGTGCGTAATTGGCCTTTTGGGATTAGGAATTTGAGGATTAATAGGGATTCAGGGATTGGGGAAGGGCGGGGGTTAATTGGGACTCTGGTAACCTCACTCATACGACGAAACAACGCAAGCGTTTTATCACGTCGGTTTTCTGTGAGGCCGTATATTTACTAGTTGCTTCATAGCTGAGGTCATAACCTATTTTCGGTGTGAATATTATAGATTCCGGAAACGGTTTAGTTTTCAGCAGTCAGTTTGTGTGATTTCGCCCTACATAGAATTAGAGAAACATTAATTGAGGTTATAGTTGTATACCATTTCTTATGCCGTTGTAATGAATTACTCCTAAAACCTTATAATTATCTCCTCTTCAGGAGGGCATGGACACTGGCCCGATTATCCTCCAAGAAAGAGTACCAGTACTGCAGAAGGACACGATAGAGACCCTGACAGAACGTATCCACGAGGCGGAGCACCGCGCCTACCCGCGCGCATTGCGCCTCGTCGCCACCGGACGGGTCAGGCTCAACCATCAGGGGACGCTCATGTGGTACTCTTAGGGACTAGGGGACCATGGTTCTGTAACAGTCATATAATGTAGGTTGATGGGAGGTACTTCTTAGTGTTTTCAAACCATTTAAAATGATATAAAAAAGGCACAATAAATCGTATATAATGTGTGTTCTTAGTCAGATTTCATCCATTCAAAATGAATTGTGTTCAGTAGGTTAATTGTGCAATATCCAGCCTGTCTACCTATTCTTGTTGGTAGACAAATGATCAAAAGCGTCGATTCTTGTAAAACTCTTTCTTTCTATTCTTGCCCTTTTTTATATGCTATATAATTTTATTATCTATGAAACAATCAATGCATTTATGTTAGTAATATTTTTAATTGACTATATTGTTTAATTGTTGATATTTCTTCAAAGCTAAGATTGCTTCCTGTCAACCTAATTTAAAAAGTAAATTGATTAGCATAAACCGTAGGTATCTATTATGAAACAAATCGAATATGTATGAAACTATAGACTTGAACATTTCAATCTCAATATTATGGGACCAAATATGTTTTGTATGTAAAACAATATACATAACTTTACATTCCTATTACGTCTTTAAATATTAGTTTTTTATACTTGAAATTTTATTATATTTATCATAAAATTATGGAATATAGAGAACCTCGAATTTGTATATAAGAGTAAAGTTATCACATTATTAGTTAAGTATAATTATATATTGAACTGTTAGTAAAAGTTTTTATATATAAATTTTATTAAAAACAATGCAATATACTGATTAGTTTACTGAAGAAAATTATTTGATATACATCTTTATTTACATTGTATGAAGTGCAATAATCGGCCGACTATCGCCAGTATATAAAGCAGGAAACATACTATTGATTCGCGTCACGACCCAACCAAATAGAACGCTTTGATTAGTAGATGAACACTTTTGAAGATGTCATGTATGATGACCAAAGCTTCACGCATTGTGTTAGGATAGTATGTTCCCAGCTTTATCTGATTCTGCTCAGAAGGTTCAGTTATTATTGTTATGTCTATTCCTATATTATGATATTACTTTAAATAAAATGCATGATTATGAAATGCCATTTAAAATATAAGTATGTTAAGTTTTACAGTGTGTTTGAAATAAAACCTTTTTTGTATATATTTCGTGTTTTATTGCCCATTTTAAAAAGTGTCTATAAAATATTATCACAGATATGTAGGTACTACAGTATGTTAACAAATATGTAAAAACAAAATTTAAATGATTTATCTCTTCATAAAACAAAACAATATCATGAAATAACAGTACAAAACTTTTGTAATTTACATTGTTCAAGATTTATTCTTATCTTTGAACATAATCAAATCACCTAAACCTTTGAAAAATATTCCAAATAAATCGTCGCTATCATTACTAGCATATTCATTAGGTTTCGTAACATCAATGTTCTCTTTCTTGACCCTGGCAACAGAATGAAGACCATTCTTCAATATTTCGTCACATATTTTATCAAACTCCACATGAAACTTCTGTTTATTCATCAAAGGAACTATTAAGTTATACTTATTTATCTTCATATTAATCGATGATGCTAGTTCTTTATTACTTTCGTATATTTTCTCCCATTTCGTTACATCCTCTTCGTTGAACGGATAAGGACCGAGGTACATTCTGTCTGAACGGATTTCTTCTTTTAAACTGTCTATCTCTTTGTCTATTTCTTTAGCTAATGTTATCCATTCGGGTGTGAAGCCGTTGTTTATGAGGACCTGTAATGTAAAAATAATGTTGGTCCCAAAACTGTACCCTGGGGAAGCCCTACTGTGAAATTAACTAATTAAGTATTTCTGTGCTAATTATTAACTTTTCTTCAATAAATTCTATAACTAGGAACTATAAATCAACAAATCTTACCTCATTTAACTTATGTGTAGTAAAATCAACATAAGGATTATTGTTTTGATTCTTCAAAGGCTTTCCTTTGCCACTTAGATTTTCAAATTCTCCTTTAGACATTGATTCTTGTATTAAATCTTCAACCAGTCTATCAAAACCGTATTTAGTTTTGATATCATGTTTCTTGCCATATCCTTGACCTTTTTTCATGAGGGTTTTATCAGAAGCTACTGCTTTTTCAAGGCGGTGTTCCATGACGTTGATGGCTGCCTTCATAGCTCTGGCCTGCGTGTACTGCTTCTGTCTTTGGAATATGGTTCCATGGCCATAACCCTCGTAACTTAGGTACTGTCTGTGTTGTGGTGCTGTGTGCTATAATAAATGTAAAGGACTGAGTAGAGTAAGTGGTTATCACAAAAAATATTAAGATTTATCAGTTTTACACCAATCTGACACAAAAATATTACTTCAAAGTCTCTTTTGTAGCACTTTAGTTTAGTTTACTCTATGTGTTATCAATTATTCGAGTTTCATCATAGCTAGAGGTAAACAAATCTTATCATAGAATGAAATGAATGATACTAAGCATGCCCAAGTTAAATACTCACTCTTATATCAAACACAATCTTCTCAACCTCTTCTTTATTACTAGCACCAGTGTTGTGTTTACTAAGGACTCTGAATGCATTCTCCACAGCCACAAACTTGTCCATGTCAGCTTCTGGCGACCCAGAATCTGGATGGTATTTCTTAGCAAGGTCCAAGAAGGCCTGACGGACTACATCCTGCTTGGAGTCTATTGGGATATTGAGAATATTGCAACATTCCTGAAAAATAAATAAAAAGTAAACAAACGAATTGCTTATTTATTGAATTTTTTAGGCTCAACACTAAATACATACTGTGAAAGTTAGTATAGTTGTATTTTAGCTACACAAAGAACATTAAAGTTCTCTAATTCATTTTTAAAACTTACAGCGATCTTTTTCTGTGTTGATTTTGAAGTTATAGTTTTAGCGGCAATAAATGTAGGAGCAAAATAACATGGAACTGCTCGATCCAGGTGCCTGAAAGTTGCTGATATCAGTGCCTTACTCATGTTTATTTATTTTTTTATAATTAGAACATATTTACTTGTTTTTTTTTTTTTTTTTCTTTCTTCTTTGGCAACCGAGTCTCCAATACGATGTTGTCGACTATACTGCCAGTGTCAGGTGGTGACGGCAGATTAATGAGCCGTCGAAGTTAACTTTGCGGTAGTTTTTAGTAGTTAGTAACTGAAAGGACAAAACAATTGGGTTAGTAAACATATAAATATTAACAACTATTTTACTGTATGAGTACAGGGGTGAAGAAAATAGTTGAGGGGACGTACACAATGCACAATACAGACACACAGATATATACGCCATTTACATAAATGTCACCGTCATAGTTTAATCTCATTATCATTAATGAATCTACATAAACAATGGATTAATTTAGGGGAAAAGTGAGTTAAAAGGAGGTGGAAATTAATTGGAAGTGGGATTTGAATACTGGGGAGTTTTTTATAAAGGTCAAAAGATTGGGAATTTAAAGGACACGAAAAAAATATATGGTCTACAGTTCCCTCGTCAAGGCCGCATTCACACAGCGAGCTGTCGCGGACACGGATCTTGTTGAGGAAGACTGGGCTACTACAATGGCCGAGTCTGAGTCTGCACAAGGATGAAACAGTGTGGCGGGGGAGCTTAGGGTACTTGGAAAACCAAGGCCTCCGCCGGATGCCGGGCTGGACACTTGCATAGTAGGCTCCTTTACTTTTGGAAGTGTCTACCCACACTGCAGCCCATGAGTCAAAAAGCTTGTGTTTGGTGTCGGCACGTACATCATACCCGTAAACCACGTAGTGTTGACGTTCGACATCGTTCGAGGCCGCAAATTTGGCTAAGGAATCCGCACACTCGTTACCGCATATGCCAGAGTGGCCAGGAATCCAAGCGATCTCGATGTTTAGGCCATCATTGAAGCAGGAAAGAAGAAGCGCCTTTATCTCAACAACCAAACTGCTATGGGTTCGGGAATGGAGCTGATCTTGGTTGAGGGACTGTAGGCTACTTCGGGAATCAGAAAAAATTACGGAATTTTTGAGGTTGTGAGCTCTAATAAATTTGAGTGATTCCAAAATGGCCGCACATTCACCCGTGAAGACTGATGCCTCCGGGGGACACTTGGAGAGGAGAGCGATCCTCGAATTTTGGAAGTACGCTGCCACTCCTGTACATCCGATTCGGGATAATTTAGACGCGTCTGTGTAGAAGGTATTCCAACCTCTCCAGTATTTGTCCAAGGCACGTTTGAACTCGTCTGCAGCATTCACGGTGGATTTCGAAATGCCAAGTCCTAAAATCAGTTTTGGTCTAAAGTGGATAACCTCATATACGGAAGAAAACACTGGGAGCACAGGATATTGACTTATGGGTGCAGAGAGGTTTTTAAGCTCCCTGTACCTAGCAATCACGGGAGGGACAGGTTTATTTTTCCAGTAGGAAGAGGAGCTGTAGGAACAGTGGATTTGATCTAGGATAGGGAGAAGGGGATGTGATGAGAGGGAGAGGACTTTTGATATGAAGCGGTCTGCAAGGTATTGTCTTCGAAGGTTGAGAGGAGGCTCCGCACATTCAACCTGAAGAGCGTTTATGGGGGATGATTTCATAGCTCCAATAATTATTCTAAGGCATTTGGCCTGAATGGAGTCTAGTTTTTTTAATGCTTCCTTATTGCAAGGTACAATAAGGAAGCAACAATAGTCCATTACACTTCTGACCAATGCATTGTATATGAGCTTCAATGAAGAGGGGTGAGCACCCCACCATACCCCAGCCAGAGCTCTGAGTATTGATACTGAGCGTTCACACCTTCCAACTACGGTGTTTATGTGGTCCACCCCAGACATCTTTGAGTCGAGATGAACTCCCAAAAATCTAGCGCTGCTTTTAATCGGGATAGTCTGACCGTCCATCTCTATACGAAGATCCGGAGTGCGTCGTTTGCGTGTAAAAATGACAGCCGAGCTTTTTGGGGCACTTAAAGATAACCCGTGATTGAGAAGCCATTGGTTTAATGAGGACAAAGAGACATTGATGGAGTGGGCGGCCTCTGTTATAGAGTTGCTGGTGACCATTAATGCGATATCGTCAGCGTACTGAAGGACATTACAGTTAAAATTTAAACAGGAGGGGAGGTCATAGGTATATATATTATAAAGGATAGGACTAAGGACTGACCCCTGAGGTAAACCTTTCCAGGAGGACCTCTGTACTGGGTTATCCTCAGGAGTTCTCAATTGGAGGGTACGATTGGAGAGGATACAGCCTATAATTCGGCAAATCCCACTCGGGATTCTCAGCTCTTGCAGTTTCTGCCTGAGAAGGGGTAAGAGGACAGAATCATAGGCCGCTGAGATGTCCAGGAAGACCGCGACCAGCGACTCCTGCCTGCTAAGGGCCAGTCGGATGGCTGACGTGAGGACACCCACACTGTCAGCCGTACCCAGACCTTTCCTGAAGCCAAACTGAGTCGCCGGAAGCAGCCTCCGGCTTTCAACCAACCATTCAAGGCGGTTTTTAATGAGGTGTTCAAAAGTTTTAATAAGTACGGACGATAGAGCGATAGGTCGGTAGGACTTATGATCACCAGGATCCTTGCCAGCTTTCAACAGCGGCATGATAACCTGAACCTTCCAAGTAGGAGGAATATAACCTGAAGTAAAGCAAAAATTGACCAAGTCAAGGTAGTATTGTTTTGTTTTAGTTCCTGCCTTAGATAGGAAGGAGTAAGGGAACCCATCAATCCCTGGTGCCGAGTCCTTGACATGGTTGAGTACCGTTTGGAGCTCTTCATAAGAGAACTCCAAATCGAGCGGTTCATGTGTTTCGTCATAGGGTCTCTGGCAGCACTCGTCTGCACTGGGAACATATACTGGAGCAATACTATTTAAAAATCTGTTACTTAGAGATTCGGGTAAAATCGAGATAGTGGGAGGTTTGGTGGAGCTCCTGAAATTTTTCACTCTCTGCCAAACTGTAGATACTGGTGTGGATGGGCTCAGAGAACCACAAAATCTTTGCCACCCTTGTCTCTTCTTTTTTTTGAACAATTTCCTTGACTTAGCCAAAATTCGTTTGAAATTTATGAGGTTTTCCAGGTTCATATCTTGGTTATATGTCTTTTCAGCCTCATTCCTAGCCCTTATCATGGCAGTGCATTCACTATCCCACCATGGCGGAGAAGGGATTTTGCCTTTCGGTGCGTTTTTCACCGGAAAGCAATCTTCTGCAGTGGAGGCTATCAGGTCCGAAAATTTTGAGAAACACTCCAAAGCATTCTCAGGATTAATTGGTGAAAGGAAGGAGATACGGTAGTCTAATAATTTTGAATAAAGATCCCAATCAGCTGCATTCAAACGATATTTTAATAGGGGGGGAAGGGGTTTATCTGGAATAGATTTTGACAGGTGTTTAATTATGATAGGATAGTGATCACTACCATAGGTCAAATTCAAACAACTCCAATTAAGCACGCCAGCCATAGCAGGCGAGCAGAAGGTCAAGTCCACACAGCTGTTTCTTTGACCAAATGCAGACCTACGAGTAGGGCTGCCATCATTGATGACACACAATTCGAGTTCGTCCAGCATCTCTACTAATTCAATACCTACATTATCGCATACATCTGAACCCCATCTATAGTGGTGGCAGTTGAAGTCACCCATTACAAGCAATGGGCCACTTACCAAGGTTAGTAAACTTTTAATTAACATAATGTGATCAACATGAGGGTGAGCAATATAAAATACAAAAATATTTATGTCCTCAGCCTTAACAGCGACAACATTTATGTCATCGCCAACGAAGGGTAGAGGGATCTGGGTGAAGGGCACTTTGTTATTAATTAACAAAGCACACCCTCCATAACCATCAGATCTGTCATGTCTGACAACACTGAAACACGGGATCCCGAAATTAATATTCGGTTGAAGCCATGTCTCAGCAATGCCACAAATCGATGGTTTAAATTTATTTATCAAGTGGAGTAAGTCACTCTTCCTGGGAAGAGTACTCCTCACGTTCCACTGAAGCAGTGTTAGAGGATGGAATGTTACAGATGTAATCTAGAATTGTAGAAAGTTTGTGTGCGACGTGGTCAGGTATATTTTGGGCAGGGTTTGCTAGCACTGCCATGAGCATATCAGAGACTATATTTAGGATGTACTTGGAGCTACGAGTATTGGTTCCGGATTCCACAGGGAAAGCGCAACCATTTTTAGACGGGGAGAAAGAGTAGTCTTGGATAAGGGCCCGATGGGCCTTCTTATCATAGCTAGGAGAGAGGGGCGCATGTGATTTAGGCTTGAGTTGGACTGTTTTCTTGTAGGACACTCTTTGTTGGGATGGAGTTTTGTTGGGAGATGAAACTATAAGGTTGGCTGATCTTGAGACCTCAGCATAAGACCTTTTAACAGTTGGGAAAACTTGGCTTGCTTCCGTATATGAGATTGACTTTTCCGCCATCAATGCTTTGATGCTCTTCTGGCGACCCAACTCAGGACAAGCTTTGTCGTTAGCAAAGTGATTGCCATTGCAGTTGATACAATGGGCAATCTCGGCTGCAATCTGACATCCATCGCCTGGATGATCCTGGCCACATCTGAAACAACGTGGCTTGGAGCGGCAAAGGGTGCGGGTGTGCCCAAAACGACAACAATTATAACACTGTATGGTAGGGTATGAGTACAATTCCACCGGCAGTGCTGAATAAAAACAGAACACCTTTTTGGGTAGGGTTTGACCATCGAAAGTTAGCACTACAGTTTGCGTAGGCTTCCATTCAGTACCATTTGTAGATGTAACTCTTCTATTCATCCTCCTAGCTTTTATCACAGCCCCACACCCGGCGGGAACCCTGATATTACCAATTATTTCATCCTCTGTCCACTCGACAGGGACGTCCCTTACAATGCCCATACGAGTTATGTTAAACTGTGGGATCGAGGTCACGTAGTTTTGAGCCACCATACCGTTCACTAAGAAACTGTTTGCATCCTGGTGAGACACAAACTCGACCGATACTCTATTCCTACCCAGCCGTTTGACACCACCAATTTTAACATTGTTAATGTTGTGTTTCATTAAAAACATCCCAAACTTAACAGGGTGTAGCGTGGTTCCAGACGTCTGGGAATCCTTAAGGGATACATAAACTATATATGGGGGGTTATCCCTGGCCGTGTAGCACTGTCTACCGTGCGTACTTTTTGCCAATTTTGGGGGATTATTCTGGGAGATAGGTGGGGAGCCGGCATGTCGTTTCCTGCTGTTCGCGGTTTCTAACTCCATTGTTTCAGATTCCGGGGTGTTGGGAGGAAGGATAATCGTGAGGATTGATTCGGTTTCATATTGGGGGGATTTATCAGGAGGGTCAGGTGGTTTCTCCTCGTCCATTTCGGAGATTAGGATTAAAGGGGGAACAAGTGGTTAACTTCACTTACAACAACCAATACCTTATTAAAAATTACACACACAGATAAAAACACGACAACACAGGACTAAAAGGTTTTCAGTTCGCTTCACTATGAATAAAAACACTAAAACTAACAGACTAAACGTAGGAACGACAAAAGCACGTGCGTAACCTTCACCGCTACCAACAAGTCCATATTTACTTGTTGTTTGTTACGTAAATACAATGTTTTTGTAATTTGTAATTTTACGATATTAAGTCAGCTGTCATTCTGATTTATCAATTCATTTTGACATTACTTTTGATGTTTATAAAGCTTATACTCAAAAGATTGTCCCTGATCCTTGTGGTGAAAGTTTGCAAAATTCCAATTAGAAATCGCTACTTTTATTGGACTGCACAACAAAATATACTGTAGAGACGTGGATATTAAAAACATTTAGCAAGTAGTATATAGCAAAAAGAAATACATTTTCACACATTCAAGTCAATACGATAGCTTCCTTCACAAAACGTATCGAATTATTCGATTGCTACATCGATAAAAGTCGATATTAAATTGCTTCTTTTCTAATATTCGAAATAAAATTCTAGCGACAAAGTTACTTTTTTTCTGCTAAAACTCATTAGGATAGTATATTTCAACACCCAGTGCATCAAATTATTTTTTTTGTTTCAAATGTATACCCATCGATATTGAGTTGGTCTTATAAGAATCGATTTACGCCCAACCCTGATTCGTTGACATTTTGTCGTTTTCGGTAGAGAGCGTAAAATTAGCTTATTTTTATGTTATAATTGCAATTAATTAACGCGCTCACTGTGACTACGTGTAATTAGATAGTGATATGTGTAGAGAGTAGACATTGTGCTATTTATTTGTGTAAGATAATTGTATGTGCTAACACTATGGCATTTACTGCGGAGGAAGTCGCGAGACGCTATCCGATCCACTGGCTAGTGTGGAATAATCATCATGAAGAGCTGAAAGCTCATCTGGATAGCAACAAGGTATGATATTGTCGTTAATTGTATATTTAAGCGCTATAACTCCCGATTATTCGGTTTTATTTGAGGTTATACCCGGGATAGCTCCCGGCTATAGCACTGCGGTAGCCGATTTACCAACGTAGGTGTTAAAGATCGTGTTTACCGTGCTCATTCTAATTAGCCTGCTAATCAAATGTAGACCAGCTTCTGTATTTTAGTTGCTAGTGCTGTCATGGCCCTCTTGTTGTGCCAATATGAAGTACAGATAATACTTTGATAATAAAACGCGCATTATTTACCCTACTGATAGTTTATCGGTATATTGAAGGAACACATTGTGTTTCTTTTTTTAAAATGACTGTGGTACTTAATTTGTGTTGCCACAATAGTATGAGTCATTCGCAATTAATTTGTTTGCATTTTATTGCTGATAAAACCTCTATAGTACGTTTTGAAATTCATTCTTTTTTTAAGACACTTATATTACCTAAACTGATTCTCAAGGTAATAAGAAGCCAAATAGGACAATAACAATCTCATTATGAAGAAGCCTTATAAACTAAATTCAAGGTTGAAAATGGAGTTTACACATAATATTACTTCCTCTATCTTACCTTTTAAAAAACACAGACTTTCTGAAAATTGGATTTTAAAACCACCCCTGTTTAGATTTTCAACCTTATTTACTTGAGGATAAGATAGAAAATAGACTGGCAGTTGTGTGCAAACACATTTATGTGTTCATAAAATAGTTTGAGATAGTTAATAGGTATAGACTCAGCAAGAGTAATAAAAGTTAAATGTTTACATAATATATGTTTACATTCGATTTGGGATTAAATCAAGTTGTTTTTGCAACGAGTTTCAGTTCAGCTCCAATGTATGTATGAGTCACTTGATTACAAGTACTTGGAGTGTAACATCTGGTCTTAACAAAAATGTTCTGTGTTTACAAGAATGTTGAATTCAGATACATATCCTGTCTGTGGTTTTCCTTAGTAATTTTATTTAACTTTACACCTTTTATCCGTGAAGACCCCTTCTGAGGCTGACATGCACATTACGGCACTTAATGCCACTGTACAATCAAGCGTACGGCGCGATGCGTCGCGTTCCGCGCGCGCCTCAAAGAGCCATCAGACCACCACGGATGGGGCCCAATAGGGCTGATACCGTTATGGAACCGCGGAGAACTTAACAGGTTACCGGGGCTCCAGCGCGAAGTCTAGGAGTAGGAACGGGGTGGTTTCTGATACTCCCTCCCGCTTCACCCAGGTGGGAGAAGTAATTCGATGATTTTCCCTACATAAACAAAAAATGCCACTACAAGTACAATGTAATACCCACTTTTCACTATTTATGTTATGAGTACCATGTAATAGGGGGTGAGCCTATGCCATATACTGGGCACAATTCCAGACTCCATGCTACTATTGAGAATGTTTTAAAAACCCAGCCCTTGCCCGGCAGTCACACTTGCAACCACTCGGCCAATAAAACCAGTTAACTCGTCGAGTACCGGTTTTATAGACACAATTAAAGAACAATAGGTCGCGGTCACCGGTGACCGCTTGGTGTTTGACAGTTTAATAATATTATTTATATATGCAAATATGTGTTTGTTTATTTTTATCGTGTTAGAACCAGGAGCTTTTATGGTCAGTTTTTGTGTCTGGACTCTGGAGATAGGTGGTTAGAGAGAGATAGATGCTACTTTTTTCTTCGTAACGAAGCACCAAAAAGTTGACCTTGTAAATATATATATATAAATGTTGCTAAATCTTAATTACCTAAATTGTTTAATATGAATTACTACAAATAGTTCTATAACACCTGTTTTGTGTTAAGAATGGAAGTGGAATGGATATTTGGAGTGATAATGTTCTACGTGAATGAGGAAATAAGGTGTTTTTGTGGAAGCAAACAAGATTTTATCATGAAACACATGAATGAATCAATGTATCCCAATCTTATCTAATCTGTGAGATCATCACACCTATATCCTGTGTCCTTGGTTTTATTACACAATTTCTCATTCCAGAATGAATACTAATTGTGATTTCATAATGCAATCATTGAAGCTCGAAACTGAGTTTTAACCCTAGAAATGCTTAAAAACTTTTTTACGATTCTTTTTATTTACTGGCTACTAGTTGTATATATTTATATATCATATATTAGTAATTTTTCATTAAAAATAAATATAAGCTATAATTAAAGAAACTGAAAACCTATAATTTTGGAAACTGATAGGATAAATGTTCTTAATTACAAAATAAAGCAATATTTGTCCCACATTAAACAGATTTTACTAGGTCTTTTAGTGGCGTTAGCCTGTTTCCATTGACTGCTAGACATAAGAGCTCTTCAATAGCACATGTAACATAACATCACGCCTTTTACTACCGAAGGAGTAGGCAGAGGTGCACATTACGGCACTTAATGCCACTGTACAATGTAACACCCACTTTTCACTATTTATGTTATGAGTCCTATGTAACAGGTGGTGGAGCCTATTGCCATATACCGGGCACAATTCCAGACACCGTGCTACTAATGAGATTTGTTTTAAAAACCCAATAGTACTTTGCCCGACCCGGGAATGGAACTCTTCAATAACTCGCCAAAAAACCTCGAATCTTCAGTATCTGATTCTAGAACTATGTTTTCAAAGTCAAAGTCAAAGATCTTTATTGTGAGACAGTGGTTACAAAGGTTGTTCTAAAGGTTGTTGTGTTCTGGCACTGCTCCACCATGTTAGGCATACAATAGTTTTTTTTTACCCTGAGAACAATAGGCTTTACACCATCTTATAATATATTTAAAATTTTCAGTTTACACAAGAAGAACTAGAAACCAAAGACTGTAGAGGTCGCACTCCTCTGTTGCTGGCGGTGACGCTCGGCCACTTGGAGACTACGCGCGTGCTCATCGAGGCTGGTGCTGATGTCAACTGCGAGAAAGATGGCTGGACTGGTCTGTATTGGGTTTAAAATAGTTTTACTTGGTTAAATACTAACAATGTTCCTAAGTGAGTGTGTACTTAGGAATTTGCAACTAGTTCCCACCGAATGACCTAAAAGTTAATAATAACTAATATCTAAAACTTGTGTTTTATTAATTTAAATAACTTTTGGCCTAATTTATTTTTATGTGATCTACTCGCTATGTCGATAGACGGACTCGCTGTATTGCATTGTATGTCAATCATTCAAACAAATTTATAATAACCTATGTTTACAAATAAACGATTTCATTTCATTTCTACTTTGAGTTACATAAAGTTTGTGGATCGTCGCCTACCACAATGTGTACTGTAATAATGACAATCGATGGTCGTGTAGTTGCATTTAAGCAATTGTTTGAAAATATTATTTATACCTATGGCGTGGCGTGATATTTTATAGTCTTCCTCGAGAAATGGACTACCCAAAACAAAAATATTTTTCAAATCGGACTAGTTGTTTCTAAGATTAGCGCGTTAGAACAAACAAAGTCTTCACCTTTATATACCAGTATAAGATATAAGATGCGGTGTTTGACAGTTTAATAATACTCTTTCTTAAGTGGGAGTGCCATTCTTCGCCACTTATGGGTCGGCTCGACCGGAGTGATACCACGACCTCACAGAAAACCGACGTGAAAAAGCGCTTGCGTTGTGTTTCGTCGTGTGAGTGAGGTTACCGGAGGTTCAATTACCCCCAGTCTCCCCAATCCCCGAATCCTCGACAATCCTCAAATTCCCAATTCCCAAAAAGCTGGTAGTGCACTTGTAACGCCTTGGTGTTTCAGGTGTCCATGGGCGACATCGATTGCTTACTATCCGGTGATCCGTCTGCCTGTTTACCGACTTATGCTACAAAAAATCTTAAACAACTAACTATTTTCTACCATAATATCCTTGCAGCGGTACAAGAAGCCACCTCCACGGGTAACCCGGAGCTCCTCTCTATGGTGCTATCCCGGCGAGACTACCAGCGCCACGTGCTGCGCTCCGGCGGTATACCGGACTTACTGCGCCGGCTCAGTCTCGCGCCAGACTTCTATGTCGAGATGAAGTGGGAGTTTACTAGTTGGGGTATGTATAATAGCCAATATTTAGTATTATAACTAAAATGTAACTAGGGAATAAACTTCAAAAAAATATTTAATCCATTGCTTAAAAAGTGATTTCCAATAATTTTATCTAATGCTTGTTGTAATTGAAATATACTTTTTTATTTTATTTTTATTTATTTCATCTAGGCTCAGATAATTAACTACTTTTAATAAGATATTTACTTACACATTTACTTATTAGTATCAATAGAATTTCGACTTTATTACAAAACGATAAAGTCGAACATCGTCTGTACTTTAAACTGTTCTCTGACATAAATTTTATTTCATCCACAGTGCCTCTAGTATCGCGCATGTGTCCGTTCGACACGTACAAAGTGTACAAGCGCGGTGGGAATGTTCGGGTCGACACTACACTCGTCGGGTTCGACAACAATCGCTGGCAGAGAGGAGACAGAACGTATATCTTTCGAGGACAGGGTGAGTTCTTAGTATATAGTTTTCACTAGTTTTTACCCGCGGCTTCGCACGCGTCACAAAAGGATAAAAGTAGCCTATGTGACATATACCAATACATACAGCGCCATCTATACCAATACTTTTGTTTTCCCTCGGGAATATCAAATTTTTTCGGGATAAAAAGTACCCTATTATTTAATCCGGATTTCTAACTTTACGTCTGCAAAAATTCAAAGCAATCGGTTTAGTAGTTACGGCGTGAAAGCGGAACAAACAAACAAACTCACTTTCCCATTTATAATATTAGTAATGATAAGGATTATAGGTGATAGGTTTTGCCTACTGTTTTGTCTTTGTTCAAAAGATTGCCTATGTCATTTTACATGCTCTTTACCATCATTATGTATGCTTCTAAAGAAGATTGATTGAATTGATAGAAAAGAAGTAACAAAAAGAGAGTGAGATGGTGGCCAAACGTCGACCTTATAGGTTAGAAAAAAAACACACTTGTTGACACACCCCTATCCAATTCTTTTTCAAACATTTTTGCTCTTAAGCGTCTATGACGATAACACTGCTCAACCCTCCATTTCTTTGCAGGTCGCACAGCGAGTCTAATGGAATTAGACCATGAACTGGGAACGTCATGGTGTGAGTACTTGGAACCGATGTCTGGAGAAAGAGAGTGGCCGGCGCCGCCCCCGCATGTCATAGAACAACGCTTGGCCGCGCCGCTAGCTATCAACTACTTGGATACTGACAAAATTAGTTTTGAAAGGTGAGTTTTAAGTGGCGCTAGTGTCGAATTATGTCTAATGAATGTCAAAGTGAAGTGAAGAAAAAAATTTGTGATTATTTTTTATTTAAAACGTAATAATTAAGACCTAATAAAATTAGTTTGATGATACTTTTAACTGACGTAACATAATTGATTTCCAACCTTACTTACTTGGTGTTAAGGTTGACTATATATTCCAAACATCTGATTAATAACGAAATATTTAACTCATTACAGAAATAAGAGCGGCATATGGGGCTGGAGACAGGACAAGACAGAGAATGTGAATGGCTACGAGTGCAAAGTGTTCGGTGCGAACAACGTGGAGCTAGTGTCCAAGACTCGCACGGAGCACGTGCGGGGCGCGGGCCCGGCCGCCGCCCGCCCCGCGCACCCCGCCCCGCGGGCGCCGCTGGCGGGGCTACTGGCACTCGCAGACCCTGACGCACATTCACCTTTGTTACCCGAAAAGGTACTGTTTAAGCCGGTTTGTATTGTTACTAAACTTATAGCTAGTTCTAGACTAAGCAGGAGTTCAGACTTTTTTTAATAAAAAATCAAGATTATACTGGGACACAAAATGGATATTTAATATGACCTCAATTCAATTTATCTATCATTTTTTTGCTACATAGGTACTATATACTGCAAGCGACGATCGTTAAATTATTTCCTTTGTGGTCATCATTAACGGCCCCAGTATTCTTCGAAACTAGTCGATCATTCTCGAAAAACGTGACACTTGAATATTATAAACTTGAGCTGCATAAATATGTTATTTTAAACTTTTCCATGTATTCCAGCCGCCCCTACAAGACGAGTCCCCGAGTCCCCGCAGCAGTCGGTCCCGCGAGGACCTGTCGTACATCCCGGTGACCTGGCAGGAATACTTCTCAGACCTGGAGCTTGACAGGGACATCGGCAGGCCGAGGGAAGTCGCCACCAAGGTGCAGAAGTTCAAAGCTACGCTGTGGCTCTGTGAGGATTATCCTTTAGAGGTCAGTAGTTGTTTATCTATAATAAATACGTTTACATAAAATCTATCTTTTGTTTTCTGTAGTGTGACTGCCTCGTTGGCCGAGTGGTCGCAAGTGCGACTGCCTGGCAAGGGGTCTCGGGTTCGATTCGCGGGTCGCGCAAAGTATTACACTTTTTTTTTAAATCTCAGTAGTAGCACGGAGTCTGGAAATGTACCCGGTATATGGCAATAAGCTCACCCCCTATTACATGGGACTCATAACATAAATAGTGAAAAGTGGGTGTTACTTCTGTGTGCACCTCTGCCTACCCCTTTGGGGATAAAAAGGCGTGATGCTATGTTTATATATGCTGTAGTTTTGGTGTGAAAAATCCATATAATGTCCTTATTTATCATGGGTTTTTTGAGTCTATACTAATAAGCTTCCTCTTGTTGTATGGATATAGCGAAAAGAATTATCAGTCTCGTACTGATGGAACTCTAATAGTGGTAAAAAAATAAGAAAACATAAAAATAAATATTTTGTTTATTTTTTTTTAAATAATACTAAGAATGAAAAATATATTTCAGTTACAAGAACAAATAATGCCGATCCTCGACCTAATGGCCGCGATATCGTCACCACACTTCGCCAAACTAAAAGATTTCGTCCAAATGCAGTTACCAGCCGGATTCCCTGTCAAAATTGGTAAGTTTTATAAATCCATGTTTTCTTTAGTGCGAAAAGTTTTAATAGGCAATTCCCTGATTTAAATATGGAACGTATAACTGGTTAAAAGTGGGACCTACATTAAAATGGTCTTTGAGGAATAATAGTCGTACTATAAACCTCTGTTTGAGCTTATTGGCAGTGGTTTAAGTCTGTTACCGTCCAACATACGACTACTAAATTTTATAAAACACTAGCGGACCCAACAGACGTTGTCCTGCATATCCACTTGAATGTATAAACAAAAATTCATTCAAATTAGTTCAGCTGTTTAGGATAAATAACCTAAACATCGACTACAGCGCCATCTGCCGGGCTGATTTGTGAATCTAAACCATTCCCAGATCCCCTTGAACACACACAAAAAAATTCATTAAAATCGGTCCAGTCGTTTGAGAGAAGTTCAGTGACATACACACTCACAGAAGAATTATATATATAAAGATTAAATTATCATTTGTATCATAATTCTGTTCTCACTTCCAGAAATACCTCTCTTCCACGTGCTGAACGCTCGTATAACATTCGGCAACATATTCGCTACGGAGACTCCCGTCCCTTTCATAGAATGTATACAAGAAGGAGACAGACTGTCGTGTCTAGTGGACGACCAGTGCTTCTCCATCGGCCGCGGGTACAGAGACTCCGCCGCGCCCGACGAGAGACTCGCCTGCGGAGTCGACGACGAGGAGGGCTTGCTGCAGTATGCTATACAACAGAGCTTGATGGAGACTGGGACGCAGGATGATCAGGTCAGTTTTCATCTTGTTTCTGCGTAAGTAAGAGATAGGTAGAAAATGTCAATATATTGAGCATTCTTGACTTTTGATAATTCTCAATAGTCGCTATTACTCGGTTAGTGTATAACAATAAACTATTTACATGGTGGCTAATAAAAGAACTGGCATGAAGTGAGTTATTTTATTAGTAAGAACATTTAATATTTTCATCTTCGGCGGAGCAAAAATGTAATGGTATTTGGTCAATAACTATGATTCCTTTCTCCATAAATATATACAGGTGGACGTATGGGAGGCGCTGCGCGGCGCGCGGCCCGCGTCGCCCGCGCCGGCCGCGCCGCGCATGCGCACGCACGACACACATCTACTCGCGCACGAGGAGCGCCAGCTACAGAGGTATGCTGTATTGGCGTCATAGTATTAACTTGAAATTTGTACAATGATAACAATAAGAAACATCCCAGATTCAATGATTTGAAAAGTCCATTATGTAACTCAATGTGGACATAGAAATTAAAATCTAATGTGCAGCGAATCTCTATTACTTGGACTTGTTAAATAACATAATAAATATTTCCAGGCGTTGGCGTTTTCAGTGGTAGAATTATAGAAGTGTGTGTTTTATACACGGGCAACTTTGTGATTGCTATATTGCACATTTTTTTCTTATACATATTTTATTTGCACATAGAATAATAAATGTAATGGTTTAATCCATTTAATCCATCGACTGCCCCAACTGGTCAGAAAATAATAATATATACTTATATTTTTAACTACATAATTGTATTATAAACATATTTGTACACTATTTATACATACTTAAATTATCGTAATCATAATTATAGATATAATACGAGTGTTTAATCTCTTTTTACTTCATACTATATTGATGTAACCATGCAGTATTTTGGAAAATGTTGTATTGCCAAAATGCTTAATATTTACTCACTTTAAAGTTAGACAGGCTTATAAAGTTGTAGCTTTTATTAGTGAAGCGAGTAAGCTTCAGTAATAGACTGACTATTGAGCTATATAAGAGTACCAGATTTATGTAAAGGATCAACTACGCCTGAGAGCTATTTCTTGATTATCCTTCCTGACCGAATAGAACATTTAAAAAAGCAATAATACCCATTTGGGTAGTTTAAAGTAGGTAGTTTTAAGTGTTCTAATAATACCCATCTGTTTAATAATACCCATTTGGGTATTATTGCTTTTAACTAATTTTAGTTAACTACTTTTTGGATTTTTAAGCTCAGCAACACACAATATTTATTTACTTTATGGTAAATTAACAGCTATACTCACAATTTTAGCAGAAAAATAGTTTGAACCAATTACAATCTGTAATTGTAATTGGTTAAAAATAGTTTGAAACACATGAATGGTGACTAAATACGTAACAGCTAAGATATATATAAACCTGTACTTATACAAAAGCACCACAGTAGCCAGCTAGACAGCTAACTAGCTAGTATTTCACAGAGCGATAGAAGCGTCCCTAGCATCGGTGTCATTGACCCCGAGCTCTCCCGAAGCCCCCATAGTAGAAGATGAACTGGACCTCGACACCGACGGTGACGCGGAACTTGCAGCCGCTTTAGCGCTGTCTGCGAGAGAACAAGCTTCCAGAGATATGCAGCTTGCAGCGGAACAGAGGGCGTTCGATGAAGCGCTGCGATTGTCGCTGCTTGATAAGTAATTGTTTAGGTAAGTTTCTATGTATGTATGAAGTTTTTCTGGAATTTTTGTAGATAAAGGGTGTTCTTGTAATATAATCATGATGAACTTAACTCTTTGAGTACCGTTAATTAAAGAACAATTGCGGTTGCGGTCACCGGTGTCCTCGCGGTGTTTGACAGTTTAAATGATGAAAATAAAAATATAACATAACATCACGACTTTTATCCCCGAAAGGGTAGGCAGAGGTGCACATTATATCACTGTGTAATGTAACACCCACTTTTCACTATTTATGTTATGAGTCCCATGTAACAGGGGGTGAGGCTATTGTCATATACCGGGCACAATTCCAAACTCCGTGCTACTACTGAGAATATTTAAAAACCCAGTAATACTTTGCCCGACCCGGAAACGAACCCGAGACCCCTTGCCGGGCAGTCGCACTTGCTACCACTCGGCCAACGAGGCAGTCAATAAAAATATACTTTTAAGTTTAATGCCATTCCTGTTTGGTACACCTCAAAAAGACCTATGCTTCCAAGTCCAGTGTTATTGATGAGAACTTCGTCATTCAACAAAACTAGTACTAAACTAGTTACCCCGCAACCTTTATACCGCCTAAAATTTTTTCTTACCTTTTAAACGTTCTCTGGACTTCCAAGAACATTTCAAGACCAAAATTATCCAAATCAGTTCAGCTTTTCTCAAGTTTTAGCGAGACTAACGGACGGAAATTCATTTTTATTTATATAGATTATTACTTAATCAGCAATCGAACCTGAAACCTTAAGTTCAACTTTAAATCGATGTATTTGAATTACAAGTGTTTTGAACTTCTTTATCTCATAGATGTTTTTAAAGAATAGATAGTTTTTGTTAACTAATCAAATGTAATTGATTTCAGATCTCAATTCAACAACAGTATGTATGAAGCGTCCAACCAAAATAAGACTTACGCCTAACGTACTTGTAGTAAGTAGATACAATTTATACTTCACAGTCGAGTCCTTGTGTCAACTCCAAATTGTTTCTAAAGTACACACGATAATAACCTTTATTATAAAGAGTATAGAACTCAATATAGATCGTTTTATTAAAGGTAATAAAGGAGCTTTTTGTTTGAAAGAGCAATTTGGATTTACACAAACTTTGACTCATTAGATTTTTGACTGTAGAATATTTATTCGTCGTTATGTAATTATTATAATTATAATAATAATTATTGTACATTTATTATGTTGTGTATGTATACAAAACACACTAAGTACGGTCACAAGCTAAGTACAGTCGACAAAGTTGATTGGTGACTGTGTAGTGATGAAGTTATTTAATTATGTGTGGTTGTATCTTATATGAGTAATGAGTTTGGATATTATATACACTAGCTACTTCCGCGCGGTTTCACACGCTCTGCTCAGCTCCTATTGGTCGTAGCGTGATGTTTTATAGCCTATAGCCATCCTCGATAAATGCGCTATCCAACACAAAAATAATTATACAAATCAGACTTGTAGTTACGGAGATTAGTGCGTTCAAACAAAAAAACAAACTCTTCCGCTTTATATAATAGTATAAGATTATATTATTATATACACATCTGTACATGTTACTTGTTTTTAGCGTGAAATGAAGTATTTTCTTTGTTTCTTTCTTTCTTTATATTGAAATTATAGATCCGGTAGTGCATAAAATGCTATCCCATTATTTTTTGGTGGATATTTCTTCTTAGTCGTTCTTTTCATTACTGAAGGTCGTGTCTAGTCTGGTGCACGCGTTACTTGATGCACATCCCTTCTCCAAACGCCCCAGTCCTCTGCGGTCTTTGTGGCTTGTGGAAATGTCAGGGCGGTTAGGTTTTTTACAGCATCTAACCACCGGGTAGGTGAGCGACCACGAGGTCTTTTCCCGTTAACCTGACCAATATCCACAAGCTTCTCCAGATTGTTGGAGTCTCTCCGCGCGCTGGTGGATATAAGCTATAAATATTTTTAAGTTTATGATGGTTTAAGCGATTGATTCCAATATACATGAATAGTAAATACTCAATCGTCGCGGCCGCCTAATTTTTTCTAAAAGACTAAAGACTCCTTGTACTCATGTTATGCATTGTAATATTGGTTCAATTAATCTACCTAACTTAGTCACCAACCACTTTGTCGATTGTACATTTGTATTTAGTATCGCTATACGAGTGAGATTTAATTGTAAATTGATAAAAAAGTTAATGGAAACAAAGGAATTGTTCACACAGTTACATATTTAATGAGCGTTGTGTTAATGTGTCCGTAATTGTAAAAAATCGTCCATTTATTTATTTAGTTTTCTTTTTTTTAATCATACCAATATAGTATCTTGGTTCTGTTCATTTAAACAGATGAGAGTTCATAGTTAGTTGATGACAATAGATAATACAGGCTTAGGACGAGTTTATTTTACGTTTAATGACATCCTAACGTTACCGTGTAGCTCTCTGAGTGCCAAGCACGAATAACTATCGCATTCGTAACGTAATAGTATCGAGCGCGTTCGGAGCTCTGATTGGCCGGCTCAAGTGAACCAACCAATCAGAACGCTTAACTCTCTCGATACTGTTACGATACGAATGCTATAGTTATTCGTGCTTGGCCCTCTGATTCAGAGGCCAATCAAAGACGAGTTTGTTTTACGTTAGGAGTAATCGGAATGAGACGGCGTTCGGCACTCAGGGTGCTTACCCTTGATACCAATCTCAATGTCAATGCAATTTCAATCCAATAAAATCTCAATAATTATTCAATATCAACACTATACATCCCCAATCGTAGCTGTTAAAATAGCATTCAGAGTACGGATTATAAAGCTAAACTCAATACCATTTGTTGCGGAGAACCTAACGGGTAACCGGGGCTCCGGCTCGACGTGCAGGAGAAGGAACGGGGTGGTTTTTAGTCAGGTAGTTAAGAGTCTGACACTCCCTCGCGCCTCACCCAGGCGGGAGCAGTCATTCGATGATTTTCTCCCCTTAAAAAAAAAATACTCAATACCATTTAGTTCATTTATTATCTACGCAATACGGATGTAATGGGTGCTAGTGTTGCAACTCGAGAGTACAAAATTTGACAATACCAATGTCGATTGGATGGAAATGGATTCAAGAGTAAGCCCCCTGATTGGTTTGTTCATCGGAGCCGGCCAATCAGAGCGTCGAATGCGGTCTTGTTTCAAAACAAACTTTGTACTAAGGTGTTTTGATCTCATTAAACGAGCTTCTAAATCCTCGAGAGGACATCGGTGTCCTTTCTTCACTATGCTATAGATCTTATTTCCGATGTTTAGAGACTACTTTTGTATGAACAAATTTCGTGGATTTAGAGGTAAAGTAACCCGAAACAAGTCTTCTGTTTACATCACATTTACACTGTTTAACTAATGTCGATTAAGTTAATAAGGTTCTGTTTTAAAACACAATTTAAAATAATTATACTAAGATAAGCCTACAAGAGGAAGGGCTTCATAAGATGTCTTTTCCCACAGACATTTCTTTCGCCAAATATACGTAATGCACGTTTTCCTTATCGATCTCAAATAAGATCCCTATTTCTCAAAACGTTTATCGGATTTTATTTTTTAAATTATTTATTTATTTCATTGAATTTCGCACTTGACTGTTTAATGCTATAATTTCTATTGGTCATAATAATAAAAAAAATCTGTAATTTATTTAATCTTTATTTAATTCCAATCCAATCAATAATTAGTTCGATGTAGTATTTATTTAGTAAATTGTAATAATTTCATCTATAAAAATAAAGCTAATGGTTTACAGGGAGACCTTGAAACAGCAATATTTTACAGAATATGAAATGCGTTGTAATCACAAAATAACGTTCTATACAAACTGACGTCACAATATAAAAAGATTTTAATCTAAAGTTACATTTTACATTCAACTACAAAAAGAATATGGCGTTTGTGCTTGATGGCGCTAGTAAAACGTAAAGTCCAAATTAAATCTAAAAGTCCTTTGCGACACTAGCGCCACTCATCGATAAAAATCTTAGTTAAAAAGTATTCGTATTGTTCTCAATTATTATATTATATTAAATTAGTACTATTATTAATTATACGTTAGTCTTGACTTGGCAACACTTTGCCTAGGATTAGTGTCCAGTGCAATAATTACGTTATACCTAAAATATGTTTATATTTTTAAAACTATATTGATTCCTATCTACGTCCTTGGTGTTGATGAAATTTAACCCTTAATGTGGATGTTATAAGGTTAATATTTGAATAGCAATGACGTTTGGTGTGATTAGCATAATTAAATCGACCTATGTATATAGTCCTAGTATTTTGTAATGGACTATGTGGAATTTTGTGATACTTATAACCGTATTTAAACTTGTATGTTAACCTTACATTATAGATCCAAACTGCCAAGCAAAAATCCCCTTTTCCTATTCTTGATACTATTGAAATAAAGTACATTTTTGCTTGGCTGTAGTATTTTTGCACCAATATGTGCCGAATTCTCAAACACTGATCCTTTGGAAGTCTTTATAGATTAACTGGTCGTTTGAGGGTTCGGCGTTTAGATGATTATTAGACAAGGTAATATTCTAATGCAGGGTTTCTCAATTTTTATTTAAGTTTAATTTATTTATTCGAAAGGCAACAGCTACATTTGGAAAACAAATATAAAATACAAATAGTGGCACAATAACACCAGAAAGCCAATTACAGCCATTACCAATTATGTCGTGATATTTATTTATATCATGATTTATAAAAAAATATTCATTGCTTAAGTGCGTGGTAATGAGTCTGCCCACTAAGTAGGCTTTCAAACAGAGAGATCGCCCAGACTATTGCATGGCGGCAGTAGATACGCATACGACTTTTATTACAAGAAACTTATAAATTGGACAAAGGAGGTGTTACAGCATCACCACATAGTATAAAACAACGTCGCTATCCGCCGTCGGTCTGTCCCTATGTATGCTTAGATCTTTAGAACTACGCAACACATTTGGATGC